GGACTGATCAATCCAGACCCAGCCCGGAAAGCCCAAAGCCCTCCACCCGTGTGCTAACTTACTTAAGTCGTGTCCGACCGTGCGACCCCATGGACTGTAGCCCACCAGGTTCCTCTGTCCGTGGGATTCTCCAGGCAAGAATACGCGAATGGATTGCCATGACCTCTTCCAGGGCATCTTTCCGACTTAGGGATCAAACCCCTGTCTCTTATGCCTCTTGCATGGCAAGCAGGCTTTTTCTGTCTTTTTTTTTAACCACTAGCACCACCCTCCACCTGCAGACGCCAGTGAAAGCATCCCTCGGGTCCTGCCCGGCTCTCTGTCCACACTGTGCCTCAGCTGCCTGGTGCGGCCTGGCAGTGTGCTGGGTACCCCCTCCAGGACCCGTGAGGACCAGACTTCTCTCTCCGAGCCTTCATGGTGTCTCGTTGATCATAGATTCACTATCCAGCACCTTCACGGCTCCACTTCAGAAAAATTTAACCAAGTGTGTTTCGCGTTTCAGCTCTTACAGTTAGGTCTTTGGTCCATTTTGAGTTAAGTTTTGTATCCTGTGTGAGGTAGGGGTTCAGCTTCATTTATCTACGTGAGGATATCCAGTTGTTCCAGGCTGTTCTTTGCCCCATTGAGGCGTTTTGGCACCCTCGTCAAAAGTCGACTGGCCATCAGGAGAATGAGAAAACAAGCCACAGGCTAGGAGGAAGAACCTGCAAAAGACGCAAAGGACTGCTGCCCCGCGCGCAAAGAGAACCCTTCAAACTCAACAGTGGGAACACCGACAGCCCAATTTAAAATGGGAAGAAGATCTGAACGGACACCGCACCAAAGAAGATACACAGGTGGCAAATAAGAAAGTCGAGATGTTCTACATCATATGTCATGAAGGAAGTGCAAATTAAAACAACAGGGAGATGCCACTAACACTTACTGTGTGTATGGGCTTAAGCACTCAGGCGTGTCCGACTCTCTGTGACCCCATGGACTGTAGCCCACCAGGCTCCTCTGTCCATGGAATTCTTCAGGCAAGAATACTGGAGTGGGTAGCCATTCCCTTCTCCAGGGAACCTTCCTGACTCAGGGATGAACCCGCATCTCCTGCCTTGTGGGCAGATTCTTTATCATCTGAACCATGACGCACTTACTAGAACAGCCAAAATCCGATGTGCCGATAATACCCAGTGCTGGAGACGCATGGAGCCCAGGAGCTCCTGTTCTGTGCTGCCCGGGACACAGACAGCATGGCCACTCCGAAACACAGTCTGGTGATTCTTCACAAAACTAAACACACTCTTATCACATGACTGAGCAATCACACTCCTGGATATTTACCCAAAAGAGTTGAAAACTTACGTCCACAGAAAAAGCTGTACATGGATGTTTATAGCAGCTTGATTCATACTTACCAAAGCTTGGAAGCAACCAAAATGTTCTTCAGTAGGTGAATGGATACACTGCTGTCCATCCAGACAAGAAATACAACTCAGCACTATAAGAAATGGGCTATCAAGCCATGAGAAGACATTAGGCACCCCCCCCCAAAAAAAAAGACGTAAGATCTTTAAACACATATTACTAAGTGAAACAAGCCCATCTGAAAAGGTTACATACTGTATGGTTCCAACTACATGATGTTTGGGAAAAGGTCATGTGGAGCTAGTAAAAATATCAGTGGTTACCTTAAAAAAGCATGTCTGTCCTGATTTCAGTAACACAGTCCTGATGACGTAGCTTTATATTCAGTTTAGAAATAAAGGAAGCATGAGTCCTCAAATTCTGTTCTTTTTCAGCCCCGTGTTGGCTATTCTAGGCCCCTGCATCTGCATATGAATTTTAGGGTCAGACTGACGCTTTCCGCACAGTAGACAGCTGGGCTCTGAATAGGGATCACACTGCGTCTACAGGCCACTCTGCGTTAAGTCTTCAATCCAGGAACATGTGCTGTCCTTCCACTTATTTAGGTCTTCCTCGTTTCAATCATGCTCGGTAGATTTCCATGTATAAGTCTTGCATTTCTTCTGTTAAATTTATTCTGAGCATGTTTATAAATAAATTTATTCCTTCTGGTGCTATGCAAGGAGAATTGTTTTCTTAATTTCATTTCTGGATAGCTCATCGCTAGTGTGTAGTAACGCAATTGATTTTTTTTAACATACATCTTCTATCCTGTACTTTTGCTGAACCTGTTTGTTAGTTCTAATATTTATGTGTGTGGGTATTCTTAGGGATTTTCTAGCACATAGAGTCATGTCATCTGTGACTACACACAGTTTTCCTCCTTCCTATCTGGATTCCTTTTATGTCATTTTCTCACCAAACTGCCATGATTAGATCCTCCAGTAAGATGTTGAAAACAAGAGGCAGGAGTGGACATCTTTATGCTCCTGCTAGGAAGGGGAGGCTTTCAGTCTTTCACCACTGAACACAGGAGTCCAGGGATTTTCACAGATGGTCTTCATCAGGTTGAGGCCAGTCCTTCGATTCCTCGTTCCTTGAACGTTCTTCTGTTTGTTGAGATGATCATGTGGTTTTTGTCCTTTATTAGTATAGTGTACTACACTGATTGATTTTCATATATTAAATCAATCTTGCATTCCTGGGATAAATCTCACTTGCTCCTTTTTTATACATTCCTGGATTTGATTTGCTAGTATTTTGTTGATCAATTTTGTGTCTCTATTTTCTCCTTTTTTTTTTTTTTGCCACAAGATCTTAGTTCCCCAATCAGGGATTGAACCTGTGCCCCTGCAGTGGAAGCTCAGAGTCCTAACCCCCAGACCACTGAAGAAGTCCTGTCTACATTCCTAAGGGATGTTGGTCTGTACTTTTCTTGTGATGTCTCTGTTGGGCTTGGTGTCAGGGTAGTCCTTTGTCGGTGCTATATTCTTGCTGCATCTTCATGGTGTGCGTCTGTTCACAGGGCTCCCTGCCACGCCCTTGGCAGGCTAGTCTACTGAGTCAATCATGTGTGGCCTTGACCCCACTGAGCGTCAGTGCCTACGGTAAGAGCGCTTCTCTGGGCAAGGAAGAAGTCAGTGCCCCAGGGCACGTGTACCAACTCTCTCAGGGCCATCAGAAAAGCCTCTCGGGACCTCCTGTTATAAAACTGCCCAGCCCTCTGGGTTTGAAATGCATTCTTCTGCGTTTCTGTGGAGGCACTTCAGAACAAAGAATACCCACTCAGTTCTGGCCACACGGCAGGAAGTGGGAGCCCATCTGAGAAGCTCCTTAAGACATTATCAGCCCGGGACTTCCCTGGTGGTCCAGTGGTTAAGACTCTGAGCTCCCAATGCAGGGGGCCCGGGTGTTTGATCTGTGGTTGGGAACTAAGATCTCCATGCTGCAAGGCACGGCCAAAAGTAAATAAAAATAACAATTGCTACCATTATCATTAAAGAAAAAAATCAGCCAAATAACAGAAGGGAGCAAGGGGGCTGGCTAAGGCAATGTCCCAAGTGGTATCAGGTTGCCAGGAGCCCACCATCCCGTCAGGAGCCCACTGAGCCAGACAGACTGCAGGGGCCCCTGAAACCCTGATTCCACAAGCCACACAGGAGCCTGAAAACAAGTACTGGAGGAAGTAGCCACCTGTTTTGGCTTGGCTTTGCTCGGATGGATCGTCACCATTCTTCCATGAAGGAGTGAACACTGTCACATCGATGTTTTCACTTTCAAAGAAGTGGGAGGGGCAGGACAAAGACCCCCCACCTCCAACCCAGAAACAAACACGCCAGTTACATGATGGGACGTGGGACTGGCCATGGTGTGGGCACTCAGGACGCTGCGCCTCTCACTGACATCACCAGTGGGGGGCTGCCCTGGGGTCCCCCAGGGTCCCCCTGGCCTGACACAGGTGCCCCTCGGCTAGGAGCGGCTGCCGTTGGCATCTGAGGGGCCTGGGGGCGCTGGGTGCTGGTGGGCTGCAGGTGGTGCCTGGCAGACTGCTTGCTCCTTTGGGACACTCTCTGCAACCAGAGGCTCAGAACAGCCAGCAGGACCTCCTGCCAACTCACAGGCCCTCCCGGCCGTGTATGTAGTGGCTGCCCGCCGCCCCACGCTGGCCACTCAGCCAGCCCTGCAGCCTCGGCTCACCAGGGCCAGCCTGACTCCTGAGGTCCCAGAGCCCCAGCATTGGGGGTGGCGGGATCAAGGAGGGAGTCTGCTCCAGGGGAATGCAGGTGGGCTCCAGACCCGCTCCCTGCCACCAGAACTGCACCTGCTCAGGGGCACCCCACTCGCCTTGGCCTGGGCCTGCAAACCAGGCCCAGGGATGGGGCGCCCCTGGAGCCAGGGTGAGGAAGCGGAGGGCTGCCGGCTGTGTGTCACCGAGGTGCAGCCGCGCTGGCTCAGGCGCCTGGGGGGTGGGGGCGGGCTCTGCGCGCGGAAGGACGGCACCGCGGGCGGGGCGCCGGAGTGGCAGCTGCGGTGGTGGCAGCAGGTGGGTGGCAGAGGGGACGGGTTCGGGCTGGGAGGAGGCGAAGCCTCGGGTACCTGAGGATGGGGCAGTGAGGCTGGCTCCAGGGGCGGGGGGCGGCAAGTCGGGGGCAGGGGCGCAGCCGGGAACCTGGGATCCCCGTTCCTTCCTTCGGGCCGCTGCGTGGCTCCTCCGGCCTGCGTGGCGGGGGAGGGGGACCCGGGTGACGCCCAGCACCTGTTCCGGGTGCTGGAGGCCTGGCCCAGCTCCCGGGAAGCCTCGGGTTTCCACCTGGCTCTGGGCTCCCAGTCTGGCTCCCTGGGGCTGCCTCTCTGCGCCCTCTAGTCCACCCTCCCCCCTCCCACAACACGCCCGGGTTCAGCTCCACTAGGTTGCCTGCCCTGCCCTGGAGGCAGACGGCTCTCCCGCCCACCCACAGCCTAGCCCAGCCCTCCTGCAGCCCACTGTTAAAGGCACTTGGGACCCAGGGTGTGATCACACGGCAGGCGGGGCAGCCCGTCACTCCGCTCTGGCCCTGGTAGGTGCCTGCAGCTGGCTTGGGGCTCCGCTCTGCTCCTCTCTGCCCACCATGGCCCCGGGACGGCCCTGCGCTGCCGGCCTGGCGCGCTTCTGCCAGAAGCTGAAGCGGCAGAAGCCGCTGGACGACAGTACTATGGAGACGTTGCTGCAGCGCTGCCTGTCCACGCTGGACTTGACCCTGCTGGGGGTGGGCTCCATGGTGGGCTCCGGCCTCTACGTGCTCACGGGCACCGTGGCCAAGGAGATCAGCGGCCCTGCCGTGATCGTGTCCTTCGCCGTGGCCGCCGTGGCCTCCCTGATGGCGGCCCTGTGCTATGCGGAGTTCGGGGCCCGTGTGCCCCGCACGGGCTCTGCCTACCTGTTCACCTACGTGTCCGTGGGCGAGCTGTGGGCCTTCCTCATCGGCTGGAACCTCGTGCTCGAGTACATCATCGCTGGTGCCGCTGTGGCCCGTGCCTGGAGCGGCTACCTGGACGCCATGTTCGACCACCGTATCCAGAACTTCACCGAGGCCCACCTGGGCGTCTGGCAGGTGCCCTTTCTGGCCAGAAGTCCAGACTGGCTGGCTGCCGGCATCATCCTTCTGGCCTCCGCCTTCATCTCCTGCGGGGCCCGCGTCTCTTCCTGGCTCAACCACACCCTATCGGCCGTCAGCATGGTCGTCATCCTCTTCATGGTCGTCCTGGGCTTCATCCTCGCCCGGCCCAGCAACTGGGGTGAGGGGGAGGGCGGCTTTGCACCCTTCGGCTTCTCCGGCATCATGTCTGGCACGGCGACCTGCTTCTATGCCTTTGTGGGCTTCGATGTCATCGCCGCCTCCAGCGAGGAGGCCCGGGACCCGAAGCGCGCGGTACCCCTGGCCATCGCCCTGTCACTCGGGCTGGCGGCCACCGCCTACATCCTGGTCTCCACCGTGCTCACCCTCATGATCCCCTGGCACAGCCTGAACCCTAACTCTGCGCTCGCTGACGCCTTCTACCAGCGGGGCTATGGCTGGGCCGGCTACCTTGTGGCGACTGGCTCCATCTGTGGTGAGTGGGGTCCTGCCCTGGTCTCCCGGGGCAGGTTGAGGGGGGACACACATCTCTGTCTGGGCTTCAGTTTTACCAGCTGTAACCCAGGGAGGTGCTGATTATTAGACTCCACCCAGGCTTGTGGGCAGGGACCCGCTGGCCCCCTGATACGGGGGATGTTGGCCTGGGCACGTGCTTCCTCTTCACAGGGACTCAGCCCCTGCCCCCGGCCCGCAACCTAGACTGAGGTGTCCCATTCCTGGGCTGGAGGAGGGGTGACCGCCCTGCTCCTTGCAGGCACTCAGCCTCACTCCGAGAACCCAGATAAACTCAGGCACAGACTCCCAGGGGCCCCTGCCACAGCCTCTGGGGTGCCTGCCTGCTGGGCGCGCTGACCAGCCCTCACCCTCTGCCGCAGCCATGACCACCGGCCAGATCAACGGCCTCTTCTGCCTGCCGCGCATCGTCTACGCCATGGCCGCTGACGGGCTCTTCTTCACGGCGTTTGACTACGTGCACCCGCGGACGCAGGTGCCTCTGCTGGGCACCCTGGTCTTCGGGGCCCTCACGGCTCTGGTGACACTGTTGCTGGACCTCGAAGCCCTGGTGCAGTTCCTGTCCATCGGCACCCTGCTGGCCTACACCTTTGTGGCCATCAGTGTGCTCGTGTTGCGATTCCAGACGGCCTCTCAGCCCAGCTCGCCCAGCCTGGCCGGCTCCGGCCCGAAGGCCAAGGAGTACAGCTCCTTCTCTGACCACTTGGAGCTGGTGGGCACGGGGCAGGGCCCCCAGCCAGGGCGGCTGCGGCCAGCCCTGAGGCCCTACCTGGGCTTCCTAGACAGGGCCAGCCCCGGCGCGGCCACGCGCTGGGCCATCTGCGGGCTGGTGGTCTCCGCGATCGCCCTGGGCTGCGGGCTGATGCTGGGGGACTCGGTCCTGCGCCTCCCGCACTGGGCCTACCTCCTACTGCTGTTATGCAGTGCTGTCGCGTTTCTGCTCAGTCTCCTCGTTCTGGGGGCCCACCAGCAGCAACGCCTGAAGGACACCTTCCAGGTAACCCCCCGCCGCCCCCCGTACCCGCCGTCAGCCCACCACCCCGCGTCCTCCGCCAGGCATGTCCCCGTGTCTGTGGGTGGGCCCCAGGCTCCACAGTCTCCAGAGGCAGAAAACGGCTCGGAGGCCTGCAGAAGGGGCCCTGGGCCGGTGAGCCCCTGCAGCCAGCCCAGCCCTGCCCTTACCCCCCCAGATGCCCCTGGTGCCCCTGATTCCAGCCCTGAGCATCGTCCTCAACTTCTGCCTGATGATGAAACTGAGCTACCTGACCTGGGTGCGCTTCACCATCTGGCTGCTGATGGGTGAGTCGGGGGCTGGGCTGGGGCACCCGGGGCCTACTTCTGGGGGCGGGGGGCAGTGGTCAGGAGGGTGAGCAGGGCTGGGGCCTGCTGCTCACGCTCACACCGCCCCGGCAGGACTCTTGGTGTATTTTGGCTATGGCATCTGGCACAGCAAGGAGAACTGGCGGGAGTCGCCAGGGCTGGTCACTGCCCACTACGTGGCTTTCCCCGACAGCAGGCTGGAGGAGACGGCGCAGGACCCAGGCCGGGCCCCGGCCCAGGGCCCTGGCAGCCCATGAGAGCTGCCCACCCTCCATCCAGGGCAGCTTGGCAGGCTTGCGGGCCTGCCATCCTGAGGGGGGGGCCCCGGGACCCGAGGACTCTAGTTTAGGGGCCGTTGCTGCACATTGATGTTGGAGTGGGCATGGCCGGCTCTGGGGCAGTGGACTCTGCAACCCCTTCCAGCTACTGGGCGAGTGGGGAGGACGCCCTGTCTAGGGGACCCACAATAGGAACCGTTCAACCAGCCGTGTGGCCGTGTCATGTCTGTGGATCTTGAGGCACCGGGTCCTCACCGGCCCCCGGGAAGGGCTCGCTCGATTGTCAGGGTGGAGCAGGGGTGCTGGGGTTCCGCACGGGGGAGGTGCCGGCTCTGGACAGCCCTGGGCTGAGCACACTCAGGCCAGTGCCCTCTGCCCCTCCGAGGATGCCACAGCACCCCCACGCGCCAGCACAGAGGGGCAGTCAGGCTTCCCTCCCCGGGGGCCGGGCCTGACACAGGTGCCCGGGCCCTGGGAGGCTGCCTAGAAGGGCAGAGGAGTTCCAGGGTGTCCTTGTCTCCCTGGCTCCCAGAGAGCGTGGCGTGTGCCTGAGGTCCCCCCAGGGAGGCAGAGGCACGCCCGCACAAGCACACGCATCTCCAGACATGTACCCGTGGGCGCGTCATGTGCAGACTGAGGCCCCAGGCCTCCAGGCTCAGACCCTGGTGCCTCGCCAGGCTGCGTGCCCGAGTGCCAGAATCCGCCCCAAGTGCCCTCCGGCTGTGCCCCCACCGCTGGTCCTTGGGAAGGGCCCAGGCCCAGCCCGCATGGCCTGCCGGTCTCCTGGGCAATGCTGTGCCCCCGCAGACACCACCTGCCCCAACCCTGCCTGTAAGGAGCACGCGGGAAGCTGTGGCTTCGGCAGGCTTTACTCCCTGACCTTGTAGCCGTCCATCAGCGTTGTCTGGGCCCGTGCACGGGCTCACACCCCTCGCCCTGGCCCTGAGGGCGTCCCCCACCTCCCGCCCCCTGGGACACTGCTCTGGGGATCAAGAGGCAGCTCGAGCCCAGCCTGAGCCCGGCGCTGGCCCTCCACAGCCGGCCCACATCACTGCCCTGGCCGCAGCCAGCACGCCTGGTTGCCGGGCCCCGTGAGAAAGAGCCCCAGGCCTCCCACGCGGGCACCCCTGAACCTCTGCCATGTGGGGTCCAGCAGGTGGGACCCAGACCCAGGCCCCATGAAGACGGGACCCAGACCCAGGCCAGAGTGCCGTGGCCTCTGGGGCTTTCTGGGACGTTCCTGCTAGCCTTGGGGCTCCGCTCCCGAAGGACGGGGCCTCCAGAGAGCCGCAGCTGCAGGTTGGCCCCGGGGGTGACCCTGGGCAGCGGAGAATTCCCTCCCACCACTCCTCCCCACCTGCACAGTTCCAGGGGGTGGGCTGGGTGTCTCCAGGGGGCTCAGCCCATCACCAGAGCAGCTTGTTCTTGGTCTTGTCAGTCCCAGCCCCCCAGAGCCTGAGGGCTGCCACGGGGAAGGGCTGGGCCGTCTGCCCAGCCCAGTCTGAATTCCAGGAGAGGATCCCAGCAGCAGATCCCAGCGGCAGAGACAGTCTGCCTCAGACCCTGGGGCTCTGAGATGGGGGCTCCAGATGGGGGTGCTGACGGAGGAGAGGGCCAGGGTCTGTACAGCCGGAGGAGGGGCCGTGCGGACCACCGGTGCGGGGGCCGCCCTGGGCATCCTGGCGAAGAGCTGGGAGAGGGTTTTCCGCACACAGACGCAGCTGGAGTCCCAGGACGGCACTCTGCCGCGGGTCTCCGCACAGGCGGCTCTGGGCCGCTCCCTGCCTCGGAGGACTCGCCCTTCCACCCTGTCCTAGTCCTGGGGGCTCCATCCACGAGGGTCCCAAGGCGAGGCCCCCGCCTTCCCAGCCCCAGCCCCTACCAGCAGGGAGCAGGCCTCAGGAACGGGCCGTCTAGCGGGGCCACAGCCTCGGTGTCCAGCTCCCGGAAGCCACCGTGGCCGTCAGGACAGGCGCTGGATGCCCTCTAAGGCCCCTGGAAGGCCGGGCGCGGGGGTGCGGGTGCCAGCTCCGTCTGCTCGGGGTGGGCGGTCCTCTTTGGAGCCTTTGCCTGAGGACGACGGCAGCGGGTCGGGGCTCGGGCTGAGGCCCCAGACAGGCAGCGCCCAGGCCCCGGCGCGCACAGCGTACCTCCTCGTACTTGCTCCTCCAGTAGAAGTGCGCTTCTCCGTCCACATACAGCAGCAGCAGGTCACACAGGAAGGTGATCTGCGGGCAGCAGGGCCGAGCTGTGCCCCGGGCCCACCCCCCAGGCCTCCCCCAACCAGACCTGACATCGGGGGCCCGGCCGAGCCGTCGGGCGGGCCAGGCGCGTGCTTGCCCACGCTTGCTGCACTCACCACGCCCAGCCAGGCTGCTCCTGTGCCCAGGGAGATAAGCGTGGGGATGAGCCCGAACTTCCCTGCCTGAGAGACGGGGTGAGCCCTGAGCCGTGACTGTCCCCACCCCCCGGCCCCCCACCCACCACCCACCCAGTGACGTGACCGTCACCCCCCACACACACCCTGCCCACCTACCTGCCCTGTGACCAGGATGTCGAAACGGATCCCGTAGAGCTTGAGCAGGCTGCGGGCCTCCACACCCGAGCTCTCCCACCAATGAGTGGCTGTCCTGGGGGCAGAAGAGAGGCTGGTGGCCTGTTTGGCCTGCTCCCAGCCTCCACCCCACTCACCCGCTGACCCCACAAGCCCCCATCCCTGCTCAGCATCCCGAGAGGCTGCCGAGGACACGGGGGCAATGCAAGCTGGGATCCATCTCTCAGGAGCTCCCTGCCTGCCCAGGGGATGGGGCAGAAGGGTCCCTAAACAGACACCAGTGGGGGAGCTGGGCGCAGGCCCAGGGCTCTGGGGTCCGAGGGGGACCTCACTCTCCCTTAGGAACCAGAAAAGGCTTTCTACAGGGGCTCTCGGGTTGGCTTTCCAGAGGCCGGGAAGCAGTTCTACAAAAAGCATAGGGCAGCCAGGCCAGGTGAGGCCCAGGTAGCAGTCAAGGCTGTCGCCTCCAGACCTGGGGGCTGTGTGAGCTTGTGTGAGCCTGTGAGCATGTGCTCATGTGTGTGTGTTTGTACACACACGTGCATGTGTGCGCGCCTGTGTTAGCATGTGTTCGTGTGTGCTCATACGTGTGAGCATGTGCTTGTGCACGCACATGTGCTCATGTGTGTGCCTGTGCATGTGTGAGCATGTGCATGCATGTGTGTGTAAACACATGATGAGGTGGCAGGACAGGATTCCAGGGGGTGGGGTGGGTTCTGCTTGGGGGACTCAGACGTGACAATAAGTTCAGTGCAAATTCCTTAACCACACCTTGGATTAGAAAATAGAAAGGTTTCGGACTATTGTTGACACAGTTCAGGAAACTCAAGTCATTAGATTCTTTTTCTCAAAGGAGACATGGGTGTTCAAGGTACTAATCTTTGAACTCTTGTATAGACTTTGGAACTTTTTAAAATAAAACCTAAAGGAAAAAGTAAAATAAGAAGACCCCTGTGTGGTGGAGGGAGTGCTGGAAGCAGGACTGGGGGAGGGGGTACCAGTGGCAGAGGGGGTGCAGAGTGGAGGCTGGTTGAAGCCTGTGCTGGGGGCCCTGGCACCCGCCCCCCACAGCAGGCATCCAGGGCTCTGGGGGGACCGGCCGGGGTGGGGCAGCTGGGGAGGAGGGGCGGGGGTCCCAGCGGCAGAGGGGGTGCAGAGTGGAGGCTAGATGGAGCCTGTGCTGGGGGCCCTGGTGCCCGCCCCCACAGCAGGCATCCAGGGCTCTGGGGGCAGGCGGTGGGGGTGGGGGGCCGCACCTGAAGTTGTAGCTCCGCTCCTGCAGCTGGAAGGAGTACTGGGGCCGGCAGTCAGCACCCCCACTGTCCAGGTCACAGTCCCAGCGGATGTGGACGCCCACGGCCCCGCCCTGCACACAGCACACACTGCCCCAGCGGCTCTCAGGCCCTCCCGGGCCACCAGGGACCGCTTCCCGCCCACCTGGGACCCACCAGCAGTGCCAGATCCTCAAAGACCCCTCCGGCTGCAGCCACGAGGTCCCCGATGCGGAACACGGGGCAGGCGGGGCTGGAGCGGGGGTCGTAGCGGCAGAGCCTGAAGTAGGTGGGGTCCTGGGTGTCCAGGGCATTGGACCTGAGGGGGCGGGCCGCGGTCAGGATGGACAGGGGGCAGGAGGGCCTTTGGTCTGCCAGTCCCCCCACCCCACCCCACTGCACCCCACCCCACCCCATCCCCGCTTACTTGGAGAAGTTAAACTTGCTGAAGGTGACGGTGTTTTTGATGAACAGGGTGAAGTTCTCAGCCTGGAGCAGCAGGGGCTTCCTGAGGGGTGAAGGGGGGATGTGAGAGGCAGGCTCCGTGGTCAGGGGGTGGGGCGGGGCCTGGGGGGCTTACACGGGCACGGCGCTGCTCTCCACTGGACACCAGCCCCGGATCTCGCAGGTCCTGTGGGTCCCATTGAACACTACGCACTGGCCCGTCTTTATGCCTTGAAAACATGGGACAAATCCCAGGCCCTCGAATCTCCATGGGGCCTGGGTAGGGGTGGGGGGAGGGCGGCTGACAGGAAGGAGAGACGCAGACCACCCAGGGTCCCCTGGGCCGGAGCCCCCCAGCCCGGGGAGGCCCTGCAAGGCAGGCCCGCTTACCGTGGCTGTGCGTCCCCGTCTCCCCCTCGGGACAGTCCTGGTCGGCCCAGCAGTTAGCCAGCGGGATGGACGGGTGCTGGGGGCAGAGAGCAGACCGCCAAGGGCCTGGAGGGGCCTCCCTCGGGGAGCCTGCCCCGCAGGGCAAGGGGACACACCCCTTCCTGCCTTAGCCCCTGGGGGGTCTCTGAGTCTGGGGGCACCCGAGAGAGCTGGAGGCTGCAGATAAAAATGCAGTGGGCAGCCGCAGCGGGAGACGGGTGCAGGCGGAGTTCCAAGGCTGAGCAAGACTCCTGACCCGCTCCTCCTGGGGGATGGGAGTGACGCGGCCAGGCCCAGTGGCTCTGGTCCAGCTCAGACAAGGGAACAGGGGAGGTGATGGGCGGCGGGAGGGTGAGGGCTTGCCAGGTGGGGCCGCTGGGCACTGACCGTGGGCGAGCCCCGGTGGGACGGCCTAGGAGCACACAGGCTCGCCCCATCCCGGCTTGTTCTCCAGTAAGAAGGGGTCGTGGCTGCCTGCAGGCGGGGACAGAGTTCTGGGGGTCAGCCAGCAGGGGAAGGCTCCAGGCTCCAGAGGGAGACACAGTCTCACAGACGCGGCTTTGCAGTTCTGTCCTGGCTGGTGCTGGATACCGTTGCCCAGGGCACCCAGCTCAGGGCAGCGTTGGGAACTCTGGTGGTCAGAGGGCTCTGGGCCCAACGAGCTGAGCAGACGGAGGACACTGCGGGGACACCTGCCCGGCCTCAAGGTCCCCACCTGTGTCCTACGTCTGTCCCTCCGCTCCGCCTGGCTGGGCCTCCGTGGGCACCCCCCCAGGCCCGTCCCCCTCCATCCGGCTGCCCCTCCCAAGGCACCAAAAATGGAGCGCCCCTCCCCCGAGCCCCCCGCAGCGCCACGCTCCTGTGACCGAGCCCAGATCCTCCGCAGGGCCCTTGGGACCGCCACCCCTACTCCCGTCCAAAGGGAGGCTCCACCCCCACTGAGCAGCAGGTGACTCCCGAGAGGCCCCACCCGACACAGGGGGCCTTTGCCCACGCAGCCCCCTCTGCCTGGACAGCCTGAAGACCCCCGTTGAGCCTGGGCTCCAGCGGGAAGCCCTGCCTGAGCCCCCAGCGCTGGCAGAGGCCCTCCCGGGGACTCCCAGGTGCAGCCTCTGTGCCACCCCAGGACCTGCCTTGGTGGCTGGGCCGTCTGCCCCGGAGCTCCTTGGCGTGTGCGGGTGGGGTTCTGCAGGCCCCAGGGGAGGCGCTGCGGGTTTCTGAAGGCTGTGGCACCATCTGGAGCACAGCGTGTGTGCTGGGAGGACCAGCCCACCAGGATCCCCGGAGGAGCAGCTCTGAGGAAGGCGGGCGGTCAGATCTGATGCGTTACGGCCCGGCCCCCGCCATTTCATGGGAAGAGTCAGAAGCCGGGAATGGAGCAAAGAGGAATCCCAGGGATTCCAGGAAAGACAGAACCATGGCCCCAGCAAAACTTCAGGACAGTCCACACACTGAACCAAGACTAGATGTCCGTGAGCGTTTGCAAACGCAAGGGCATCGTGTTTGCCAAGGGAAGATGGGGCCCACTGGGCACACGCGTGCCCCAGCAACAGCGGTGGGACCACCAAGCAGGGCTCGGGCAGCTGACCGCACCCTTTCTCTCCATCCAGCAAGTGATTACGTTTTAGTCTCGATGAAAGAAAAGTGTCACCACGGAGGCAGGCTTCCAAGGCAGTGTCCTGGGTCAGGACTCTTCAAGCAAAACCCACAGCCAGGAAACTGAACCCTTAAAAACGATTAAGATGGTAATTTTGATGTTACATGTATGTTATCACAATTTGAAAAAAATCGGATAAAAAATCTGCAGCTGGAGAGAAGGGTCAGCGGGCTCTGTGGCAGAGGCTGGGCCCTGGGACGCCCTCAGGCGAGGAGGAAAGGTGCGGCTTCTGGGGACGGTGAGATTTTCTAGATGGTGGGGACCACAGCTTCAGGGCAAAGTGCGCAGAGGTCGTGGGCGACCCTGAGCTTGGCATGGGCAGCAGTGTGCCGTTTGCTCACAGAAACGGACGCTGCCCCCAGGACACATTAATGGAGGCTGTGTCTAGAAAAGGGTGGTGGTCTTCCAGCTTGCCTCTGGCTGTCAGAGTCCACCTGAGGCCTGTTACCTTGACAACCTCCAAAATTCCCCTGAGGCGGGACCAGGATGAGGAAGGGTCCGGACACTTCGCCGGTGACAGGCTCTGGAACTAGGGACCTCGGGCAGAAGCCCTCGGGCAGTCTTACCTCTGGGCACCTGCCCTGGACTTGTTCTGGTGTCACAAGGAAGTTGGTCACCAAGAAGAACACGTTCTCTCCCTGGAAGAGAAGCGTCAGGGTGGGTATCTGCTCCCTGTCCCCCACCAGGAGAGGCCAGCAGCTGGCAGCTTGGCTCATGCAGGGAGGGGGCCCAGACCCATCAAGTCATCAGCCCTGAGCCCCAGGGAAATGCCTCCAGTGTGGTGAGCCCGGCTGCGGCCTGGGGACCCAGCAGAAGGCCTCTGTCAGCCCGACCCAGGGATGGCGCGGGCGGCCGTGAGAGCTGTTAGGAAGTGGGATGAACAGGAGGGAGGGGCAGGGGGGTGTCCAGTGGACCCGACATGGACACTGGGGGATGTCACTGGAGGACAAGAGGCCATGCTGGGGGCGGGAGGTGATTTCCCGTCTGATGAGGTGGGCCTGCCCCTGGGAGCCAGCTGTGCTCGGGCGGGGCCCACCAGGGTTAGAATCTGGGCGTCAGCAGGACAGCGGAGGAGACTGAGGGGCGGACAACCTAGGTGACGGGAGGTGGGGCAGGAGACACAGCGTGGTGGGGGGCGGAGGAGGAGCGCCCCCCGTGGCCCCCCATCCCACCCCCAAGCTCACACGTTGAGCTCCAACATGCCTGTCCTTTCCAGATGCAGACTTTTTGTTTTTTGCTTTTCCATTATGTTTCTTAAAAATTATTTTTAAACTTGTGGCCCACGGGATCTTCCCTGCGGTATGGGAATCTACAGTTGCGGCAGGCAGGACCTAGTTCTCCAACCAGGGATGACACCTGGGCCCCTGCTTCAGGAAGGCGGAGTCTTAACCCCTAGACCAGCAGGGAGGTCCCTCCATCGTGGTTTATTACAGGATACTGTATATAGTTTGCTGTGCTATGCGGCAGAAGCTTATTGCTTATCCATTCTATAACAGTTTGCATCTACTGATCCCAAGCTCCCAGTCCTTCCCTCCCTCACCACCGCCCCCAGCTCGGCAGGCGCAAGTCTGCGGACTACAGCTGTGAGTCTGTGCGTAGATGCATTCACTTCTGTCACATTCTAGCTTCCACAGGGAAGTGGCATCGTCTGCCCCTGTCTGAGCGTCTCCGGGCCCGTCCTCGTGGCTGCAGACAGCATCACCTCACTCTTTCTCTGGCTGGGGAGCATCCCCTGGGGGCCTCCCAGCTGGCACTAGCCGTGAAGAACCCATCTGCCAATGTGGGAGATATCAGAGACAAGGGTTCGATCCCTGGGTCGGGACGATCCCCTGGAAGAGGAAATGGTATCCCATGGCAGTGTTCTCGCCTAGAGAATCCCATGGACAGAGGAGCCTGGTAGGCTACAGGCCATGGGGTCGCCCAGAGCAGGACACGACTGAGCAGCCGAGCAGGCACAGGCGGCATTCTGCCGTGCGCGCGCACCGCCTGTCCTCCACCCGTTCCGGATGCAGGCTTGCAGAACGCGTCCCTCTGGCCTGGCTTCCTGACCATCTCCTCCTCCACTGGAAGGCCACTGCTCTGCGAGGCCCCTCCAGGGCCGGCGCCCCGTCACCCTTGCACGGTGGGAGGGGGGCGGCCAGAGGGGGCAGCACCCAGCAGCACCTCCGGGTCACCCACCTGCGGTGGCTTCACGAAGTCAGCCACGTCCCACAGCCGGTTCCCCAGCTCCTCAATCTGGGTCACGGAGACCCCCTTGAGCTTGGTGATGACAGAGACCTGGGGGTCCGGGTCCTGCTCCTGGTAGCCTTTTTTGGCGAGGAGGGCCCAGCTGGGGAGGACAGACGGGCTTCGTGGTGCGCCCCCAGCCCCTCCCCCGTGGCCTCCTGGCTCCCAGCCCGGGGCTCAGGGGCCCCGCCTGGTCTCCCGCACGAAACTCCTTGCCTAGGCCAGAGCTCCGGCCACACATCACAGAGCCAGGGCCCTTGTTGGGCACCCATGGGTTTGGGGACGCCCACCATCACCTCCTTCACCAGCCATCACCCTCCCCTGCCCTGTCTATGTCCGGCTTCCTCCTCAAAGACGACCCCAACCCAGCTTGAACTGATGGTCGCTCCTGGGGTCCTTAGTGCTCCAGCTCTCACGAGTGTCAGGGACCACCTCCTGCCCGGCCAAGGGCCCCCGGTGTGGGGAGCGGGTCCATCCTGCTGGGCACTGGAGTCCAGCACAGGGCTGGGAAGAAGGCCCAGGAAAGGATGCAGGGAGGCACCTAAGCACAGGACCTGCTCTGACACACCCCCCAGCCTCCAGACAGATGGAGAACCTTCCTTCTCCCCACGTCCTGCCCTGCCCACCAACCACCAGCCCAGACCCTGAAGACTAAGTCTTTCGCCCCTCAGCCCAGCTGTGACCGCTCTGGCCAGCACACCCGGGAGCTGTCCTCTTACCCCACCACATAGACCACGACCCCCAGCTGCAGCAGTCTCTGCAGGGCGCCCACCCGCCAGTTCCGGGTCATCACATACTTCTCCGTTTTGTAATCCAGAAGACCCCAGCCCACCCCGGCGCCTGGGGAGCCCATGTTCCCAGCTCCTGCTGGCGGCCAGGCTGCGTGAGTCAGCACGGCAGCTGCAGCCACAGCTGAAAGGGGAGCTGAAGCAGGCGCCAAGCAGGGCCAAGCCAGAAGCTATTAAAGGGACACTCGGGCAGGACTCAGCCTCCACCTCCCAGGCCCTGGGCTCAAGCCCAGCCTCCCCGCTTCCCAGGGCCTCCCATCCACCGCAGACTCTGCCGGCTGGGCCCGGGCTCTAAGGGAGGAACCGTCTCAGCCACACCCTCTAACCTGTCACCAGCCACACCCTCTAACCTGTCACCTCTGAGGGGTGATGACAGGTGGGACAGGCACTGTGAGAGGGCCAGCTGGAGCCCAGAGGGCAAGGAAAGCCTCAGGAAGAAGGGAGCCCTGAGCTGCCCCGTGCAGACCCGACGCTCAACAAGCAGCGCTGGGGAGGGCTGTCCTGGGTGGAGGGAGAAACAGGCGACTGCTAGCGGGTGAGTGAGCGCTGGACCCACAGGTGGAAGCGCGATCCTGGCTGCAGAAAGCAGTCAGCCCCCTGTGCGGCGCCCCCGAGAAGCTGCCCCGTTCCCAGGCTCCCGAGTGCAAAGAGGTTGACGAAGAGGCAAGCCCGCCCCGCGCGCCGCCGATCGGTCCCGGCTGCGAGCGGACCAAGGTCAGCGCGCGCTCCTGGCGGTGTCCGCAGCAACCAACAACTCGGGGTCGCCTGGGCAACTGCTGCCGGGGAGGCGTCCCTATTGGCTGCATCGGACAAGCGCCCCGTCAGATTGGCCGGTGAGCTGGAGGGCCCGCCCCCATCCCCGGGCCGCGCTCCGCTGCAGTCCCTGGCAGTCCCCGCTCTGTGGCCGCGACTGCAGAGTGGGCGTAACCATGAGGGGTCCCCTCCAGGGGCCTGGGGAGAAGGAAGACCAGGAGGAAGGGGCGGCGGCGGCCTCTGGGCGTCCTGCTGGGGGCCCGGAGGCCAAGAAGGGTTCGGACACGGATTCGGACTCCAACCAGGAAACAGAAGGTGCCTACTGGCAGGGGGTGGGCAGGCTGGGGCCTCGTAGGCAGGGGACCCCCGTCTAGCAGAAGCGCACCCCTCCGTGGAGCTGGGGGCGGCTCCCGCCCTGTGCCTTCCCCCACCATGCTCCTGGCGGCATCAGTTCCATCCTTAGAACAGGCTTCCAGAATGAGGTTAAGAGGAAACCCCCCCCCCCAACACCCCGAACAGTGTAAGAAGGGCTGTCTCACCGCAGCCATCAGAAAAAAACTAAAGGAATGCAGGTAGGGAACTTAGAATTGCTTCAGTTTCCTCCCCTATAAGAGGTTCACACAGCCCTGTGGTCTGCAGTCCGGTGGAAGAGACAGCATACACTGCGGGGTCAGGGGGCTGGGTGTGGAGGGGGGCCAGGACCAGCTACACGAGTGGCAGGACTGCAGGTGGGGCCGCTGTCCTGGCACAGGGGGAGAGACCAGGCTGGGCAGTGGGGCCGGCCGGGAGAGGGCCACATGAACCCTGCCTCCCATCAGGTGCCCGCAGGCCTGGCAGGCTGGGCGAAGACACCCTCTACCTAAGGTTTTGCCGGGCTCACAGTGTCGTGCCCGCCTCCTGCTTTCTGCGCCAAGGGAGCGCCCCAGAGCTCAGCCTGCGGCACCGTGGCCTGGGGCCCCAGGTACCCCGGGAGGGACCCTCGAGCAGGTGTGAAGGGAGAGGACCTGGGAGGCAGCAGCCATGGGAGGGGTCCCTTCCTGAGCCCACTCCCCCACACACTCCCCAGCCCTGCTCGGGGTCCCAAGCATGTCCCATCCCCCACAGTGAGTTACAGTTGGGATCGGGGCTATGACAGAGCTCAGTACAAGGACTGGGGGGCCTGCAGGGCACCCCTAACTTGTTGGGGGGATCAAGGAAGCTCCTGGGGAGACCGAGAAGGAGAAGCCGGCATCCCTGGGCCTGTGGGAAGGAACCGAGCGGGCTGAGCCCTGCAGGCAGAGCCCAGGGAGTGTCCCCCCACCGTGTCTGCAGCCCTGGGAAGGGCCAGGCCCTCAGGTACCTATCTGTCCCAGGGCGCCCGGGCTCTGGCCCGGGCACTGACCTCCAATCCCTATGTCAAGCGGCTGGACCTCCGGGACAACGGACTCTGTGGGGCCGGTGCAGAGGCCCTTGCGGGTGCTCTGAGCAAAACCCGCAGCATCTGTGGTAGGTTCTGAGCCTGGGGTGGGGCTGGGCTACCCCACATGGGCCTTCTCACCCGGCTCCCAGCTGCTGCTGCTGCTAGGGGGCGGAGCTTCATCACAGGGTGGGGGAGTGGGATGCAGTCAGGCCCTGTGTGGGGTCCCCGGAGTTGTGGGGCCTCCTCCACTGTCTTTGGCCGGCCACTCCCCCTGTGTGTGGTGGCCTCCTGGTGCCTGGATGGGGGGGGGGCATGCAGATGGGCAGGGGCCAGGCAGGGCGGGAGAGGGGCTGCATCCAGATGCCGCCTCTGCCACAGAAGGGCGGGGAGACCCTGAGCAAGGAGCCAGCCTTGCTGAGCCTCAGTTTCTGACACTCAGTCCTTGGAGATGTGGGGACATACTCTCAGGAGAGCGTCTGCTTACGTAAGCCCTTGACGCGCGGCCACCTGGGCCGTCACCGCCAGTCCCGGAAAACGCTGCAGTGGCGCTTCCACGGGAGGGCCACACGGCTGCCAGGCGTGAATCACCCACTGAAGGGCTGGGTGCATCTACATCACAGCCCCACAGAGTAGGCGGTGTTAGCCCCCCGGCAAAGCTTGTGGACACACGGGCTGCGGACGGGAGTCCGGGGAGCTGTCTGGGGCCGCAGGGGACCCAGTCGATGGGGGGCAGACTCACCATCCACTCCAGGATAGTCCGGCCGCTAAGTCCCCCGTGCTGGGTCAGGCTGGGCAGCTGCGGGGGACGGGAGGGGGCGGGGCCTGGCTCTGGAGCCCGTTCCTGAGGAGTGCTGCTGGCCCCAGATGTGGACCTGTCGGAGAACCGGCTGGGAGCGGAGGGAGCCCGGGCTATTTGTGCTGCCCTGGCGGTGAGCCCGGCCGTGCAGAGGGTGCAGCTGGCAGGGAACGGCCTGGAGGAGCAGGCAGCCCAGTACCTGGCTGAACTCCTGCTGGCCCACACGGGCCTGAAATCCCTGGACCTGAGCTATAACCAGCTGAATGACCAAGCAGGTACCATCCAGCCACCGGCCAGGGCTGCCACAGTGGTGCTCGTGACCGTCTTCCTGGGGCAGGGTGGGCGGAGGTAGGCAGGACCACTCTGAGCATGCGTGCCCCGCTCCTGTTCCCTGCACCCCAGCACCACCCCGGGACGCTCAGTCCGTTCCCCAGGTATTTCTCTGCCCAGCCAGTGCCTGTGGGCCCTGACAGCCACTGGGGATGCAGCCATGACCTCAACAAAGCCCTTGCCCTCACGGAGGGCTTCCCAGATGGTGCTAATGGTAGAGAACCTGCTTGCCAACGCAGGAGACACAAGAGACTCGGGTTTGATCCCTGGGTTGGGGAGATCTCCTGGAGGAGGGCACGGCAACCCACTCCAGCGTTCTTGCCTGGAGAACCCCATGGACAGAGGAGCCTGGCGGGCTGCAGTCCACGGGGTTGCACAGTCAGACACGACTGAAGCAGAGTAGCAAGCACGCCCTCACGGGACATGTGTTAACAGGGTTACCCTCCATAATTACTGGTGCTGCAAAAGAAAGAAGCAGGGCAGGATTCTAGAGAAGAATGGACTCCCCCCACTACTTTAGAGAGGTGACCACCGGGGAGGACTCTGTGAGGAAGTGACCTCTAAGCTGAACTGTGAAGGAGGGAGAAGTCAGTCATGGCAAGACCAGAGGGGGCGCATTTCAAGCAGAGGAACCATTTCCCAGAGAGACAGACAGACCCCAGGGTGGCTGGGCTAGTGAGCCAGGAGAGGGGGCCCGGCACGGGACGGGGCTGCAGAGGGGCTGCAGGACCACGGCAGGCGGGATGGGAGGGCGCTGTTCCGGGTGCTGTGGGCGACGCCAGTGGGACTCCCCCAGCTCAGCACCTCCTCTCCTGCCCCAGGGCCTCCGCACGGGCTGGCTGCCTTGCCAGGAACATACACTTCCACCTGCCTGTCCTCAACCACCCCAGTCAGTTCTGAGAGTCACCTGGGGGCCTTCCCTGGAGGTCCAGGGGCTAGGACTCTGCTTTCCCAATGCAGGGGGGCCTGGGTTTGATCCTTGGTCAGAGAACTAGATGTCATATGCTGCAACTAAGACCTAGGGCAGCCAAATAAAATTTTTAAAAACTTAAAAAAAACCACATTTTTAAAAAAATTAAAAAAAAAATCCCCCAGGACCCTGGGTTAGGAATACAGATTCCGTGGCCCGGGACCTGCTGGGCCTCTGAATCCTCTTGAGGGGTATGCCTGTGGACCTGCATTGTAACAGCTGCCCCAGGAAATTTGCCTGATCCAGAAAGTTCGGGAATCACTTCTCTGCCTGCTGAGCGTGAGTGAATGGCACTAGCCTCGCCGTGGGAGAATCAGTCCTAGAGTTCAACTTTGAGACAGACAGCCTGCCTTCTGAGGAAACTGCTGTGGGAACAGGCACATTAAAAGAGAAGCTTATTTCAGGCTTTCAACAAAGTAAGCCTAGGTGTCCCTCTGGGCCAGCACCAAACAGGCAGTGAGGTTGGAGAGGCTTGAGACGTGAGGCCCTTCGAAGGCTGCACGGCTCGTGGGGGTCTGTGGGCGGGCCTGCCTCCCTGAGGGGTCTCAGCCTCCCCACCCGACCCGAGGCCAGGGTAGCACCGACCTGGTGAGGTGGCTGCGGGGGTCGTGAAGAACACGCACCGGGACCACAGAAGGCCGATTCACGGCTGTAGGTCCCGCTCAGCCTCCCGCTGCTCAGCAGAGAAGGGGCTTCCCTCCAAAGCGGGCGCTGCCGCCGCCTGCCTCTCCCAGCCCTGGACGGGTCTGAGACACTGCGGCTGTCAGACCTGGTGCTGGACATGCGGTGGGGGCCGGGATCTCAGGGAGGAGCCGGGCGGCCGCGCGGCCTGCAGGGAGCTCTCCAAGGTGCTACCGCGCCTGCGGACCTGGACGCTCAGCCTTCTGTTCTGTGCTGGGTGCCAGCACCATGGAGAGGGGCCAGGCAGGGCGGTCTAACGCTCAGAGCCCGGAAGGATGGACACGGAGCAGACAAAGGGTCCGAGGTGGCCCAGCGCGGCCTGACTGAGTAAGCAAGGCTTCCCGGGTGGGAATGAGGAGCTCTTCCCCAGGTAAAGAAGGGCGTCAGCAGTTGCACACGGGGGTGGGTGGGGGAGCGAGGGGAGCCGGAGCTGAGGACCAGGAGCAGGTCAGACCCGCTGAGCCCCGGCACAGCAGCGGATGGGTAGGCGGGGCTTCTGCCCATCCTACATGGAACATAGCTCTCGGGATTCTCTTTCCTTTCCTTTTTTCTCTTTTTAATATTTACTTATTTATTTGGAGAAGGGCATGGCAACCCGCTCCAGTACTCTTGTCTGGAGAATCCCATGGACAGAGGAGCCTGTTGGGCTACAGCCCATGGGGATGCAGAGAGTTGGACACGACTGAGTAACGTTCACTTCACTACTTGTTTATCTGGCTGCACTAGGTCACAGTTGTGGCACGCAAGGTCTTCAGCTCCAGCGTGTGTGATCTAGCTCCCTGAGCAGGGGTCCGATCTGGGCCCCCTGCGTTGGGAGCTCGGGAGTCTTAGCCGCTGGGCCACCAGGGAAGTCCTCTCCTTTTCTACACCGCTGCCTCCTCTACCACAGCCGCGCCGGCCTTGCCACCTCCTGCGTAGACGGTGGCACAAGCCACCCTGGCCTCTGGTCCCCGCCCCTGCCCACCATGACCTTGCCTCTTCTTAAAGCATCTCTCTAGTGCCTTTTGCTCCTGCCTCCTCTCACAGCCTCACCTGGGGGCCCAGCACCAGGCCTGTGTGCATTTCCATGAGCCCCGGACCCCCTGTCCCAGCTTCTCCCCTCCACGTTCACTCTCCATGGGTGCATGGGGCGTCCCTCAATCCTCAAGGCTCTTTCTGCTTTCCTGACCACCCCCCAAGGCAGGGTTAGCCCCCACTCTGTCCCCACGCCTCCCTGTTGGTGGTTGGATAGCTCACATCCCACAGATGTGTGTTTATAGCTTCTCTATTAAACCTGAATGCCTTGAAGGCGGGGCAGGCCCACGTGGGGTTGGATGCCCTGACGTTCGTGCACAGCCAAGACCCTGGCCCACAGCAGGCATCGCTGTCAGCTCTTGAAGGAATGATATGACTGAAGAAAAAAGTCTGTCATGGTGTTTCTTTTTTTTTTTTTTTTTTTTGTCGTGGTGTTTCTGAAGGGGAGACGCTTGGACCAGCCCTGGCAGAAAACACAGGACTCACGGAGCTCAGTGTGAGGTGGAATCACCTGCGAGGCCCGGGAGCCATAGCCTTCGCCAGGGGACTGGAGGTACAAGGCCCCGCCCAGCAAGCCCCTCTGGCCTGTCCTTCGGGGGCGGGTCTCCCAGGCACCAGCCCCCCACCTCTTGCAGCTCTTCAGAAATGAGCCCTAGGGACTTCCCCGGCAGTCCCTGCAGTCCAGTGGCTCAGACTTCAGGGGGCACAGGTTCAATTCCTGGTTGGGGAACTAAGACACCCCACGCCTCATGGTACAGTCAAAAGAAAAAAAAAGGAAGAAAGGAGCAGCTGGATCTTTCCAGCATTGCTGAGAGGATGTTTCTGCAGGTGACTTCAGCTTCCCTGGCTTTATTTAATGACGACAGTTTGGTCTCCCTGCACTGACTCTCAGGGTGCTGAGTGAGGGGTCCATAGCTGGAGACGCACGCTTCTGGAGACGTCACGGACACTTGGGTGGGGGGACACCATGCGTTCCAGTGACGCACACTCACTGCTGGAAAGATGCTTGCCTGAGATGACAGCCCTGGGCCCTGGGACCCTTGCACACCCTCTCACATGCCCCTCCTGCTCCCTGGTCCTGACGCCTGGGGAGTGGGGGGCACAGGACCCTGTGATGCCCCTGGGGGCAGCTGCCTCCGTGGGATCTTCCTCGGGGAACGGCAGCAAGGCCATGCGCTCCCACAAGGCTGACCAGGGTCTCGCCCCACAAGCTGGGCACCCATGGGCTCCCCACTTCTCCCCATCACAGCCCTCTGGACACATTTCACCGAACAGTCCTTCACTGGTATCCTCTCTGGGCCCTGGGCTGTTCTGTGCCTCGGGGTCCCTGCCTGACAGGGGTCCCCGCCATTGTGTCCCTGGGGCCTGTGGCCCGGGGCAGACCGCCCAGTCCTGAGGCTCGCTCACACCCATGCCCAACCTCTGCACTCGAGTCTGGCCTTCCCACTCCACTAGTCGCCACCATCCAAGCCCAGGGCTCTCCCCTGCAGCCTCTGTGGCCTTCTGCTCCCAGTCCACGCCCTGCTCCTCAGCCCCCCTGGGCTCGGAGGCTGGGGCCTGGCTTCCTCCACCGGCACGTGTGGCCCCACGGGGCTGCTCCTCTGCGTCCCAGGCAAACACCTTCCTGAGGGTCCTGGACATCTCATTCAATGGCTGTGGGGATTCCGGAGCCTCCGCGGTGGGGGAGGCGCTGAAGACCAACGATGTGCTGGAGGAGCTCTACATGAGGTGAGAGCAGGTGGCCCCCGCCCCTGCCTCCAGGACCCCGGCCACCCAGGGACTGGGACTCCTGCTGCTGTTCACCCTCAGGGCTGGAACCTGTCACAGTCCCAGGGCAATCCGCTCTGTCCCTCTCACTCAAGTTCATCCTTGCCACGTGAAAGTGTTAGTTGCTGAATCGTGTCCACTCTTTGTGACCCCAGGGACTGTAGCCCACCAGGTTCCTCTGTCCATGGAATTCTCCAGGCAAGAATACTGGAGTGGGTTGCCATGCCCTCCTCCAGGGGGTCTTCCCAACCCAGGGATCGAACCTGGGTCTCCCAAATTGCAGGTAGATTCTTTACCCTCTGAGCCACCAGGGAAGCTGATCATTTGTACGTGGGGACTCGTAATTCCTACCACATGGCTGTGGGCTGGGAGGTGCAAACACGTAAACCTCTTTAGCGAAGCTGGTGTGGGCGGTGGCGCTCCACCTGCATGCTCCTCCCTTTCAGGAGGGATTTGTGCTCTGTCCAGCACATGGCTGCTGGGGGCCTGCACAAGTGAGCTGCTCCTCCAAGCCCAGGCATGGTCCCAGGCCTCCTGGGGAAACCAGAGGGAAGGGAGGAGGCGGAGGCCAGACATGTCATGGGCTGTCCGCCATTGGCACAGGCATCTGCTCCATCCTACCCATTCTCCCCTCCCGATGGGGGAAAGCTGGGGTCTGAGAAGTTAGAGGGGAGTGGGGCTGGCTTGGAGACAAAGTAGCCAAGAGCAGTGAGGAGGCCTGGAATTTGGGCCCATCGGGAGCAGAAGCTGTGGGGAGGGAGCTGGGTGGCTGTCATGAGGACAGAGGCAGGGTGCAGGATGTGTGGGAGCACCCACTGAGTGATGAGGGCCAGGGAGCAGCAGCGGGTCTCCACTGGGGCGTGGGGTTGGGGGGCAACAACCCTCTAGGCACATCTGCTGGACCCTGAACACTGGAGACCCCACTGAAGCATCTACACACTGACCTGCCCAGGGCCCCCGGGGTGTGCTTGGAGGCTGGACCTGGGGGTTGCACCAGCAGCCCTGGGGCAGTGTGGCTCTGCACAGCTGCCTGCAAGGCAGCGCAAGGCACACGCCTTTCTGTTGCAGCAACAACCGTATCTCCGCGGTGGGAGCCCTGAGCCTGGGCCTGGGCCTGCGAGTCAACCAGACACTGAGGATTCTTGCTGTGAGTGCCAGCCTGAAGGGGGAGGCCCCGGCACAGACCCGCCTGTGCCTGTCCACACAGCCCCCTCCCCGCCACATCTCACCCTGGTGCCTGCGGGCACATGGGGGAGGGGGCGCCTGGCTTCCTCCTGCAACCTCGTCATCCACTCACCCATCTCTGGCCTGGCCCACAAATTCCTTCGGACTCCCCCCAGGCCCACCGGGCTTCCCCTTACCTCCCCCTGGCCTTGCTGGAACCCAGGGGCCACACAGGTGTTCCGGCTCCAGTGGGGAGGATGTGGCTGACAGTGAGAGCAGAACGCAGTGAAGGGAGGCCGGAGAGGGCCCTCTGTGCCAGCTGCACGTGCTCTGAGGACATCAGCCCTGCCTGGCCCTCAGGGGGCACAGGAGCCCCCAGCCTGAGGCTCACTCTTGCCCCCGAGTAGAACCCAGAACTCTCCCTAAGCTCTGAGTCTCCATTTCTGGCCACCCGCCGGATGGCCCCCGAGATGAGAACAGGTGCACGGGATTCTGGCAGTCGAGCCTGACCTGGTCGTCCCCCTCTAAGGGCTGCCTCTAGGTGGGGGGCTCCTTCCCATCCTGTCTGCTGGGGCCCAGTGCTGACCCCACCTCGTTCCACATCTTCCCCCCGGGGAGCGGGGCCAGGCTGCCCGGTGCCCCACCTCCCCGCCTGCAATCGGCTGCTAACAGGAGATGGTCCCGGCTTTAAATCTCTCTGAAAGACACCAAGCTTAGTCATTTGCTCATTCACAGTACATGGGCTCTGCGCTCTGCCAGCCCCACCCTCCTCCCTACCTTGAAGTCCTTCACTCTCAGCCCAGTTCAGTTCAGTTCAGTCACTCAGCCGTGTCCGAATCTTTGCGGCCCCATGGACTGCAGCACGCCAGGCCTCCCTGTCCATCACCAACTCCCAGAGTTTGCTCAAACTCACGTCCATCAAGTCAGTGATGCCATCCAACCATCTGTCGTCCTCATCCTCTGTCGTCCCCTTCTCCTCCCGCCTTCAATCTTTCCCAGGATCATGGTCTTTTCCAATGACTCATTTCTTCACATCAAGTGGCCAAAGTATTGGAGTTTCAGCTTCAGCATCAGTCCTTCCAATGAATATTCAGGACTGATTTCTTTTAGGATGGACTGGTTGGATCTCCTTGCAGTCCAAGGGACTGGAATCTTCTCCAACACCACAGTTCAAAAGCATCAATTCTTTGGTGTTCAGCTTTCTTTATAGTCCAAAACTCTCACATCCATACATGACTACACATGACTACTGGAAAAACTATAGCTTTGACTAGATGGACCTTTGCTGGAAAAGTAATGTCTCTGCTTTTTAATATGCTATCTAGGTTGTTAATAGCTTTTCTTCCAAGGAGCAAGCGTCTTTTAATTTCACGACTGCAGTCACCATCTGCAGTGATTTTGGAGCACAAGAAAAGAAAGTCTGTCACTCTTTCCATTGTTTCCCCATCTATTTGCCATGAAGCGATGGGACTGGATGCCATGATCTTAGTTTTCTGAATGTTGAGTTTTAAGCCAGCTTTTTCACTCTCCTCTTTCATCAAGAGGATCTTCAGTTCCTCTTCACTTTCTGCCATAAGGGTGGTGTCATCTGCATACCTGAGGTTATTGACATTTCTCCTGGCAATCTTGATTCCAGCTTGCGCCTCATCCAGTCCAGCATTTCTCATGATGTACTCTGCATATAAGTTAAATAAGCAGGGTGACAACATATAGCCTTGACATAGTCCTTTCCCAATTTGGAACCAGTGTGTTGGAAAACAAGGAGAGAACACAGCCCCGCCCATCAACAGAAAATTGGATTGAAGATTTACTGAGCATGGCCATCAGAACAAAACAGTTTCCCCCACAGTCAGTCTCTCCCATCAGGAAGCTTCCATGAGCCTCTTATCCTTCTCCATCAGAGGGCAGACAGACTGAAAACCACAGTCACAGAAAACTAATCAAACTGATCACATGGACCACAGCCTCGTCTAACCCAGTGAAACTATGAGCCATGCTGTGTGGGGCCACCTAAGACGGCCGGGTCATGGTGGAGAGTTCTGACGAAACGTGGTCCACTGGAGAAGGGAAGGGCAAACCACCTCAGTATTCTTGCCTTGAGAACCCCATGAACAGTATGAAAAGACTCTCAGCCCAAGTGCTTGCAATTTCCCAGCCATGCGGTACAACCTCTCAGCCTCGCTTTGCTCCTGTGGCTCTTCTTGTTGAAATGCCCAGCTCAACCCACCTGGCCTGGAAAGCTCAGCTCGGGTGCTTCATCCCATCCACCCTTCACTTTCCAGGGAGGGTTGGTGCAGGGGTCTCTCAGCACTCTCCACACTGCATTGTTTTGTTTCTTCTCCTCTCCTCCCTGTAACAGTGAGCTCTTTAAGGGCAGGGCGTGTCTCGTGTGTCTCTTTGATTCCTGACAGAGTGGGTGCAGGGTGGGGGGTGCAGCCAGTGTCCACTCCCTTCTGCTATTCCTGGTTCCAGCACCACCAAAGGCATCGTGCCGCAGGGAAGAGCCTTTTGAGCTGAGAGAGTGGGGCCGCCCAGAGCCACATCAGCAAAGATGGGGGATCCCTCCTGCTGCCCTGGGCTTGGCGTCCCTCACTGAGGGACGTGTGTGCTTCTCAGGTGTCCAGGAATCCCATGCGAAGTGAAGGCTGCTCTGGTGTGCTCAAGTCTGTCCAGGCTAATCCACAGTCTGCACTGGAGCTTCTAGACTTTTCTGTGAGTTTCTCATAAACCTTGTCTCTGACCCTCCCAACAGCCCTGGGAGACATGACTTTCTCCATTTTAGAAGGAAAGAAGTGGGGATTGGAGAGAATGCCTGCTCAGGCATACGGTGTGGCCACATCCGAGTTCCAACCTGGGTCACGATGCCACTCTGACTCTGCTCCTGCCTCTGTGCGGGGTGTCATGGTGGTCTCACCTCGGACCCCTGCCTGGGTTCTTCATTGGCAGAGAGGGAACAGGTGGATCAGAGGCACCATGCTCACTGATGTTTGGATTTGCAGGTTCATCTCTTGCAAGGCAGCCCCTCCTCCCAGCCAGCAGTGCCTGCGAGTGGATCCTAGTGCTGGAGATTCACTCGGGGGGCTGCACGAGAGATGATAACCCTTTCACTCCATTTTGCCTTTAAAAAATTCTTTATTGGCAGTGTGGAGTCTTAGCCACTGGACCACCAGGGAAGTTCCAATTTTGCCTTTTAATATAGAAAAAATATCACTCTTTTCTAAGGTGGTTAAACACAAAGGAGAGAATCCCCAAATACGAATCATGAAGAGTCTAGTTACAAATCACTGCTCATTTTCTCTCTGATTTCAACCCAGGCTTGAGTCAAAGCCTGTTCAGAGATGTGTTTACAGTTTCAATCCTTCAAACTTGGGACAAACTGATACCCTATGAGGCTCTAGACCTTGTGTGTGTGTGAGTAAAATGGTCAAGTTCTCAAAAAGTCTTAACATCCTTCCTAGTGATGGGTTTCTCCTCAGGATATCCAGGTGAACAGAGAGTTTGATGATCTTGCCAGGTCAGTGAAGGTCATCCTTCCAGGGCTTTGCATAAAGACGGCTGCCCGCAGAGTGGAGTACAAAAAAGAACTGCTGGCCGTCTTCAGACCATCTGAATGACTGTGTTGTGTGACTTTCTTCTCTCTCCCATGGGCCACTTCAACTTCAAGGTGACTTTCAGTGCATTAGTGCACTGAGGCCCCATGTCAACCAGGTGGAAGTCCTACAGAGCTGGCCTTCATAGTGACTGAGACATCAGTGTTAACCAGGGCCTTCCATTGTTCTCATTCAGGTCACAGATTTGTACTCCTAGAGAAATGAAAACATGTCCACACAAAAACTTGAACATACATGTTCATGGCAGCATTATCCATGATATCCACAAAATGCAAATACCCACCAACTGATGAGCGGATAAATAGAATGTAGTGAAATGAAATATTACTTGGCAATAAAAAGGATGAAATTTAGGACGGTGAGAATGTTCTAAAATTGATTATGGTAACGGCTGCACAATTTCAGTAACATACTAAAAGTATTTGAATTGTGTACTTTAAATAGATAAATCGCATGATATGTGAACTGTGTTTTATACAGTTAAAAAAAAAGGTGGAGAAGGAAAGGGCAACCCACTCCAGTACTCTTGACTGGAAAAGTCCATGACAGAGGAGGCTGGCGGGCTGAAGTCCATGGGATTACATGACTGAGCATGTGTGCACGAGGGTGGAGGGAGATGGGTTGGTAGCAATAAAGTGGTAGAACTAAAAAAAAAAGAAAGAACGAAGAAAAGGAACGAAGTAATGACACATGCGACAACATGGATGAACCACTACCCTAAGTGAAAGAAGTTTATCATAAAAGACCACTTATTGCACCACTTTAACTGGGTGACTTGTCCAATATGTACATCATATCTCAGAAAAACTGTTACCTACACACACACACACACACACACACACACACACTGTTTGATCCATATTGTGTGGAAAAAATGATGTATAAATGTGTATACTAGCAAAAAAAAACAGAAAAGATCCAAAACAAAACAACCCTGGCACATTAATAATGCTTATCTCTAGGTTGTGGCTTTATGGCTTTTATTTCCTTTCTATTTTCTTGCATTTTCCACTCTTCACACTCAGTATGTGTTACTTTTACAATCAGAAAAATAAGTCGTGCTTAAGACCAGGTCAACAGCACAGGTCTCGAGTCTGCTGCGTTCTCGGCGCCGGAGGAAGGAGGGTCCCCCCATACCCACGACAGCGTCCTAAGCTGAGGCGGTGCTGGGGCCAGGAGGTGACGGAGGGTGACGGGAGCCAGGTCCTGCGGGATGCGCGCCCGCGAGGAGCCCCAGCAGTCTGCTGTCCCCGCTCCCATGCGGGGCAGCACTCCTCGGTGACCCTCCGCCCTGTAGGGCGGTGAGAGGACCTCACAGTCGGAGCGCGGGGCTGGGCCAAGCGCCGCAGGACGCTCCCCCACTCCCCTGTAGAGCCTGCAAATAACCAAGCCAGTCATTACACCAAGGCCCCACACCCTCCGCAATTAACCAGGAGGCTCCGGGCGGAGGCCCGCGAGGTGAGGCGGCTAGGCCAGACCACGCCTGCCGCAGGGTGCGTGAGTGGCGGGGCGGGGGGCAGTTTGAGGAGACCGGATAAGGAGACCCGGCGCGCTCCGCCTCCCGCGTGCCCCTTCCCGCCAAAGCCACGTCCAATCAGAACGCGCCACAAACCGACAGTCTCGTGTGAGTCAATCAGAAGCGGGGTTCTAGAACCAGCCCCGCCCCACAGCGCTCTGGACCAATGGGCATCGGCGGCGGCGGCGTGGGGTCCACGACGACGTGGGGGGCGCGTCCGAGGAGCGCGAGGCTCGGGGTCGGCAGTTGAGCGGCGGCGTCGGCGAGAGCAGTTGGGCTTTGTGTAGCGGCGGCGGTTGGGCTCATAATGGTACGGATGGATGGAGCGGGCGGTCGGGCGGGCGGGCCAGGAGGCCTGGAGGCCGTGTTAGCGGTGGGGGGGCTGAGACCGAGGACGCCAGAGGAGCCCGTGTGGGCTTCTGGTGCGAATCACGCGGCGACCCGAACAGAGGCTGAGAAAGAGAAACTGCGAAGGTAGAGCCGCAGTTCCCAAGAGTATCTACGTCCGAGGGCCTCAGCGGCCAGCGCGCCTTCGCATGTGGCCCCAGGGCTCAGGGGAGGCAGGCAGCCCCAGGTCCAGCCTCCGGGACGCGGACAGTGGGCAGTGCCGGGCTCCGGAGGTTGGGGCGGGGCGTGCTCGGGAAGGAGGTCATCTACGGATAACGGGGGGCACAGGATTTGGTCTGCGGGAGCTTTCTGAGGACATGGAGACAGGGATAGGAATATCATTACCCAAACTTCAGTGATCTGGGCGAGGACGGCAGTGCGCTTTCCTTTCTGTGGAAAGTGAGGAATGATTTCCCCGAGCGATTCCTTTCATTGTCAGTCAGGTGGACATAGCCTGTACTGACCATGGAGCTCCCCAGCTGCACTTTGTAAATGAAGACATTAGGTCACAGAGCTGACCCTGAACACACTGGGGCTGAGCAAGCAAGAGTGACACAGGCATTCTGTGAAATACAGCTGTTCTGGATTCGAAGCGAACACCATGTGTGTGAAAACCGCGTGGCTGGGTGGATTTCAAAGGCCTTCCCAGGGTGCTGTTAGAGTCTCCTCTGGAGGAGTGAGTGCCTTGTCCCCGGAGAAGGTCTTTCCAGAGCCCAGTGCTCCCCTCCGGAATGAGGTGCGAGGACTGCTGCCTCACATTGATCTCTGAGATATGGTGCTTGTGTGATAGAAAAGAGGACCAAGCTCCTAGGACTATAAGTTAGATTTTAGGGTGGGTGGCACACCTCAGATCTCACTTGATCTCCTCTATGTATTAGGATGATGTGTCTAAATTCAGCCAGACGGTTAGGGAATGTAGAATTACATTCCCAGCAGGAAACAGAGGGTACATTTAAAATATTTAATAGGTACTGTGAGTGCAGTCTGTTAGAAGATACTACTTACACAGATACGGGCAGGGTTTAAGGAGACCCCCAAAGGACAGCGCAGTATCCCAGCACGTGACATTTGGGAGCCATTAACTCCTAGGCTCCAGGGAGTGAGGGGCGGGGGGTTTCTGATGACCGATGACTGCCCACAGTCTGTGCCCTTGAAAAGGAACCCAAGACAGCCTGGTGGGGAGGGAGCCAGCAGCAACCACCGTGACCACCCCTTCCTCCAGCCTCCATCTCTGCTGCTCACTGACACGGGCTGATGCAGCCAGAAGCTAGGGGGAACAGTCCACACTGGTCAGCCTGGAACCAGAGCTGGACGGAGAACAGAGGGTAGACCTAGAGGCACAGGCGGAACAGATTCAGGTCCCATCCAGTTTTCCTTTTCCATTACCGCTTATCCTTCGGTCAGGACTCGATCAAAATGGCTATATTCTCTAGAGAAGTACTGACACTGGCCATAACATGGAGTTTGTTACTGACATACGGCTTGCAAGTATTAAAGTAACTGAATTTACCTATGGTATGGGCACGTAGACTTTGGGGCTAATTCTGGTGCTGTCAGCTCACGTGTTTCGGAGCAAGCCAGTTTTCACAGGGTTAAAAGGGTCACATAAGGCTCCTTAAAAACAAGGTTTGAGAAGGCCTGAGACACTCTAGAGGCACATACAAACATTGAGTTAACATCTGCATGCCATGCAGAGACCCCTGCCGAGTCGCTGGGCCTCACTCATTTCTCTGCTTCCAGCGCGAGTGCATCTCCATCCACGTGGGGCAGGCGGGCGTCCAGATCGGCAACGCCTGCTGGGAGCTGTACTGCCTGGAGCATGGCATTCAGCCCGACGGCCAGATGCCCAGCGACAAGACCATCGGCGGCGGGGATGACTCCTTCAACACGTTCTTCAGCGAGACCGGGGCCGGCAAGCACGTGCCCAGGGCCGTGTTCGTGGACCTGGAGCCCACCGTGGTCGGTAGGTCCCCTCCCACTTGGCAAGGGAAGCGCAGAACCTTCGCTGGGCACACACAGGTCAGAAGCACGAGGTAGTTTCCGAGGGGAGCGGCCACCCAGGAGACGACAGACAGTCACCCCGGAACCAGGGAGACCCAGGCCACAGGGGTGCCCGGGGTGGTCAGGCTGGCATCTATGCAGGGTGGCAGGGCCGTCCCAGTGACGTCGGGGTGGAGCGGCGGGTGTGGGCGAGGCGCACACAGAGCCGCCTGGGCACTCCTGTCCTTCGGGAACCGGCCACACTGGTGCTTTTTCTGGTTGATGGACCCCCTGGAGCCGTGAATGGCAGATGGGCATGTCTGTCTCAGAGACTCGCCTGGGAGACCTGACCCCCGGCCTGGGAGGAGCAACGCGGACCTGCAGATAGGCAGGTCCTGGAGCCGCCGCGGGGGTGAGGCGGCGTCCTCCAAGCCCGGCTGCTGTCCCCCCGCAGACGAGGTGCGCACGGGGACCTACAGGCAGCTCTTCCACCCGGAGCAGCTGATCACCGGGAAGGAAGACGCGGCCAACAACTACGCCCGCGGCCACTACACCATCGGCAAGGAGATCGTCGACCTGGTCCTGGACCGCATCCGCAAGCTGGTGAGAAGGGCCCGGGGAGCTCCCGGCCAGGACTGGAGAGCCCGGGGTGGCGCGTGCGGCCCGGCTCACGCCTCTCCCTCCCGCAGGCGGACCTGTGCACGGGGCTGCAGGGCTTCCTCATCTTCCACAGCTTCGGGGGCGGCACCGGCTCAGGCTTCGCGTCGCTGCTCATGGAGAGGCTCTCGGTGGACTACGGCAAGAAGTCCAAGCTGGAGTTCGCCATCTACCCGGCGCCCCAGGTCTCCACGGCCGTGGTGGAGCCCTACAACTCCATCCTGACCACGCACACGACCCTGGAGCACTCGGACTGCGCCTTCATGGTGGACAACGAGGCCATCTACGACATCTGCCGGCGCAACCTGGACATTGAGCGGCCCACCTACACCAACCTCAACCGGCTCATCGGGCAGATCGTGTCCTCCATCACGGCCTCCCTGCGCTTCGACGGCGCCCTCAACGTGGACCTGACCGAGTTCCAGACCAACCTGGTGCCCTACCCCCGCATCCACTTCCCCCTGGCCACGTACGCCCCGGTCATCTCGGCCGAGAAGGCCTACCACGAGCAGCTGTCCGTGGCTGAGATCACCAACGCCTGCTTCGAGCCGGCCAACCAGATGGTCAAGTGTGACCCTCGCCACGGCAAGTACATGGCCTGCTGCATGCTGTACCGGGGGGACGTGGTCCCCAAAGACGTCAACGCGGCCATCGCCACCATCAAGACCAAGCGCACCATCCAGTTTGTGGACTGGTGCCCGACCGGGTTCAAGGTAGGCGGGGCGGTAGCGCGTGTGCAGCTTTCTGCCCGTGGCCGGTCCCGGGGCGCGGTGCTGACCCGCCGCAGAGGGTCCCCTGTTCCCGGGCAGCTGGGCTTCAGGGACAGCAAGGTTAGTAATGAGTGCTGGATGCCTTGATCTTGATCAATACTTCACGCACCTTTACTTGTTACGACCAGCCAATAATGCCATGGGCTGATACTGCCAACATCTTACGCTTCAGAGACAGACGCTGAGACTGCTTTTAGAGCCTCAGAGCCTCAGGGTCAGCGACGGAAGGGGGGAGCTTTCAGAGACTTCCGACTGCAGGCCTGTACTCAGGTTTCCCCACTGCTCACCCAAGAACCTTGTCAGAGTCTGTGGTGTCATTCTGTGATTGGGTTTAGATTTCACATTACTTCAGTCACCAGTTGTCACTGAATCTTAGGCAACAGTTATGGTTTTGTAGAGAGGCTCTTCTATTCATTATGCAATATTTTCTGTGGGACCAAGAGTGGTTCACTGCTGTTTCTCCAAGTCAGACTTGGAATGCTGCCTCCCATACAAAACCACACTAATAGAAGTGGCTCCTCCAACTGTGTTTAGTGTCACAGTGAAATGTCTGCCCAAAGAAGAGCATCCTGAATTTGAAGCCAAGTCCCAGAATGTCCCACTTTAGACCTGTGACCACCAGGCTAAGTGTCTGGCCACGCCTGGGCTTGTGAACCCTGCGCCCTCTTCCTCGTTGAGTCCTTTCTCACAAGTGATCTTCGTTAGATAAAGTGCTGGATCCTGCATCTGAGCCCTGATGCGGCCCTTCGGTGTGCTGGGAGTTGCCATCCCCAGGGTCTTTGCAGACTGAAAGTGAGGCCAAGTAGCAGCGATGCGCGGGTCGTCGTCTTCCCGTTTAAATACCGAGCTTGCCTCTGACCAGCCCACGCTGTTGCACCCACCTGGCCTCTGTCAGCCTCACTGCCAGACACCTTGACACGGACCACCTGAGGGTGTTCGACTCACACGTGTAAATGACTCACAGGGGTAAAGTGTGTATGCAACAGGTTTCACCAATTAGAAATATCCACAAAATTAAACCTTCGTAGATGTTTGCAGGCCTCTGAGGTTAGGTTAACAGGTTGGGGTCGGAAGCTTTTTTTTTGCCATGCCACACGGCATGGGGGATCTTAGTCCCTGGGCCAGACGTCAGCCCTTGGCCCCTGCAGGAAACCGCCGCGTCTGGACCACCAGGGAAGTCTTTTTTTTCTCCCATTCTTCTTGGTTTGAGGACGTTTCCTTTCAGTGCCCTCGCTTTGACCTTTGGGAGGCAAGGCTGCCACCCACGGCCGCCTCAGCTGGGCAATGCCGTGTGCGGTGCCGGGCACTGTGCCCAGGCTTCCCGTCCTGGCCGAGTCTGTGTGCCAGAGGGGAGGCCAGTCTGGAGGGAGGTCAGGAGGTCACACTGCTGTCCCCACGCATGACAGTTCACTCCTGGACGGTGTTGCATCCTCACCTGCCCGAGTGACTTCAGTGCTGACAGCTGTCTGCTCAGGGGTGCACCATTTTCATGGAATCTTTCTCCATGTTTGTATCAGGTTTTCTCATTATGAAAGTGTGTATGTGGCGAGATATTTTAGTCCTGCAGAAGGCTGAAAAGCTTAAGTCCTCTTCTAAAAGTGAAGATGTAGGATATTAAAACACTGGCAGATACTGCCAAAAAGTACAGCACCTGTTCCTACATGGCATCATGTAAAGTGGGTCCACGGCCCCCATTTTAAAAAACAAGCTCCCATTTCCGAGGCCACACTCCGAGTTCACCATGTTCTCCTTCTCCGGCAGGTGGGCATCAACTACCAGCCCCCCACGGTGGTGCCGGGGGGGGACCTGGCCAAGGTGCAGCGGGCCGTGTGCATGCTGAGCAACACCACGGCCATCGCCGAGGCCTGGGCCCGCCTGGACCACAAGTTCGACCTCATGTACGCCAAGCGCGCCTTCGTGCACTGGTACGTGGGGGAGGGCATGGAGGAGGGGGAGTTCTCGGAGGCCCGGGAGGACCTGGCGGCGCTGGAGAAGGATTACGAGGAGGTGGGCGTGGACTCGGTGGAGGCGGAGGCCGAGGAAGGGGAGGAGTACTGAAGGCGGCAAGGCCGCAGCCACGCACGTGTTTCCCCGAGTGTCCCGTCACAGATGTGTTTCCCTATTAAAGTTTTTGTGTTGAGCATCATTTGCGTGTGTTGCTTTCGGCCCAACCCCCGCCAGATACCCGTCTTTACAAGTGAGCCTCGGTAAGAACCGTGTTCCTCCCCGACGGCAGTGTTGAGGGAGGGCCGCACGTCTGGCTATGCAGAGCATCACCTGCCGCGTTAACCCGGAAAGGAGCGGAGGGCGGAAGGTGGATGCACGCTCCACCTACAGACGTCGGGTCAGCGCGCTACTCGGGGGCCGGAAGCGCACCCGAGCGGGTCTTCGAATAGGAACCCGCGCTCCCCGAAGAAGTGGCGCTAGAGCCTCCCGCCCGGCCCACGGCAAACCCCTTTACCGGGGGAAGCGTGCGTGCCGGCTCTGACGGCACCACCGCGATCCCGGCGGCCTGATCGAGCCCCGCGGCCCCTTTTCGCCGCTTCCGGGAGCCGCTCCTCAGCGAGCGCCGAGCGCTTCCGCATCTCTATGGTACCGACTTCCGCGGCGAACCAAACCTCGCGAGAACTCGGCGGCGCCGCAATGGCGAGACCGTGAGTGCCGCAGACGAGTCGGAATAGCGGGCTGGGTCGGGACTCGGCGAGGTCGGGCGGGGGAGACTCGCCAGGCCCGGGCCGCCGGAGTGGGGTGGCGGCCTGGGCCTCGGCTGTCGCCGAGACCGAGCTCCCGCCTCTGCCCCAGATGCCGCGTCACTGCTCCGCCGCCGGCTGCTGCACACGGGACACGCGCGAGACGCGCAATCGCGGCATCTCTTTCCACAGGTCAGCGCGCGTGCGCGTCGGCGCGCGGATGGCCCCTTGCGCATGCGCCCGTCCCGCAGCCGCGCACGCGCTTTCGCGCCTGGGGCGGGGCTCGGGTGTGGCCCGGGGCGGGCGGGGGACGGCCCCTGGCTTTGGCTTTCGGCGGCGTCTGCGCTGCGCGATGATGTCGAGTGGACCTTTATCTCTCCGGGGGCCTAAGCTTCCTGGTCTGCGCGTGGGCAGGGTTCGCTCGAGGTCCGCGGGCGGTATGAGCCAGGCCGCACCTTCCCATCGCGCTCACGGGCTCGTGGCCCCGCAGGCTTCCCAAGAAAGACAACCCGAGGCGGGGTTTGTGGCTGGCCAACTGCCAGCGACTGGACCCCAGCGGGCAGGGCCTGTGGGACCCAGCGTCCGAGTACATCTACTTCTGCTCCAAGCACTTCGAGGAGAACTGCTTTGAATTGGTGGGAATAAGGTGAGCCTCCTGGCAGCCGGCGGTCGGGTCGGCCTGGATGCGGGGTGGGTGGCCGTGGGGAGGCCCCCGGAGAAGCAGCCCTGGTGCTTCCCACGTTGGAACCTCACCTTCCGCTCCAGACGGACCTGGGCAGTGATAGCCTAGCCCCACTCCTTCTGCACTGGTCACGGCTGGAGCCCGCTCCCTGCAACCCCAGCCCTCCCAGCAAAAGCACGGAAGAGATGCGTCTTTCTGCTTGGTTCTCCCGTGCTGGTGGGGCCCTTAACTTGGGAAATTCACTGAATGAATTGTTGGCACGATGCCTTCCACTTCCCGCGGAGCCAGGGTGGCAGCCTGCTCTGCGATCTGCAAGTCACCTGGGGTGGCAGCGCTGTGTTCTGTCTCATCCAGACCACTTTCTCCCCAGTGGGTATCACAGGCTGAAGGAAGGAGCGGTTCCCACCATATTTGAGTCTTTCTCGAAGTTGCGCCGGACCAAGACCAAGGGGCACGGTTACCCGCCCGGCCCCCCAGACGTCAGCCGGCTCCGGCGATGCAGGAAGCGGTATGTGCTGTCCCACTGTGTGCAGCCCCCAAGGGACCGGGCTTCAGGCTGCCGGCCAGCAGCCTTACTGGGCGGGGCTGGGAGCCTGTGTAGTGGGTTCAGGGATGGGGGTTAGGCGAGCTGTGAAGTGGGGTCAGGGGGCCCTGCACCTGGCCTGGTTTGTCAGCCTGTCTGTCTCTTCCCAGCTGCCCTGAGGGCCGAGGGCCCACCACTCCCTTTTCCCCGCCTCCACCTGCCGACGTCGTCTGCTTTCCTGTGGAAGAGGCCTCGGCACCTGCTGCTTTGTCTGCCTCCCCAGCCGGGAGGCTGGAGCCTGGCCTCAGCAGCCCTTTCTCCGATCTTCTGGGGCCCTTGGGCGCCCAGGCGGATGAAGCAGGCTGCAGTGCCCAGCCCTCCCCAGAGCGCCAGCCATCCCCCGTGGAGCCACGGCCCGTCTCGCCCTCTGCCTACATGCTGCGCCTCCCACCGCCTGCGGGCGCCTACATTCAGAACGAGCACAGCTACCAAGTGGGCAGCGCCCTGCTCTGGAAGCGGCGGGCCGAGGCCGCCCTCGACGCCCTGGACAAGGCCCAGCGCCAGCTGCAGGCGTGCAAGCGGCGGGAGCAGCGGCTGCGGCTACGGCTGACCAAGCTGCAGCAGGAGCGGGCGCGGGAGAAGCGGGCCCAGGCCGACGCCCGGCAGACCCTGAAGGAGCATGTGCAGGACTTCGCCTTGCAGCTGAGCAGCAGCATGGCCTGAGGGAGGCGTCCGGCAGCACTCGGCCTTGCAGCTGAGCAGCAGCATGGCCCGAGGGAGGCGTCCGGCAGCACTCGGCCTTGCAGCTGAGCAGCAGCATGGCCCGAGGGAGGCGTCCGGCAGCACTCGGCCTTGCAGCTGAGCAGCAGCATGGCCCGAGGGAGCCGTCCGGCAGCGCTCCGCCTGAGAATCCACCTGGAGAGGGAGCTGCCCTGAGCTGTGTCCGCAACAATAAAGGGGATCCCAGAAAGCCCTGCTGTCTGGCTCGGCTGAGGGCTGGGGCCCTGCCCCCTGGGGCCACACCCATCTCCTCCGCCGACTGGTTACGGCCCCCCGGAGGACTCGGCCACGCAGAGGCCGGCCGAGGGCCACCTCACTCGGGCCATCGCCAAACTTGCTGTGCCTCCAGGTGAGCACCCCTCTCCCAAGGCCGTCCACCCACGAACCACACGTGGGGCTCATCAGTCAGGCGGAGGAGTAGCAGGCCCTGTGTGTGCCCTGGGGACACAACCCAAGGCAGGAAACGTGCTTTAGAGCTCAGAAGAGAGTGTTTCTCCCCCCACGTGGCTTCCCAGCAGCCTGGGCACAGCTGTTCCCAGAAGGGAGGCAGAATGGTGCCTTACCCACTGGGATGGACGCAGGACAGAAGACGGCTTGGCCTGGCCCCACCCAGGCATGAGCCTCCAGGCAGCCAGCAAGGGGCCCAAAGGGGGAGGCCAGAGGCCAGCCTTCATTCCTCCCTGCAGGGTGGGGAGCGGCTGGAGTGAACAGAGCGCCACGTGAGGCTGGCTTGTTCTGAGCCCTCAGGCCTCCTGGCCTCGCCTCAGGACGACTGGGGCTGGAGCCGCAGCGGGGACTGCGTGGCGAGCTGTGGGTGCAGGTAGCACTGCTGTGGCTTTAATGGAGGCAAACCTATTGACAATAAATAGTAACAGGCGGGGACCCGGGACATCTCTGACTTCATTCTGGGACACCCAGGACCCCGATATGGATGCCTGGCCTAGTCCGGAGGTGCTGACCCCTCTGGCTGGGAGCTGAGCTCAGAGCCCTTCATATCTCACAATTCATCCGGAGTTAGACTCCACCTGCCCGAGCTCTGGGTGGCAGGACAGGACCCTTAATTACACAGACCTTGGCAAGGGTCGGGGATTGCTGTGTGGCCCACACCAAGGTGTCTTGGCAATGTGACCCAGTGGCGGAAGGCAAGCCATGCCGGGTCCCTGCAGGACGGTGGGGGGCTCAAAGCCAGTTCCCTGACAGGCTCCTCTGCCCCCTGGGCTGCGGCCAGGCCCTTCCTCTTGTGGCGTCCGCACCATTGAGGCCTGGCGTCCCACCCTGGGAGAGGCTGCAAGCCAGAGAGCCGCTTCACTGCTTCCTGGGGGACGTGTGTCCTCAGCAGTGGAAGGGGGTTCGGGGTGCCCCGGTGTCGCTCAGCTCCCTTCAGGAGGCTCCGGCACTGGGCCGCTCAGCTGCAGGCCCAAGTGTGGCCAGCACGGTCGGCGCGGGCAGGGCAGGGCGCGGGCAGGGCAGGGCGCGGCGCCGCCCGGGCCCTCATATGTCGGCCCCCAGCTCCGCACACTGCTTGTCCGAGATGTGGGAGGCCAGCGAGTCGATGATGTCCAGCAGCAGCTGCTGGCTCAGCGCGCGCAGCGTGGGCAGCTTCGAGACCTGCAGGGGCGGCCGGGGGCCAGGGGGTGGGGCCTCTCCGTCCGGCTATCCCCAGCACCCCCCACCTGCTGCAGGGGGCCGGGGGCCAGGGGGTGGGGCCTCTCCGTCTGGCTATCCCCAGCACCCCCACCTGCTGCAGGGGCGGCCAGGGGGTGGGGGCCTCTCCGTCTGGCTATCCCCAGCACCCCCCACCTGCTGCAGGGGGCCAGGGGCCAGTGCCCTACACCCACCCGGGTCTGGCTACCGACAAGGGGAGTGCACCCTGCAGCCGGGGCGGGGCCCTGACCTTGGTGAACTGGTGCACGATGATGTGCAGGCAGTGCCGCTTCATGTCCAGAGCCTGTGTCTTGTCCGCCGCCTCCAGGATCTGCAACGGCAGGCTCCCTGAGATGCCGTCCCAGCCTGCCTGACCCACCCCCACCACCACTCAGACCCAGGGCCGCCACCTGTAGCACGTTCTGCACCGTCACGTTCATCTCCAGGTTCTGCTTGCAGTACGCCTGCAGCCGGTTGTTGTAGAAGCCATAGTAGTAGGGCGCCGAGAACAAGTAGCTGGGGGCTGGTTAAGGAGCTGCTGGCCAAGCGAGCCTGCCTCCCCTCCCCAGGGAAGGCCACCCTGAGCCTGGGCTGCATCTGCCTCAGGACAGGAAGGGCCCACCCACCACCAGGACGCCAGGCTCCCATCCAGGCAGGGCACACCTGCCCTGCACCTGGGCTCTGAACCACTCAGGCGTCCAGGGCCCATTTCAGGATCCAAACAACACCCCAGGCTCCCTCCCAAGGAACGTCCCCCACGCACCTGCAGAACCATCCTCGCCCTCCCCTACTCCGACCAGCAGAGCAGATGTGGCCGGGAGCCACGCGTCCCCAGAATCCCCCCTCCCCTCTGAGCTGAACCGACTGCTCAGGAGATGGGGCCACCAGGAATCCTTGGGAAACCGCCTGGCCAGGCAGGGCTAGTGGGGTCCAAAGCTGCCTGGGAATGGCCAGGAGCCCTGAGGCTAGGATGCAGTGAGTCCTCAGGTGGCATGTTGACCTCGCCATAGTAGATGTAGCGCAGCATGGACTCGAAGGCCTGCCTGCTGGGCACCATCTCCCCGATGGAGATGTTCACCTGGCCGTCCTCAGGCATGAAGGACCGGAACATGGCCTCGAAGTAGCTGCAGACGGCAGGCAGCCTCAGCAAGGCATCCGGCGCCCGACCCCGAGCCCACGTGCCACACCTCACCCACCTGGAGCGGGCGGCCAGGATGGCCTTGTGGGCTGGCCGTGGGTGCCCGTCCAGCAGGAGGGTGATGTCGCAGAACTCCGAGCCCGCGCCCTCCAAGTATGCCTTCATGTCCTGGATCAGAGACGTGCCTGCGGGTGTGGAGGGAGACTGCTAGAGGGCTGCTCCTTACTTAGGGCTTGAGACCCGCCCCCTGCGCATCTGGCACGTTGCCCCCTGAACAAGCCCCTCCCCCGGGTCAGAGGCCCCGCCCCCACCCTCTTCTCCGACTTGGCCCCTGGAGCCCGCCCCGCCCTATGCCGGAAACCCTCGGTGAGTCACCTGGAGCTGGGGCCAGGGGGTGAAGGAGCCCAAGGTCCCTTCCCGGCTCGGTGGGCACGGGACAGGGAGGCACCGAGCATCTGAGGGCCGCGCCCACCCCTCACCAGGCCCCAGACCTGGGCGCACCTGGAAGAGAAGCTGGCCCACTAAAGACTGACACTCAGGCCTGGCGCCCCAGTCAAGGCAGCCGCCGCCAGCGAGGGCTCGCGCGCCCCCAGGAGTGCCCCCGGAGGTGCAGCCCGGCGCCCGGCCCCCTTGGCGGGTCTCTGCCCTGCCCGAGCCTGAGCCGCCTGCGGTTGGACCCTGTGCCAAGGTACCCCCCGCCCTCGGAAGAGGCGGGCTCCCTACCGATGTCCACCGGCTGGTCGGAGGGGGCGCGGGGCGGCGGCTGCTGCTTCCGCCGCACAATCTCCACGATCAGAGGGGAGGAGAGCCGCTCGAATTCCTTCATCATGATCACCTGGTTGAAGTGCGACTCCTTCACCACGAAGTTCAGGCAGTGCTCCTGCACAAACAGGCGGTGGGCGCCGGGTCAGGCCCCCCACGGGCTGGGCCGCAGCGGGAGGGGCGGGGCGGGGCGGGGCTGGGGGCCGCCAGGGGACCCCCACCGGCACCTTCAGCTGGCCCAGCTGCAGCCGGGCGGCGCTCTCGCACACGACCAGCACGTTCTGCAGGTCCACCGAAGCCTCGATGTACTGGCGACACAGCTGCTCCAGGCGGCAGAGCTGGAAGCCCAGCGCCAGCTTGTACACGTCCATGATGAGCAGCACGTCCTCAACGTGACCTGCGCCCCCAGAGCCCCCTGAGCCTTGGGACGCGCGGGGGGCGTAGGGCAGGGGCCTGGGAGCCGCAGGCTGCCCCCGCCCGGCCCCCACCCGGGGCCCGCCCCGCCGCGGCGCGCCGACCTTTCCGCGGGTACTGAATCTTGTCGGTGTAGAGGAACTGCATGAGCACCTCGAACGGCCGCGCCTCCGCTTCACGGATGGCCACCCGCAACAGGGCTGGCCGGGCCGCTCCCACAGCGGCCAGGGGGCCCTCCCTGGGCGCCGGGGCCGCCTCCTCCTCCAGCTTCTGTGCGGGCAGAGGGAGGGGGCTTAGGGCGCCACTGAAGCGGCGGGCGGGCCGGGGCAGGGGCGGCGCGGAGCGCGCGCGGCCTCACCCGCGCCTGCGCAATCTTCCTGCGGAGCCAGCGGCTGCGAGCCGTGACGATGGCCACGTGGCCCTGCACGCGCTCCTCCTTCTGCGGGGAGAGGCAGGGCTCGGTGGAGGGCGTGGCCCGGGGCAGGGGCCGCCGGCGGGAAGGGGGGGGGGGGGAGGGGGAATGGCACCCACCTCGCCCAGCACGAACTCCACGTCGCAGAACTGGCGGCTCTCCCACAGCCGCCCGTAGTCCTCGTGCAGCGTGCACTTGGGGTAACAGGAGAACTGCGGGCGGAGACCCCGCTGCTGGATGGCGCGGCGCAGCCCACCGCCACCCGGGCCCACGGCGGACCGCTCGGCGGGGGCCGGCCGTCCCACCCTGTGCCCACAAGCCCCTCGCCCGCCCCCCTGGCCTTGGTTTCCAGGATCTCCGCGGAAGGCCGCCCCACCTGGAACCTGTACATCTCCCCGCTTCGGATGTTGTTGTCCACTGTGCCCCCGAAGATGTACATGGCGTCCGAGATGACGGCGGCCGCGTGGAAGAGCCTTCCGCTGGGCAGCTGGGTGGGGAGGGGTCAGTCAGCAGAGGGCATGGGGAAAGCGTGGGTTGTCCGGCGGCGGGGCCGCCTGAGGCCCCGCGCCGGCCAGGCCGTAAGCAAGGACAGCACCAGTGGCCTAGAAGAGCAGGGGGTCATAGAACCAGACCCCCCCCCCCAGAAAAACCACGTGTGCGGCGAGGTGGGGCCTGTGTGCGCAAGAGGGAGAGATAGACCTTGTGCCCCGTGGAGCGGCGATAGGCGCCAGATGCCACATGTTGCACCCCTGCAGGCCGGCCAGGGGGCGTGTGCTCCGGGCCTCCCCTCACGTGCTGGGTGACCCCCGAGCCTCCCCTTCCTGACCACACCACCGGCTCCAGGGCATGAGGGTGGGGGGGATGGGGGGGCGGGGCACGAGGGTACCGGGCTTCACCTCTGAGGCAGGCAGGGAGGGCTGCCTGGAGGTGGTGCTGCCAAAGTCCAGGCCGAACACATCCCGGGACTTCTTGCAGCCGGCCCGCTCCTCCAAGCCGGGGGCAGGCACCTCCTCGGAAGTGGAGGCTCGCTCTGGCATCTCGGCCCCACCAACCTGGGGACGATAGGGCGCACACAGGGGCCCTCAGCAAGGGCTGGGAGGGCGGTGGGAGGCCGCTGCTAGCCCCGCCCAGGCTGTGGATGGATGCTGTGGACACAGCATGGGTGTAGGAGGGGCCAGACGGGGGCTCCCTCGGCACGGCGGAGATGGGATCCAGGCCTCGCTCACGCGCACATCCCGGGAGCGTGCCCGGCACGGCACACGCACAGCACTGCAGCGCGTTACCCGGTGTGTGTTAAGTGTAGGAGGGCAGAGGACGGGCCGGCCACGTCCAAGGCTGAGGTCCCTGGGCATCCCAGCCTCGCTCCCACTGGCCATCTAGAGCTCCTGCTGGCCCCAGCCACCTGTGGGCCAGCCGCGCTTACCTCGTTATCCGAGCTGGGCTGGATGACCTCCCAGGTCTGAAAGTCCACATCATAGCAGTGCAGCTCGTTGGGGAGGGTGTTGTCAGCCGCGCCCCCGAACACATAGAGGTGGCGGTCAAAGGCCACCATGGTGTGCCCGTAGCGCCGCTGTGGGGGCGGCGGGGAGCCCCGGAGCAGGTGCTCGGTGGGGATGCGTGTCCACCTGCGAGGCGGGTTCAGGCAGCCTGTGAGCATCCACGGGCCGGGGGCTCCCGCTGCCCTGCAGGCTCCGCCTGGGCACGAAGCTCCCCACCCCTGTCCACCCTGGCACCAGCCCCGTCTGGCCCCTCAGGACCACCTTGGGGTCCGTCTCAGCCTCACTCCCCGCCCACAGAACAGGCAGCAGTGGAGGGCGGGTGGGGGGCCGCTGTCTTCACGCCGGGACCCGGAGAAGGGCCACCCAGACTGCGTTAGGGGCCTGCGCCAAGGAGGCCAGCTGCATGCGGGCCCGCAGGGGCAGCCGCTGGGCACGGGTGCGGAGTGCTGACGGGGCCCCGGTCCCCAGGGCACTCACGTCTGGTCCTTGAACTCGAACTGGAAGAGGTTGTTGGTTATCTTGGCCCCACTCTGGCCCGAGAAGACGAACATCCTGTCCCGGCACACGGCCGCGGGAAAGTTGCAGCAGGAGGGCGGGATCTCGCCGCTCTGGGCCACCTGTGTGGTGGGGAGGGCGCTCAGCCCCGCGCCTAGCCCGGGCTGCTGAGGTGGGCCTACGCTCACCAGAGGAGGGGTCATGGTCCACGTCTGCGCAGCAGCTTAAAGCCCCCACGTGAATGGGCCCAGGGTGAACAGCTGGGGTGAAGCCCTCACAACAGGGGCGGCCGAGCAGCGGGTGGACAGACCGCCCAGGACCCCAGCAGCAGTCGCCCCCATCATGTTCGAGGAAGGATGCATTGTCCCCAACTACGGCAGTCATGGGCTCGGCTGTGGTTGCTCCGCCCGGAGCAAGGCTGCCTCCCGGCCCCGAGCCCCTCACCTCCTCCCAGCATGTGAGCTCCCGATCCTGGAGGCCGATGGTCCACATGTCGTTCAACCTGCATCAGGACAGAGGGGAAGGGACCCCACAGCTGGGCTGGCGGTCAGGGTGGGCCTGGGCCTGGCTGGGACAGAAGGCTCCAGGAGGGAATCTGACCAGGGGACTACAGAGTGGCCTTGGGGTGGGGCCTTCGGCTGGGGGCTGCCCCGAGTCCCCAGGGGCCACCACGAAGCCTGCGGCACTCGGGGCTTCCAGAACTGGCTGAGGTCCTGGGGACACAGCGCTTGGTGTTTTTGTAATCAGAACACAGCAACGTCAACATTCCACAACAGGAAGAAGGAGCCTGCTTCCCCCGCCCTGAGCTCCAAGGACACCAGCTGTGGTCCGGAACATCCTTGGCCAACAACCCTGACGTGGGGGGCCCACTACGCCTTCAGTCACCCCGGGGATTTCAGGGGTGTCAGAGTGCCTGTGCCTGGTGGGGGTCTGGCAGGGCGTTTCCCTCAGGGGCCTTCCCCCAGCCCCATCCACACACCCACCCTCCTGAGAAACCCCCAGCTCATGCCCCCTCCTCGGGGCAGGAGGGCCGCTCTGAGCCCCGGTGCGTTTCCGGGCTGCGGCCTACCTGGCGTTGCCATCGTAGCCCGCGAAGATCCACAGCTTGTCACTGTACACCGTGGCGCCGTGGGCCGACCGGGCGACTGGCAGCCTGGGGCAAGGGGAGGGCAGGGCTGGGGGGCGCCCCGGGCGGAGCCGAGCCGCAGGCCCCACACAGCCTGGGGCCCAGCCCTGTGAGCCCACCACCCCGGGGCGGCCGTGCCCACGCCCGCTGACCGGCTGCTGGGAATGAGGGGCCTGGCAGAGGCTGAGCCTGCGAGGCCTGGGCACTGGACGAGAAGTCACATGGCCAAGGGCACAGAGCCCCCTCCAAGCCCCCGCCTGGTATCGAGGGGTGCCTGTGAAACAGGGCCAGAGACGCGCCACCTGCGGAACACTGGGTCCCCCTACCCTCTGAGGGATCCAGGGGAGCTGAAGGCCAGGATGCGCCAACAGGGCCAGCGGGCAGGTGACACGGACTCCCAGCTCGGGCCACTGCTCACCCTTTCAGGCTGCGGGCTCCTCATCTAGCTTTTAAAGTCGTCATTGGATTTATCACAACACTGCTTCCGTTTTGTGCTCCTGTCCTCTGGCCGAGGCGAGTGGGCTCGTGGCTCCCTGACCAGTGTTTGAACCCACACCCCCTGCCTTGGAAGGCGGGGTCGTAACCCCTGGGCCACCCCGGCAGGCCCCTTCATCTGTAACCCTACAGAGGCCAGTCCAGGCCTGCCGCCCCCCAACCCAGCATGGCAGCCTGCAGAACTGCAAAGGTCTCAGCACCGTCTCACCGTCCTTCAATTTTCCACTCCGTCCACTGGCCAGTTGCAAACTTGTATTCAAAGAGGTCGTTTTTGTTCTTCAGGTTGGAGTTGGAGTAAATGTCCCCAGTGTAGCCCCCTGTAAAGAGAGCGAGAGGCCGCGGCGTCAGTTCAGCCTGTGAGCCCTGGGCCGGGGCGCGGCCTGGCCTTGCGCAGCAGGTCCCCCAGGGCCCCTGGAGCCCATCAGCTCCTGCTCGAGGCCCTGGGGACAGCGGCCGGCCGGCAGACGCAGACGGTTGCCCCCCGCCCCCCCGAGATCAGGATGGTCGGGGGAGGGGCCCCTGAGAGGCCCCTGACCCAGCACAGGTGCTGGAGGACTGGGCAGAGAGGCTGGCCCAGCACGGCCCGGGGCCTGGCCGGACGCGAGGCGCCGCTCACCGAAGACGAACATGCTGCTCCCGTAGACCACGGCCGAGTGGTGGTAGCGGGGGGCCGGGGGGGTCCCGGTGGTGAAGGCCCTGGGGGAGGAGGGGCAGCAGGTGTCAGCAGTGGGCAGCCCCATCACCCCCAAACTGCCGTCTACTTTCTCATTATAGAAGCCTTTTTAAAAAAAAGCCAAATAAGGAAAAAGCAAGGCACTAAAACTTAGCATTTAATCCCTTTGCCAGAAACCACCATTCACACCTTGACGGTACACCTCCCGACTTTTACCACAATTATGACTCTGAGCAATTCTCTGTAATTTCTCTATGACCAACTCAATGAATGTGAAACTCAGCGAACTCCAAGAGATAGTGGGCTTCCCTGGTAGCTCAGCGGTGAAGTATCCGCCGGCAACGCGGAGCCCCAGGAGCCAGTGGCAGGAGACCCAGGTTCGATCCCGGGGCCATGAAGATGCCCTGGAGGAAGAAATGGCAACCCACTCCAGTATTGTTGTCTGGGGACTCCCATGGACAGAGGGGCCTGGCGGGCTACAGTCCACGGGGTCACAAAGAGTCAGACACGACTGAAGCGACATAGCACAAACCCACATCAGGAGATGGTGGAGGACAGGGAAGCCTGACATGCAGTCTGTGGGACTGCAAACAGTCAGACAGGACTGAGCAAATGGACAACAATTTTCTGTAGTGGGAGGGATCACCTAGTAGGCATCCTGGCCACTCTGGAACCATCCACGCCTGTGGCCCCAGGCTGAGACATGCTACGCAGCACATGTCTCCATGCGACTTATTCACGGAATTACACACCCATTTATACTGCTTTCCTGGGGCTGCTCCTTTTCAGACTTTTAACTGAAGCAATTTTTAACCAAGAATTCCAAGTCTTGAGAGTGATTTTCCAGTTCATCCGTAACTTTTGGATACATGTTATAATCGAGCGTGAGAGAAACAACACAAGGACTGAAGCGGCCCCAGTGCTGCCCAGGGGCGCCACTGCGAGTCCCGGGCCTGGACTTCCTCCCGTCAAAGGTGGGGGCAGTGAGACACCCCCCCGCCGAAGGCAGGGCCCAGAGCTGCTGCTGCCAGCTGCTGTTGCCAAGCCTAACATTTCCCAGCCCCAGGATCTTCTCCCCCCCTCAGCTGAGAGCTGCCCCCAGCAGGGCTGGACTGGAGCAGATAGGCACAGGCATCCAGAGCTCAGAGAGAGAAGGAATCTTGCCCAAGGCCACACAGCAGGGGAAGGAGCCAGGACCTGTGGGCTGCCCGCTGCCCGTGTGAGGCCTCCGGAATGGGATGGGCCCCAGAGGAAGGGAGGGCGGAGCAGCTGCTGTCGGCCCCTGGGCGGCCCCCCTGTAGCGGCAGAGACCATCCTAGAAGGACCCATCAGCTCGCGGCCCCCAGTCGGCTCCGACAGCAGCCCCTGTTCTGGGAGATGGACCTGGTGATGGAACAGCTCTCCTGAAGCAGAGTCTGAGGACCCAAAACTGGATCAAACAGATCCCCTAACATCACGGGATCCGGAAAAACCAATCTCAGCCACAGACCGGGAAAGTCGGGACGTAGAAAGAGGAGGACGGGGTCAGCAGGAGAGGGCGGGTGGGGCCCCCAGCCCCGCGCAGCACCTCTCGCCCAGCACGCTCAGGACCCGGCCGGCGGCGCTCCGCGGCCGGGCCGGGCACCCACCTGCACCAGGAGCAGTCCTTCACATCGAAGCGCAGGAGGTCGTTGAGCATCGTCTTCCTGAAAGACAGCGGGCCGGCGGCGGGGCGGCTGGCGGAGGCTCGCGCTGGGCCAGGCAGCCAGTGGGTGCGCAAGGGGCCAGAGACAGGGCCCCACAGGGAGCTCCCCGTGGGTGCGGGGCCCGGGGCCGCCATGCAGGCGGGGCCAGCCTGCCCGGGGTCAGGACGCACGCCTGGTTCCGGGCACCTCGCGCCTCACCACCCCCCCCCCGCCCCCTGCTCCAAAACCCCCACCCACACTCCCGCTCCCAGGCCGCAGCGGGTCAGGGAGGCCCCCGGCCTTCTCCCTCTTCCTGTCACCTCTTTATCGCAGCTCCAAGGTAATAACCACATTCAAGATACAATAAAGCACGAAGCAAATCCACAAACCACCCAACAGCACCCACACGTCACCACCCAGCCCTCATCAGTGAGAGGGAGAAGGGCGTCCACCCAGCAAGAGCCCAGCACCCCTGCCCGGGGGCCAGGCCTGTGCCCCTGCTCCCCCTCCAGGAAACAGCCTGGGAGACCAAAGGGCCTGAGGCCTTGCAGCCCACGGGCGGAGCAGCAGAGACCGTGATCCCGCCCTCTCCCATGTGTACCCTCTAAGTGGCAGGAGCCACCTTCACACTGCGTTTAGTTATAACTCCAATGAGACAAATGCTTCTTGTTTCTTAGTGTCAAATTGCGAGAAAATGTTTCTGTTTCCGGCTACACAGCTGTCACTCAAAGGCTATGTCCCGGGCAAAGGATGGGTGACTCATCACCCCCTGCCCTGCGCTGGCCACCAGGCCTTTTCGGGCTCGGGGAAGTCTCTTTCAGGCTGCAGTAAACCCCTGGGGATGGATGCCTCTTCTGCATTTTATTCCCACAAATGGCACACATGTATTCAATTGTCAGTGCTGGGACACAGCTCCAGCCCTGGCCGAGGAGACAGACAGCAAACATCTGGGTGCTCTGGGGACCAGTGGAACCCATAAGAGGTGCAGAAGTGGAGGAGAGGCCGCCACCTAGTCTGGTTGGTCCGAGCTGTGGGGGACGGGAAGGCCTCGATCCCCCATTTAGAGGAGGGGCAGGCAGGGTGAGAAGCAGGGAACAGGCAGTGGGAGGGGCTGAGCAGTGGGAGGACCCTCACGTGCAATAAGAACGCAGCAAGACAGAATGTCCAGTGCCACGCAGACAAGGGCAGGGGAACTGTGGACACACACGTGCGGGTCTCACACACTGCCAGGAGGGCGTGCGCCTTGCCCCAGAGAGAGGGGACCATGCGGGGTAATGAACCAGGAAGGAACATGCTCCAACTGGCTGTGCATGGGCAGAGAGGCTGGAAGCCAGGGGCTGTGCCCAGGAGACCCTGCTCCCCAGCGTGCAGGCCCCACGGAGGGATCCTGTGGGACCACGGCTGCAGCCTGTCAGAGGCCAGGCAGTCTGTGGTGGAGATGGGTGGACAGGCTCAAGGGCGAGATCGGTCTGTGCCCACGGCACCCCGCCCCACGGGGACACCTGTGTCCTGGGCCCTGACAGCCCGGGGCTCACTGACCCTCAGGAGCACCCTGCAAAAGCAAGGCGGAGGCCCACCACCCTCGACAGAGGAGACCCGGGTGCAGTGGAGGGTTGAAGCCACCTTCCCAGAGCCACCAAGCTGACCTAGACCGAGCCCTGTGTGTCCTGGAGCCCAACTTCAACCCCACACCCAGCTGGCTCCCAACCCTCAGGGCCCCGGGGGCCATCCCTGGCCTCTCCTGTGTACGTCCCGGGTGGACGGTGCAGGGGAGCCCAGCGGACTCAAGGCGGCACAGGTCCGTCACACTGATCCCTCTGTTCCAGACTCTTCTTCGTTGGCCTGGCTCACTTCTTTCCAGGGAGGCCGAGCGGACCGCATACCCCTCTCCTGGTGCAGAACAAGCCTGCCGGCCTGCTGTGCTGCACTTGGCGGGGCCCTGCCCTTGCTAAGACAACTCCGTCCCTCCAGGGAGATCCAGCTCCTGGAGGAAACAGGCCAGCAGCAGGACGCGGCCTCACAAACCAAGGGCCACCTTGGCCGTTACTTCATGGAAGGAAGCCTGCCACCACTAAGCTGGGAACCGTCTGGGGGGTGGAGATGGGCCACCGGGAAAGGTTGTTTGCAGGCATGTGCAGTAAAACGCAGGGAAACCCTTGTGCAGTGAGAGATGCCGGAAGGCAGGAAACCTGTGTCCCGCAAGCGTGTGGCCCAGAGGGAGGCTGGGGGAAGGAGCAGTGCCTGGCCAGGGTGCCGGCTGGGGCAGACGTATCTCCTTCAAGGCTGCGGCCACTCAGGCGGAAGGACAGGGCCGGTTCCCTGACCTGAGTGCGTGCTCCCCATTGCTGAGGGAGCCTCACGGATAGGGAAGCCCAGGCCCAGGACTTGGCTAACACCTGGGAGGGTGGCAGCGGATGTGCAGAGACCCAGTCCCCACCACCCCGCTCCTCCCTTGGGACCCCGACTCACCCGTTGTCTCCACCAAACACATAGATGGCATCTTTATAGGCTACCACCGTGTGCTTGCTGCGCCTGGAGACAGAGAGGGGCGGATCGGGTCAGGCCAGGACCCTCCCGGGGGGCACCTAGCAACCATACTCGGCACGGGGGGCAGCCGCCGAAGTCGGATAACAACCCTCCTCCCCCAAGATCGGTGGAGACCCCCAAGCTCCACCAGCACCCCCAAAGGGCTCCGCGCTTGGGGACCCACTCTCCCACCCCATGGCGGAGCCCCGGGGCTCCAGCTCCACATCTATGAACACAACGTGACCCGAGTCCGGGGGGGCACCCTGCTCGGGGACCCCCTCGGAAGCCCCTTCTCCTAATCCTGAACACCACTCCCCACCCCCCAAATACTACCGCGTCGGGCTCCGGGACAGCGCGACCCGGCCTCGCCCCCGCGCCCCGCCGGGGACCTGCTCGGATCCCCCGTCCCCGGACCCCCGGACCCGCCGTACCGGGCCCCCACGAACTCGTCGCAGGGCGGGAGGCGTCGCCAACGATGCACGGTCTCAAAGGGCCCGAAGTTGAGCGTCAGGTACTCGACGCTGTCCGAGCAGCTGTGATCAAAGTCCACGCTCGGGGCCACCTTGGACCGCGCGCCGCCGGCCAGCGCCCCGGCCCCGATCGGGCCGCCCGAGCCGCCCGGCCCCGCCATGCCAAGTCCTCGGCCAATAGGCCCCCGGGGCCACGGGACGCGCGGCCACCGCCCCGAGCCACCCCCGCGGAACTACATTTCCCGGCGAGCCCTGCGCCAGCCGGCTCCTCGCACTTTCCGGGCTCCGCCGCGCACTTCCGGCCGGCGCCGGCCGCACTCCTGGGCGAGCCTCCCATGGACTCTACCGCTGGCCTGCGCGGCGAGCTCATGGTGGTCGTCTAAGAAATGTTTTTCGCGGCGCGCGGTACCCCCTCACCCCCCGCTCAAGAGTGCGTGGCCCTGGCAGCAGCCCCGCCCGGCCCGCATGTCCCCGGCGCGGCTCCCGGCATGCCCTGCGCGGATGGCTCCGTCGCGATTGTCCGCCGCGCCCGGGATCCCGGACGGAAGGGTTCCGGGCTCGCAGCGGCCCTCGCCGCCGTCCCCTTCCTGCTGGGTCCCCTGCTCGGCCTCCCGCATCTCCACTCCCCTCGGCCTTCCTTCTCGTTGCGAGGCAGCGTGGCGCGGAGGCCCTGGGTTCTCGGTCCTGCTCTAGGCAGAGCCTCAGCTGCTCCATCTGCGAAATGGGCATTCAGGAAGCTTAGGTTGCCACGAGACCCAGTCCTCGGCCCTAATGTGGTCAGCCAAGCGCGAGCTGCCTCTGCCCTGAAGAAGCCCCTCCTGTCTCAAACCCTTGGCACACGTGCTGTCCCCTCTACCAGCAGTGCCCTTCCTTCAAAATCCAGACCCAGGACTTTGGTCTGCCGGGGGGCCTTCCCTAATCCCGGGGGGTGCAGAATCAGCTGCTCCCTCCTCAGGGCGCTCCCAGACCAAACTTCCTCCGTGTGACACTTCGGTGGTCTCTGGTCGTGCCTGTGTCCCCCGTGATCTGCTTTCTCCCTCGTAAGAGTTTGCCCAGGTATAGTGGAAGTCACACAGATCTGCAAACGTGTGCGTTTTAATGTTAAGATAATATCTAGTACGTTGCAGGGTCCCACAGGGGACCAGTCCCAGTAGAGGAAGAGGCAAGCCCACCCCACCTCCCCCACTGCCAGCCATCAGTCGGCACTGCAGGCCTTGGGTGGTGAGCATCTCCTGGAGGCCAGAGAGGACTCTCTGGAAGGTGCGGGGTGGTGAGCCAGGCAGCTGAAGGCAAGCACTGGGGGCGCTCAGGGTCTGCCCCAGGGGGGTCCTGGGGAACTGGAGGTTGGCACTTGCCCTCTGGGGTTTGGCCTCTGTCCCTGGCGCCCCAGCGAGCCTGTGTTGTGTGCAAACTCAGGAGCCTTTCCCTGTGAGCCAGGACATGTCACCGGTCCTGTAGGAACGAGGGAGGAGGCGTGAGGGCAGTGGGCAGCAGGTGCCCCCTGGGCACCAGGAGCAGCAGGCCCTTGAAGACAGCAGGGAGCTGTGCGCGGCCCTGGTGCCCGGCAGGGAAGTGCCCTTGGGCAAAGGGAGAGACCACCGGGCGCAGGCTCCGGGCTGAAGTGGGCAAGGCTCAGAGGAAGGAGAGGACCCACGTACTTGTGCAGGACAAACAGCCTTCTCGAAGGCAAGAGGGAGAGACAGAGAAGGCCAGGGAGACAGCGTGTCATTCCTGGCCCCTCCCTTGGTTCCCCGTTTCCAGGCTTTCCTCGGCCCTGGGCAGGGGGGTGGGCGTGGGGTGTGGGGGGCCCTGCAGCTTGGCTGAGCCCACAGTGTGAGGTGAGGCCCAGTGGCGCCATGCCGGGACGAGGCTACAGCAGTGATGGCTTCTGTCCCGTGCCCCTCAGACCCCGAGCAACCGCCCCAGGACTCTGTCAGGGCGTCCCCAGGAGCAGTGCAAATCACGTTTTTCCATGGCTGTGTTCTGGGCAGTGGGGTGTCCTGGGCCCCATGACTGCCCGGGCAGTGGGTCTGGACCCTTCCCTGCAGCACTGGCCCCGCCCTGGACACGGCCTCCTTCCCTTCTACCCACAAGAGCACAAATAAGCAGCCCGCTCCCAAACCACAACCCTTGTCCCACATGACACCGTAGCCCTAGGAGCTTCAAGCTGGTTGATGGGGGGACGGGAGCCCCGGGAGGCGTGGGGGCAGCTCACTGCCATGGGCAGCTTGAACCAAGGCCTCCGGGACGTCTGCCCCCTCCCTGGGGCCTCCAGCGCCCACACTCACTCCACCTCCCGCTTCCGGATGGTACGGCCGGAGGCCAGAACCTCAGCCACCTTAGACACGATGGGGTCGTAGTTCATGCTGGCCACGGAGATCACCTCGTCGCCCCTGCAGGGAGAGGTGGCCGAGCCTGAGGACTGGCCAGCAGCAGCCCCTGTCCTTGGAGACCCGGATGCAGCCGGGGCCCAGAGGAATGCTCTGACCACCTGGCACTCCCTTGGCCCAGCACAACTTCTGGTCCCGCGGGACCCCATGACGCTCCTGCCCAGTGGGGTTCAAGGCCGAGACCTGTCCTGGGACCCCACCCTCTACCTGTGTCACTGTCCTCGGTGTAAAAGTAGGCTGTCAACCCCCATCTCCAAGAGCTGACCTGAGATGAAGTGTCCACCTCCCGCGGGGCGGCTGTGCCCCACCTCTGTGCTCCTCTCCTGGCGCCTAGCTGGCCCCCTTGCCCCTCGGCCCACCGCCCGGCTAAGCTGGCTCCTCCGGAGCAACGCTTCTCCCGGCCAAGTGCCCCCTGCTTCTCATCCCCGCGGCTCTCACTTGGTGTAAAAAGCCACGAACTTGAGCTCGTCCAGATCCCCTTGGATGATGACGTCGTCGAAGCCTTCTCCATAACCTGCGGGACGGGCGGAGGGGACGTGGCTTCACCAGGTCCGCGTGCAGTACCCTTCCCACGATGCCCCCGGCGGATCTGTAAGGGTGATCTGGTCCCCGGGCTTCCTCCTGCAGCCGCCGTGGTCCCGCCCCCGGGATGCTCCTGGCCCCGCCCCGGGACGCTCCTGGCCCCACCCCGGGATGCTCCTAGCACCGCCCCCTGGGATGCTCCGAGCCCCGCCCCCTGGGATGCTCCTAACCCCGCCCCCGATGCTCCTAGCCCCGCCCCTGGGGTGCTCCTAGCCCCGCCCCCTGGGATGCTCCTAGCCCCGCCCCGGGATGCTTCTAGCCCCGCCCCCGATGCTCATGGCCCCGCCCCTGGGGGTGCTCCTAACCCCGCCCCCGATGCTCCTGGCCCCGCTCCTGGGGTGCTCCGAGCCCCGCCCCAGGATGCTCCTGACCCCGCCCCGGGATGCTTCTAGCCCCGCCCCGATGCTCCTAGCTCCGCCCCTGGGGGGGGTGCTCCTAACCCCGCCCCCGATGCTCATGGCCCCGCCCCCTGGGGTGCTCCTAGCCCCGCCCCCGATGCTCCTGGCCCCGCTCCTGGGGTGCTCCGAGCCCCGCCCCAGGATGCTCCTAACCCCGCCCCGGGATGCTTCTAGCCCCGCCCCGATGCTCCTAGCTCCGCCCCTGGGGGGGTGCTCCTAACCCCGCCCCCGATGCTCATGGCCCCGCCCCCTGGGGTGCTCCTAGCCCCGCCCCCGATGCTCCTGGCCCCGCTCCTGGGGTGCTCCCTGCCCCCGCACTCCGCCGCACCTGGGCCCGCCCGCGGCCAGGCCCCTTGGTACCTGCGTAGCGCAGGCTCTTGCCGAACATGGCGGTCCACAGGTAGGGCACCGTGCTGATCTCCGCCTCTTGTGCCAGCATGTTCTGGGCCGCCACGCGCCCTGTGGGTCCCGGGGTCGTCAGCGCTCCGCCCCGAGCCCTTGCCACCACTCTACTGCCTGCTCCCCCGCCCCGCTCTCCGGGGATCCCTGATATGTGGGGCAGGGACGGGGAGCGCCCACCCCTGCTTGCCAATGACGGGTGCAGAGGTCATGCTGGGCCCAAAGCTGGCCACTGACGTCCAGTGTCTGGACTGGGTCCGGAAGGGGCCGACTTCCTGGGGCCACCACGTCAGGTGTGACTCAGACACCTCACCAGACTGGTCAGGTCTGAGGAGGGAGGCGGGACAATGGGGCACCAGTGTCCGGGGAAGCAAGGACGACAGGTTGCTTCAAGGCCCGAGACAGAAAGGGGGCGTGGCTTCCCTGTTTGATCGAGGCCCCATCGGACCCCTGCAGTTGGATGTCTGTGACCGTCTCCTGAACCCTTCCGGTTAAACGTTAATTATATGAGCAGTTCAAATGCTTGACGCTTTTAAACTGTGGTGTTAGAGAAAACTCTTGAGAGTCCCTTGGACTGCAAGGAGATCCAACCAGTCCATCCTAAAGATCAGTCCTGGGTGTTCATTGGAAGGACTGATGCTGAAGTTCCAATACTTTGGCCACCAGGCGGGAAGAACTGACTCATTTGAAAAGACCCTGATGCTGGGAAAGATTGAAGGCGGGAGGAGAAGGGGATGACAAAGGATGAGATGGTTGGATGGCATCACTGACTCAATGGACATGAGTTTGAGCAAGCTCCAGTAGTTGGTGATGGACAGGGAGCCTGGCGTGCTGCAGTCCATGGGGTCACAGAGAGTCGGACACGACTGAGCGACTGAACTGAACTGATATGAGCAGGTTGTGTTCCTTCAAACCTAGCACCAACCGCAGACCTTGGACCTGAACAGAGGCTGGTACCAGGAGAGGGGCTTCAGGCTCAGATGACATGAGGGTGAAGGGAACAGAAGAGGGTGCAGGGGGTCTGGCCGCCCGGCCTCTGAGAAGCTAACTGGCTGTACCTGCAGCCGAGGGGCCTGGGCCAGGTGTGTGCAGTGACTGCCCAAGGGGAGGGGGAGGAGGGTTTCCAGGCCCAGCCACCCACCTCCCAGGGGCCTGCAGGCAGCAGCCAGGTTCACAGAGTCTGTCGGGTTGCCCAAAGGGGATGCAGTGGGGAGCTGGACCGGGTCCTACTAAACTCCGCCCCCCACCCCGGGTGACTGCACGGATTTGTGAGGACTTCTGCGGAATGTGATGTCCGAGGATAACAGGAAAGGAGAGGCTGGTGCAGGGACAGTGGGGTGGGACACGGTGGCCGGCAGAACCGGGTGCCCAGAGGATGCTGGATGGGTCTAGAGAAGGAGGTAGCAGTGAGCTGGCTCCATCACCTGAGTGAGGCTGGCCAGACGGGCCACTGCAGAGCCTTGAATGGCGGACCCAGGGAGCGGGACCCAAGGGCAGCAACTGAGGGGCGGGCCTGGGGGGAGGCCAGGGCCCAGGGACAGCCTCCCACCCCCTGCTGCCTCCGGGCTGACGGTACCCTGGGCATGAGCCATCTGCCAGTGGGGGATGTTCACTTTGCGGCTGTTTCTCCAGGCCAGAGGGAAGGTGACGGCGTCGCCGGCTGCAAACACGCCAGGAATGTTGGTCTGCATCATCTGTGGGGGGTGCGAGGATCATGGGTGACAGGCACCCCAAATGGGTCCTTCCCCAGCCCCACTGGCAGCTTGCCCACCTGCCCCAACGGCCCCACCTTGTTGACAGGGATGAAGCCTCGGGAGTCCAGACTGATGCCACTCTGCCTCAGGAAGCCGGTGGCAGGCACCGCGCCTGGCAGGACAGGGCCACTGTGTTCACAGCAGCCCAGCCCAGCCCATGCCGTCACAGCCCGTCCCCTCTGCGTGGACCCCCAGAGACCCCGGTGCCTCCCATCGGACCTCACGTACCACCTCTGAGAAGCTCTCCGTGAAGCCCCTGGTGGGGGTGAGCATGCCGCACCTCCCCCCAGCCCATGCCACCTCCTCCCCCAACTGGCACTTCAGCTGGAGCAGGGGCCCACTAGAGCCTCACCTATGTCTGTGCAGTTACTGGGCAGGGGTCCCTAGAAGCATGCCCCGTGCCAGCCCAGGCCAAGTACCGACTCCCCAAGAGCCCTGACCGGTGGGTATGGTCAGACAGGCTGGGGGAGGGGAAGGGACTGGCCTGAGGTCAGCACTGAGCAAGAGGGGGTGACCCTGCTCCCTGCCACCTCCCGCCTCCCACTCACCGATGCCCACCACGCAGACATCAGCCCGTACCACCTTGCTGCTCTTCAGCACGACTTCCTTCAGCTGCGGAGAGTGGCGGGCAGGTGAGCAGCTCTGGGGCACAGGAGAGGGGGCAGAAGGGCCGGGGGTGGGGGTGAAGGAGGGCCCACCTTGCCCTCCTGGGCCCGCAGCTCTGACACCTCCGTCTGCATGTAGAACTTGACGCGGTTGTTCTCAAACATCTGCCAGGCGGTGGGGGTGGGGCAGGGGGTGCAGGAGTGAGAGCAGAACGGGAGGGACGGGGCAGGCGGGGGCCCAGCACGGCGGGTCCCCAGGGGGGCTCACCTTCATGAGGGCGCGGCCAACGCGCTCTCCCAGGGACCTCCTGAAGGGCGTCTCCTCAAGCTCCACCACGGACACCGAGTGGGCCTTCTCGGTCAGGTAGGCGGCCACCTCCATCCCTGGGGAGGGGCAGGGGTGGGGTGGGGCAGGCTGGTACCCTGCACCGCCCCTGCCAGCGCCGCCCCGGGCTCCCCCGGCTGCTCACCCAGGAAACCGGCCCCCACGACGACGGCGTTGCGGCCCCGGGCCAGCCTCACCACGCGGTTGGCATCCTCGGGTGTCCGGATGGTGAACACGTTCTCCACGTCTTTGCCTTTGCAGTTCAGTGTCCTGGGGCTGAGACGGGCCAGAATTGGGGAGAGGGGCGGCTCCTGGGCCACCCCTGCCGCGAGCCCTCCCCCTGCCTGGCGGGGGGCGGGGGGCCCCTCCCACCTGCTCCCGGGTGCCAGCAGCAGCTTGCTGTACTCCAGCTTGAAGCCATCCTTGAACACGGCCTTCTTGTTCCTCACGTCCACCGTGACCACCTAAGACCCCCGCAGGGCAGAGCGCTGTCTCCAGGTCCTCCACCGCACCCCGCGCCTGCCAGGCCCTCTGGGCAGGCTCCACCACCCTCTGCACCTTCCTCCCGCACTGGGCAACGCCCTCTCATGCTTCAGCCCCACCTCCTCCTCAAAGCCCTCTTGAAGCCCCAGGCCCCACCCCACTACCCTGGGGCCCTGTGTGTGCTATGATCCCCCCAGGCCTGGGGCACCCCTGGGTGCCTGGGCCCTTGGGTAGGGGGGTGCAGGCCGCACCCACACCTCCAGGGGCCTCAGGCCCGCCCTCCACGGTGCCCAGGAAGCCCTCCCAGGCCTGCTCCCCTGCCTCGTCCGCACCTGGGCCTCAGTGAGCACCTCGATGCCGTGGGCTCGGAAGAACTCCTTGGGCCTCAGGGCCAGCTGCTCCGGCTGTGCGTCCAGTGACTGTCGGGGACGCCAGCTTGAGATGGGGCCAGGCGGCCACCGTCCCCTTGGCAGCTGAGGACCGGAGGCCTGGTGGGTGCGGGGCAGCCCGGGCCACACAGAGGCTCCAGGGCGGAACTCCGCCGACCAGACCTCCTGGGCACCACAGACGGGCCTGGCACGAGCAGAGAGGGTAGCCGCCCGGACCCCCGGGGGGCAGCGAGCCGGGTCCCAGGGGCCCTAACTGTGGGCAGAAGGGCGAGGGTCTGGCCCCACCCTGCGCCGTTCATGCCCCGCCCACCTTGCTGAGCTTGGGCCGGTCGTAGGGAAGGTAGCGGTCCAGCGTGCACAGCACGATCCTGTCCGAGAAGCCCTCCTGCCGCAGTGTCTCCGCGCACACCAGGCCGGCTGCCCCTGAGCAGAGGGGACGGCGGGGGACGGGTGTCAGGAGCCCCCTCCCTAACCCACCCTGCCCCCAAGGACCCACTACCAACCTGCGCCCACAATCAGCACATTGGTGCTGCCGCTGTGGCCGGCGCTTGGCGAGATGCACGTGGCCATCACCTTGGTCCTTCGCTGCAGCTGCAAGGCCTGGGGGGGCGGCCGGCAAGCTAGGGGCAGCTGGGAGTGGGGGTCGCTGCCATCTCCCCTGTGCCCACCCAGCGGGCCAGGCTCTCCTGCCCCAGTGGTGCCTCTGCCGCACCTGGGAAGCCCTTCGCCTGCCCCCGGGCTGGCCCGCCAGGCTCCCTCCCACCCCAGGGACCCAGAGGCCCTCCCGCCGTCTCTCCCTCGGCCTGAGCCCCAGCCCCACGCCCTCACCTGCTTGCTGGCCCGGACGTACACCTTCTCCTTCTCGATCTTCACCTGCAAGGGCTGTGGAGCTCAGGCCGGGGCTTTGGGATGCTCCGGCCCCTGCACCCCCAGGGCTCACCCCACTGCACGCCTGGCCCCACCTGGAACTTGTGCAGACTGTCCAGGCCCGGGAAGTCCTCCAGGTCCCCGCTGCTGACGCTGAAGCAGGCGCCGTGCCAGGGGCAGCGGACCCGGCCACGGGACAGCACCCCTGGAGGGGGCAGGGCTGGGCCACCAGCAGGGGCCCTGCTCCAAGGGCACCACGGGCCCGTCCCCACGGCCCCGGAGCCCCCGCCAGCAGATGGGCCACCCCGCCCCTGCAGGTACCCACAGCTCACCTTTCACCAGGGGTGCGCCATAGTGCGGGCACTTGTGGCCCAGGGCATGGAACTCCCCGTTGTCCTTCAGTACCAGCACCTTCCCCCAGCCCAGCTCCACCTCCCGCATCCTGCGGGCGGGGGGCTGCCCTCAGAGGCCAGGGAGCAGCCCCCAGCCCAGCTCCACCTCCCGCATCCTGCGGGCGGGGGGCTGCCCTCAGAGGCCAGGGAGCAGCCCCCAGCCCCAGACCAGCAGCAGCCTCCGAGGCTGGGTGTGCAGCTGGTCGTGGGCCCCTTCCAGGCCGTGCCCCCACCCCCACCTCCCACGCCCTCCCAGGCCCAGCACCCACTGGCCGTTCTCCAGGTCCTTGACGTGGCAGACAGCGGCCTCCACGCAGTCCTGGGTGCCGGGGTAGGGGTGGGGGGAGGGCAGGCGCTCGTCTGCATGGAAGTGGCGGGCAGCGCCATTGCCCTGGTAGGCCCGGGGACTGCCCTTGCCGCCGGCAGACAGCTCCTCCTTGCCCCGGTCCTTCTCGGGCAGCACCACTTCGATCTTGAGCTCCACTGCGGGCAGGGGGCGGGTTGGGGTGAGCCTCCAGCCGGGCCCATCTCTCACCCACCCCTCCAGCAGGAGGCAGAGCGGAGGTGCTGGGGGGGACCCTGGGCAAACTCGACGTGATGTCTCATGCGTTTTCTTCCTCACTAACAAAATGAGCCAGGGGCACCAGCAGTGCGCATTCGCCCCTGAAGCGGCCCCTTCTCCAGGAACCCGTGCAGGTAAGAGCTCGGGGCTGGAACCCTGCTGACCCCGAGGGCGCGGCCACCACGGAGGGCGGGGGCGGCCTGAGAAACTTGGGGCGCAGCCTGGGTCACGGTCCCTGAGTGAGTCTGGGTAACCGAGGTCTGCAGAGGTTTGAAATTTTTTCAAAATTAAAAGAAAAAAGTGTATATGCTACATAATTTCAACTGGAGATAGCTGCTCTGGCCAGCTGGAGAACCCTTCATTATTTACCAGGTGCTGGGTGCAGGGGGCCTTGGGGATGGACCCCACCCGGGCAGTGCATGCGGAGGGCACAAGGCATACCCCCTTCCCGTGGGGCCGACTGGGAGGGGGCATTTAGCGAGATTATCACTTTCTTTATACTTCTCCGCATTTTCCAAATTCCCCACCATGAGCCTCCGGTATTTTTCTAATTAGAAGGGAACAATAAACAGAATTTTCAGCAGTGATAATCCAGTCTCCTGGCCTGCGGCTGCAGGGAGCAGAGCTGAGCACAGGGCGCTGAGCCCTGGCACAGCGTGGGCGCCCCTCCCTCCAACCCTGGGCCCCTGAGCCCCCAGGCCCTTCCCCCGCAGACCTGACCTCCAGAAAGAAAGAGCCCAGCTGGCTCCTTGGGGCCTTAGCCTGAGCGGCGGCCCCCTTGGCCAGGGCCTTGTCCGTTCCTGGCACAGCTCACCCCTGCCCGTCCTCCTAGATACAGCCCAGGGGTCGCCTCCACTGGCCACCCCCCCTCATGCTGCCCTAACCCCCCAGCCTGGCCTGCCCCTCATCCCTCCATCCCAGCGCCCCCCCCACCCCCCACCCAAGGTGCAGTCAGGGCTGAACGTGGTCCCCTGATTCCAGGGGCAGGAAGGGCCAACGCACACATCGCACTGACGCTGTTGTGTCAGGTGGGAGCCTCTGGGGTGGGCTGGGTTTTTGCCTTCATTTTCCACACTTGATGTAACGGCGATAGAATGTTTTCAGAAGAAGTAAAAAGAAAAACACTCTGGATTCAGCTGACACCAGTTACGTGAGCTGCAGAGACCGGAGCTCAGAGGAGCAGCCTGGCGGGCTGGGAGGACAGCCAAGCCCCGCTGTTCCATCCTCTGTCCTCCAGCAGAAGGCCCAAGGCGCTCGTGATGCAGCCTAACGGAAAGGCATTAAGGCAGGAGCCGTGGGGCACCCTTAGCCCTTTTCAGCGGATGCCTTCATTGTAAAATGGAAAGAAGAGAGCTGGCCTCCTTGGGGGCAGTGCAGCTGAAGGAAATAATACAGCAGCTGAGAGCAGATGCCCAGTAGGTGAAGCTGGTTAGCAGCTCTGAGCCTCCTGGTGGCGACAGCAAAGAGGGAAAGCCTTTAAGTAGCGCTGCTGCTGCTGCTGCTGCTAAGTCGCTTCAGTCCCTGATAAAAGGAAGGTGACCAGGGACCTCCCTGGTGGTGCAGTGGATAAGAATCTGCCTGCCAATGCAGGGGATATGGGTTTTATCCCTGGGAAGATTCCACATACTGCAGAGCAAGTAAGCCCTGCACCACAGCTCCCGGGCCTGTGCACCCAAACTCCTGAAGCCCCCGGGCCTGGAGCCTGTGCTCTGCAAGGAGAAGCCCACGCACCGCAGGGAGGACGGAGCTTGCTGGCTGCAGCTCGAGAAAGCCCGGGCAGAGCAACGAAGACCGGTGTAACAACAGCAACGACAAAGGCGGGCGGCCAGACGCCTAGAGACCTGCACTTCCTCCCAAGCTCTGAGCTCAGAAAGGACGGGCTTGCAGCGCTTCCTGAGAAACATGGGTCCCTGGAGCCCGCGATGTGTTGTGACGTGTGCTCTGAACCACAGGGGCCCGGGAGGTGGAAAGGGAAAGCCTCTTGTGCTCCCTCTGGTCTCCCTGTGGGCTGGGGACCCCCAGAGAACTCTCCTGGCCCGAACGCTCTCATTCCCACGCGCTGAAACTCCCGAGCCTCAACCCCACACCTGCCCCGAGTGGGCGCCGGGGCCCTGAGCTCCTGGCCCCCTGCCACAGCCCACAGGGAGCCCAGCCCCCACAGAGGAGAGGACAGCATTCTGCGAGGGCCTCCTGGATGCCAGCCCCGTGCCAAGCGCACCACCCCGGGCGGGGGCACAGTGACTGGGCCCGTTTCACAGTGAGAACGCAGAGGCTCGGAGGGGTGACGTCGCCTGCCCGAGGCCACACAGTCGGGGCAGGCTCCGGATGTGAGCTCGAGAGCACGGCCCCTGGTGCGGTGAGAGTGACCCGTCCCTGTCCTGGGGGTCCTGGGGCTGGGGCTCTGCGAGGCCCCCTTTGCCAGGGCGTCCAGCCAGCCAGCACCCCGGGGCCCACTGCCGACGGGTGGGAGCCGCGATCGAGACAGTTACGTCTTTCGCCCGAGGGCTGGGTTTCCGCAGCTCGGGAGCAGGGGGCCCTCTGCCGGCACCCCCTTGCCTCCAGGTTCCTCCTCAGGCCCAGGGAGAGGAGAAAAGGCTTGCGGGCTTTCAGGTTGTGGAGCCACGGGCTATCAGGTAAGGGCAGCTGGGCGAGCGGGCAGGGGCGGAAGTGCTTGGGCCAGGCAGGGTGGGGATGTCCTCCACCAGAGGGGAGTGTGTCCAGAGAAGCCTAGGAGGCAGCCCAAGGTCACACAGCGGTCAGAAGAGATGGCAGGGCTGGACCTGTCCACTCCACCTCTGAGTGGTCTTGAGAGCTCAGGCTTATTCTTTTTGGGGGGGTGGGTGAGGCTCAGAGAGGTTGCTCGCATGCCCTGGATCACACGGTGGCCGGGGTCTCCCCAGAGCCCCCTTCCTCAGCTCTGAGGGGGATAGGCCCCCCCGCCCCCGGCAGCAGGAGGAAGCCTCCCCTCCCCTTTCTGAGAAAGGCACCGCTGTTGTTCCCACCGCCAGCACCCCGAGGCCCAGAAAAAGAGGGCTCCAGCCACCCCCCTGCCCGCAGCGTTTAGCATTCGGCTGCCTCTGGGTCTGACCTACTTCGGAGGCAGAGGGGGAGGGACGGAGGGAGGCGAGAAGGGAATAGGTACCTGGCTTGGGCTTGGAGAAGCAGCCGCCCATGGCGCAGGGCCTGCGGGCGGGAGGGCGCGCTGAGTGGCAGCCGTGGGAGGCCTAGGATGCCCCTTGGGGGGCTGGGCCCCCCGCGGCTCTCAGAGATGCTGACGCTGCCATCCCAGCGGGAGCTGCCTCTGGGACCTGTGGGGAGAAGGGCAGCTTTGGGACCAGGGTCTGGATGAGGCTGTGGGTAGAGACACAGAGAGACGGAGCCAGGGGGCTTCGGAAAGGGGCCGCGCTGGGGCCGGGTCCCCGAGGCATCGCGGACCGCGCCTCCCTTCCGGCCCCCCAGGCTCAGCACCCTCACTCCCCTCCCCTCTGGCTTGCCCCCCCCCAGGGGGCCCTCCCTTAGGTCCAGGAAACCCCCGATTTCTGCGGCCCTCGGAGTGCTAGCCGCCCGAGAGCCCTGGGGCCCTCCATGCTCCAGGGCGGCCACTGTGCCTGCGGTCAGACCCGGGTCACCTTGACAGATCAGAGCTTCTCATCCTGGAGGTCCTCCCTCCTCCTCCTAGGTGGGGGGTGCATTTAGCGCTCCCTGGCCCTGCCCCAACCCCGGCGGGCAGCCCCGGTACCCACCTCCTCCAAGGGCAGCTGCTGCCTCCCGTCCCGGTGCCAGAGTGGACCGGACCGAGGCCGCCCGTCTGGGAAGGCAGGGCCGGGGCAGGGGTGCAGGAGGCGGCCCAGCGTCCTCCCCTCCCCCCGCGCGCCGTGGCCCGGAGGGCCGGGGGCGGGGCCGGGGGCAGGCCGGTCCCCAGGGAAACCCAGCTCTCTGTGAACAGAAGTGGGCTGCCCGCCCGGGCCCCACGGAGTGGGGGAACGGAGGCCAGGCACACCGCCGCACTTCCGCCCCTCCCCCGCTCCTTGCCAAAGCCTCTGATGTCGGGGTTCCGCCCCGCTCTTTGCCAAAGCCTCTGATGTCGGGGTTCCGCCCCAAAGCAGACGGGAACACGGGAGGGGGCCCAGGGCCCGCCGGGGTCCCGCAGCGGGTAGGGGCATCGGGGGGCCTCCCACCTGGTGCCTTCCAAGGCAGGCGGGAGCCCAGGAAGGCCCTGCGTCGCCCTGCAAGCTGCGGGGCTGGGGGTGGGTCACCCTGTCCTCCAGGGAGCTCCCAGGACCACATGTGGGCCGCCTGGAGCGTGCAGCTTGCACGCTGGACTCGGAGGGCCCGGACGGAGCTGTGGCTGCTTTGTCTACACTGGGCTCCCCACTCTTATCCCCCCAGAAGTTCTTCCTGGACTTTAAAGCAGCTGAGGTCTACCTGGTCTGGTTCAGATTCCAGCGAGGGCCCCAGAGGGCCCCTGAGCGCAAGAGGCCTGGGAACTGCAGGGAGTCTGGGGGGGACTGTCTACTGCCTGGCACCCGTCTCACCGCCCTGGCGGGCTGTCACGGGAGAGGTGGCACCTGAAGGCCACGCGGGCACACCCTTGCTCTTGCCCCCACTCACTGCCAAGGCAGGTCGGTAAGACGGGGCCTCCACCCGCCCCACCTGCCCCTCCCTGGGCACACGGGTGCCCCTCCCCGGGCCCTGGCTCAGCCCTGCCCACCTCCCTCCTGCCTGACCTCCGGCCTTGTCTGCTGGGCCACAGACACCCCAGAAGAGGGGTGACCTCAACTTGCCACCAGGTGCCTGTCGAGGCTGTCCCCTCCTTCCCAGGTGCCCAGATGTCCAGACCCCCGGGATCTTGGGCCTGGAAAAAGATTTGCTGGGGACAGAAACCTCCCCAGAGCTACTATGTGCTGGGCTAGCATGGAGCCCCCCCGCCCCCGTGGGTCCAGACACCCCCACCAAGCAAAGGCCCTTGGCAGGACAAACCAAGAGGGCACCCCGAATCTTGGCAGAGTGCCGTCCATGTCCACAAACTGCCCAAACTGCAAACGGTTCTAACAGTCCCAGAGGGCTAACCCCCTGCGGACCCACGTGTGTCCCCAGAACAGCCCCAGGGCCCTGATCCCCACTCCTCCGGGCGGTTCTTCACTGGGGGCCCCCTGGGCCCTTGCCACACCCACCCCGAGGCACCCCCGGCCCCATCCCAGCCGTTGGCTTCGTTTTCTGGGGCAGCGTCTGAGCTCCGCCGCCGGCCCTCGAGGTGGGGGAGCGCTGTGGCCGCATCTCCCCTCCACGTGCAGCTCGTCCCCCGGGGAAGGCCTTTCCAGCCTCCCTCCGGGACCCCCACCGGCCCAGAAAGGGGATCAGCACACATAGGGGCCCCCGCGGACGCCAACGGGCGGCGAGTCAGGGGAGCGGAGGCCGAGGAGAGGGGGGCGCCCCGCCCCGCCGCCCCCTCCACGGCGCCGCCCCCAGCCCCGCGGGCTCACCTGCCTTCCGCGCCTGCCTGCTCTCCGGAGCCTCCCGGGCGGGTGGGCGGGCGGGGCGGGGCCGGCGCTGCGGCGACACTGCGGCCGGAGCTGGGAGCCAGCGCCGGCTGGCGCCGCGCAAGTGGGGCGGCCCGGGGCAGGCCGCGGGGGCCTCGGCCCCGGACGCCGGCGGGGTCTGGGGCCCTGGCATCCTGGCGACCCCCATGGGACTGCAGGCTGGCGGCAGGCCGGCCCTCTTTCCTTTCCTTTCTTTCCTAAGTCTTGGAACCAGGGGCTTCTGGCAGCGTGGGGGCAGTGGAACCTCCCGCAGAAAGCTCCCGCAGCGAGCCCAGCTGACCCCGACACCTGGAAGGCTTTGGGGGTTCAGCTCCGCCCCTCCCCCGCTCTCCCCACACACGACTCCTTCCACTTGGATTTTATGAGTGTCTCTTTCCCAACTGCCGTTACACCCGGAGAGCTGCCCGGGTCCCTATAAATCGTGGTGCACCCTGGTTGCGTGTCGCGTCCCCTCCTCCAGGTAGCCCTCCCTGGGCAGCCTCTCTCCCCTAGCCTGGAGGTGCTGTTCCTGCTCCGGGGCCCTCCCAGAGTTTCCAGGTGCTGACCGTCCAGCCTGTGCTGTGATCTGGTAAAGCTGGGGCTCAGCAAACCTGTCACTCAGCCCAGCGGGCCTCCGACCGGCGCCTCCTGGGCCCGCTGGCGTTGAGCCCTCTTATTTGCCACCTCCCCCGTTTCTGGGCCTCCCTCCCCCCGGCTGGGGTGCCAGGCCGACCAGCCTGAGGAGGCCCCTCCTTATGTCTCAGGCAGACACCCGGAGGGCAGGCATATCTCTCCACGTTTTACAGATGCGGGAGCTGGGGGAGGCACCCGCGGGCAGGGGCAGGGCCTGCGAGGGTCACTTCTGCGGGCAGGTGTGGGGCCGGGGGCTGCAGGGGGCAGGGGATCACCTCGTTCCACCCCTCCCTGCTCCTGCCGCAGGAGGGGCCCCAACACGGGTGCTGCTTGGCGGGGTGCCCTGGGCCTCCATCCAGCCTGCCCCGACTGCACCCCGGACTGACCTTGTGGCCCTGCCCCTGCGCCCCCGGCTCCCCAGCCGGGAAGACACTGCGCCCCATTCGCGGCTGTGCTTCACCCTCCACGCAGCCCGAGGGAGGTTCTCTGTCGTCTCCATTTTACAGATGAGAGCCAAGGCTCAGGGGTTTGGGGGCCCCCCAGAGCCGGGCTGCTGGTGAGGGGCGGGTCCTGGCCGGGCTGACAACGCGGAGGAGAATGGGGGCGTCTCCAGTGCAGGGCCCCCATCTCGGTCTGTGATCTCTTTGAGTCAGTGAGCCCTCTGTGCCCCAGGTCCCCCAGGAATCTGGGGGGACAGCAGACGGGTGCGGCCTGGGAGACGGCGGTGCTCAGGGTGGGGCTGGGAGCTGCGAGGAGGCTGAGGACGACGGGGGTGGGGGGGGGGCGATGCCCTGATGTGGGGCAGCAACAACTACATCCTCGTGGAGCAAAAGCGGAGACGGAAGGCAGGCGGGTGGGCAGCCTCCGTGAGGGCCCCGGCTTAGAGGTGGTGCGCGTGGACGTGGGGGTCCTCGGGCCACCCTAGGTCCTCACCTTGCCCCCAGAGGAGATCCGTCCCGGTGGCCTGGACGGCACCCAACGAGGCCCCAGCAGCGAGTGGGGGCTGGCCAACGAGCTGCGGGTGAAGGGGAGCCGGGAGGCGCCTGGCCTCGCCAAGCCAGCAGCAAAGTGAGGGCGCGGCGCCCCCTGGAGGGCGGCCCGAATCCCGCAGCGCCCTCCCCGGGCCTTGGGTTCTGACCGCAGAGTGGACTCTTGCCAGGGACCTAAGGCCAGCTGGGGAGACCTCCATGTGCCTACCTGGCCCCCTGGTAACATGGGGAGGGGGCTGTTACAGCACAGCCAACATCCGAGCTGTGGCCGGCTGTGTGAGGGACAAGAAACAGGCGGGCCTGGCGCCCCCAGCTACTTATTCTCATGGAGGCAGAGGCTTGGGGACCCCCAGGCTGGGGGACCTGGGCCGAGCCCACCCCCGGCCTCACTCTGAGCCCCTGGCTTGCTCAGGTTGCTGCAGCCCGGCCCCCCTGCCCGCACTGCCGGTCAGGCCACACAGCCTGAGTCCCAGAGCCCCCAGGGCTCCCCAACCCCGTGGGGCCAGCTGCCCCCCGGCCCCGGCGCGCCCCACGCTGCTGCTGCGCGCTGCCGTCTCCAGGCCCAGTGGTGACCAGCTCTGATTCCAGTGCCCAGGGAACTTTATGTTTTTTCATTTTTGTCTTCCAAGATGTTTTCTATTTGTAAATTAAAATAATTTCAAAATGGAAAAAAAAAACCCTCCAACAAACAAAACAACACTGGCAACAACTTCCACACCTGAGACGTTCAGATAGACTAGTACAAACTGCTTCAGCTCAGCTCAGGCGCTCAGCCATGTCCAACTGTGACCCCACGGACCGCAGCACGCCAGGCCTCCCTGTCCATCACCAACTCCCGGAGTTTACTCACACTCATGTCCATTGAGTCGGTGATGCCATCCAGCCATCTCATCCTCTGTCGTCCCTTCTCCTCCCGCCTTCAATCTTCCTCAGCATCACGGTCTTTTCCAATCAGTCAGCTCTTTGCATCAAGTGGCCAAAGTATTGGAGTTTCAGCTTCAGCATCAGTCCTTTCAATGAATATTCAGGACTGATTTCCTTTAGGATGGACTGGTTGAATCTCCTTGCAGTCCAAGGGACTCAAGTCTTCTCCAACACCACAGTTCAAAAGCATCAATTCTTCGGTGCTCAGCTTTCTTTGCAGTCCAACTCTCATCCATAAATTACTGGAAACACCATAGCTCTGATTAGACAGACCTCTGTTGGCAAAAGTAATGTCTGCTTTTTAATATGCTGTCTAGGTTGGTCATAGCTTTTCTTACAAGGAGCAAGCATCTTTTTAATTTCATGGTTGCAATCACCATCTGCAATGATTTTGGAGCCCCCCCAAAATTAAGTCTGTCACTGTTTCCACTGTTTCCCCATCTATTTGCCATGAAGTGATGGGACCAGATGCCATGATCTTAGTTTTCTGAATGTATATTTACTGTTCAGCGACAAGGCAGGTGTCTACAGACTTGTAAAATGTGTTTTCACACACATCGCTGGAGAAAGTGTAAATTGAGGCAATCCTTATACTCCGCTCAGAGGAGCCGCTTCACCGTGTCTGACAGCTGGAGACTGGAAAGGCCCTGTACGCCCACCGTGACGGTGGCTCCCCCAGTGCCAACACGCCCACCTCGTGGGCCACGACACAGCGATGGGAGAACAGAGGCGTGCTTCTGACTCATAGCCTCTGATAGGACAGACCGAGGTCTACGCTGTCTCTCTGTAGAGAAGACATGGGGAAGTCCTTACAGAGCTGGCTGCCCGAATGTTCTGCACCTCCGGAGAGATCCGCAGTAAACAGGCAACAGGGAGACGGTGTGTGCGTCCACCAGGGCGGGGCCCCTGCTGACCTCAGCACCAAACCCCAGCTCCACCAGCTCCTTCCGGGCAGACCACCCCCTTCACGGGCTGGTCTCAGGTGCTGGGCAGCTCTGGGTTCCCACCCCTCTCTCGGACCTCTGAGGTTCCCCAGTGGGCCCCCACCCACTTCAGTGCCAGGCGGCAGGGGTACAGCCTGCCTTGGGCTCTGAGCCCGGGAGCCGAGGGCGCTGGTCCGATGGTGTCCCCGGGGCAGCAGGCATGGGTGAGGATGCCCCCGATTTCTGCAGCCCGTTTGGACACAGGCCTCACCCTCCTGCCAGGAAGCCTCAAGCAGGGCCAGGATTCAGAGCCGTCGTGGGGTGCCAGGACCCAGGCCCTGACACCTGCCAACTTGCCAGGAGTTCCTGCCACGGGGGAACCCAGCCCTGCGCTGCGGAGCAGTATGTGCCCTCTGAAGCTCCAAGGGCTTGACAGGCGTCTCCGAGGCCTGCCGCCTTCTGGGACCAGAGCCGTGCCCGGGGGAGGGGTCCTGGAGGCAGAGCGGGATGGCCGGGACCCCCCGCTGGTGGAGACCCCTTTCTAGAGGCTTTTCCACGACACTGGGCCCTCCTGACACACACGTAGGTGCAGGGATGGCACTTGCTGGGGGGCCGCAGGGCATCAGGAGGTGGCCCCCCGAACCCCAGCTGGAGGCCAACAGGCAGGCTGGTCCCTGCCCTGCCCTGGGACGTGCCAACGCTCAGCCCAGGCTCCCGGGGGTGCCGGGCCTGGAACTTCTGCCCCCTCTCCCCCCACAGGGTCGGGGCCGCAGGGCTGGGCGCCCAGCGCAAGCAGCAGGTGTCGCCGCAGGTGCGGGCGTGCTGGGGGGGCGCCTCCCGGCAGCGCCGAGGACACACAGACACAGAGCGACTGCCACCACCGGGGGTGCACGTTTATTGAGACAATGCACAGACAGGCCACGCAGACAGGGTCTGAGGCTGGACCAGCAACGCAACGTGCAACACAAGAACAAGGCACTGATCTGTCAAGAAAAGACACTCCATGTATTCTAAGAATATAAGTCATTTAATACTGTTAATTTTATAGCACAAAATAAAACAAGCTATGATCCCCAAAAATAATTTTAAAAGCTTACACAGAAAATATTATTGCCTGAAGTTTCTGGTCTTTAAGTTACAGGTCAAAGAGTCTGTGTTGTGTGGCTGTCTCTTTAAAACACACAGTGAAGGCTGGCGAGAAGCGAGGCCACCGTTCCTCCTGCAGAGACCCAGCCTGGCTCTGAGGATGCTCCTCGGCCGCGGGCGCGGCCAGGCCTGGGGACGCGGGCCTCCGCCCCAGCACTGGAGGCCGGGGGGAGCTTGGGGGTGTCTCCGGCTCCGTGTGAGAGCACTCAGGACTCACTCATTTTAAGAGGTTAATGAACACAATATTAAAGGATTAAATTATAAACCCCTGGCATGACAGCATCCCTTTTCCAAGTGAGATGTTCACGCCCTCTGAGCACACAGCCCAAGCACGTGGCTTCAGTCTCGGCTGCCGGCATGTAAACGGCTGGAGGAGCAAGTCCGCGGGTCAGGCGCTTGGGGCAGCTGCTGCCCCGCCAGGCCCGGCCGCGGGGCCCCGTCCTTGGCTGTCTCCGGGCAGAGCAGGCAAGAGTCACAGGGAGACCCCATCCCCAGGTGAGTTCAGGGTCACACTGCCAGTGCCTCCAGCACACGCTCTGCTCTTCTCCACGTGAGCGGCTGGAACACCCACACCTCCCAAGGGACACAGAGCGGGCCGAGCAGCGACGCAGAGTGGCCCTGGGGGGCCGGCACCTCTGAGGACTCCTCTCCTCCTGATGCAGTCTTCCCAGACCCCCGGGGCCCGGGCCCAGGTGAGGCAGGCGGCCATTTCCCGTATACTTAGTGTGAAAAACATTTCCCTGATTAAAAATCTAACAAGGTTCAGAGTCACAGAGGCCCTGCTTCGGCACACGTCCAGAGTGCGGCGCTCAAGGCTCAGTCCGGCCTGGGCTCTGAATCTCGGGGCAGCCGCAGAGACGAGAACCAGGGTGAGGACGCAGCGCACGCCAGCCCCAGGCAGATGGCAGGGGTCCTGGCACGGCCACGCCACTGGCCACGGGCGAGGAAACGCCTGGGCTCCCAACAGGCGGCGGCGGCGGCAGACAGCCTGGAGCGGAGGCTCCCAGGGATGAAGAGGAGCCCAACACAGCCTCTCAGGAAGCCACAGAGAGGACAGGGCCATGTGAGCACGTGAGACCCCCGAGGCGACGGCCACCCCCGACCGCAGATGCGCACAGAGAGCCCGACACTGGCGACGCTGCGCCCACCCTCACGACCCCTGACCCCGGGGGTCGCACCCCGGCCACAGCAGACGCAGGGGGTGGGGGCCGCAAGACTTCTCAGGCTACGACCCCACCCAGGGCTGCAGGGTGCGTTCCAGCAGAGCCTGTCTTCACCAGGGTCCACAGGGAAGGCGCAGGGGCGCCGGCCAGCTGGCCATGTGCTGCGGGAGAGCGTGCGGACAGACCTCAGGTACCCGACGGGGACACCTGACCGCTGGGCGGCGCTGGCTCACCTCCCGGACCCGGTGCCCGCACGCAGTCGTGTGGGGGGCGGCCGGGCGAGCGTGAGGCCAGGCAGAGCTGGGCTCGGTGAGCGGGCAGCAGACTCGGGAGTGAATTCAACAACTGCTGAGAAAACCGGGGCCACACTTTCCGGGGGCGCCGTCACGGAAAGGCCGCTCCTCCACTGCTGGCAGACAGGGTGAGCCCCGGCTCTGACACCTCTACGACGTCGCCCAGGAGGCTGTGCGCGCAGCGGGGAAATGCAGGGCCACTGGGGGGCTGCTCGGTCGACTCCAGACAGGATGAGCTGGCCTTGGGGCTCCGTCCCCTGCGCTCCCGCGGTGACAGCAGCTCATCCCTGATCTCATCACAGAACCCAACCTGCTACTTAAACACCTCTTCAGAACAAACAGGTCTAATTAACGAAGCCTTCCAAAACCAAACCAAACCAGAGGGGAGAAAGAAAGAAAAACCAGAAGCCAGAGTGGAGAGTCTGGGGCAGCGCCCCCTCCGGAAGGGCCCACGCCCTGCTGTCCCCGGGCACGGGCCCCGCGCTCTGCGTGTCCACGCAGGGGCGCCTTCCCTCCACCAGTGTTTCCAGTTTGTGATCCAACGACTCTACAATCAGCTACTCCGTGACAACACGACTATGATACAATGCAGGCGGCCCCGAGCACGCCCAGGCGGGGCCGCCGCTACAAAGCCGGGCGCGGGCCTGCCCAGAGGGGGCTACCCCAGCGGGAGGAGACAGACGGGTGGGACGAGCAGCAGGCGCAGGGTGGGGCGGTCACTCGCTCTCGTCCGGGTTCTGGGGGTCGATGATCTTGACATGCGTGAAGGGGAAAAGCCCCTTGCGCCCATTCACCTCGCCCTCCCACTGGCCGTTGATGTTCATCCTCGTGACCTTCACGATGTCGCCCACCTGCCGGGAGAAGGGGACAGAGTCAGCGTTTCCTCTGAAAATCACAGCCACAGGCGGCGCCACTGAAGGGACCCGCTCTGTTCTCAGGACTCGTCTCCTGGGCACCACCGTGGGGCCTGGGAGCGTGTGTGGCCCCCAGGACGGGCTCTGACGCAGCTCCTGCCCAGACTGGCCATCGCCGCCAGGGGACAGCCACCACTCGGCTCTCTGAACAGCTCAGCCCGCACAGGAAGCATACGAGAAAAACTGAAGCAGTGTGGCAGCCTGTTTCAGGTGAAGGCACGGCCACCACCAGGACCGCCCCCAGCAGGAGCCCCCTCGGCCAGAGGCCAGGAGCTGCTCTGCCATCAGGGGGTCAGCAGCTCTGCTGGTGGGGCCCCCCGTCATCCGCAGACCCACAGGCTCCGAGGCAGCACGGGGGTCAGGCGGGGCCTCAGCCTCGTGGATGCTGTTTATGAAACTGTCCTCAGAGGTAAGCGTGGGCGCTCCTGTTTGGCTGGCTGCTCACCGGGTCCCTCAGAATGAAGCTCCATCTGCCCTGGGTCTGACGGAAGGCCCCCGGAAGAGCAGGGCCAAGGGCGAAACACACGGCTCACCACTCGCCCCAAGGACATTCAGAAACGAGTCAGTTGTGGGGTGAGCACAAGACTGCATCTATTGTTCATGGTGTTTCCAATGTTTTCTGCCCCCTGTAACAGGTACCCCCCCTCAACTGCCTTCTTCATTATGGCAGTTCCCAGCTTTTTACGAAACAACCTTGTATTATTTCATTTGGGAAAAGGCACCTTCTGCTCAAGCTGCTCGGAGAGCCAGCTCGCTGGTGGCCTCAAGTGACCAAGGGCGCAGAGCTGCCAGGGTGGCGTGAGGAGCCCCTCCTCCACGGCCCCTGAGCACAGGGCCCCAGGCGGGCAGGTACTGGGCTCTGAGAAAGGCAGCGTGTTTTCTGAAGTGGACCCACAGTCACCTGCGTTACTGCACATCCAGGGCTGAAAATGCAGCAATCATGTTTAAACAAACACAAGGACGAGGAAAAGCACGCTGCACAGAGACAGACCATAACTGCAGACCGCCCCAGAAGGACGCGCCCAAAGGTCACTCCCCTCGTGGGGGGGGGGGGGCGTGGGGCGTGGCAGGAAGCAGGCAATGCCTGCGTCTGACCCACCCGGTCGCCCGGTAGTCTGCATGGTGATCCCGTCCCCAAGTGAGCCCATGAAGGCTCAGAAGGCTCAGGCATACTCTGTTAGGAGAGGAGCAGTGAGAAAGCAGCAGGGTGGAGCAGGGCGCCCGGTCAGGCCTGCCCCGGAGGGAGAAAGTGTCCATGCTGCACCCTGGCCTGCAGGAGCGCTCACACACCAACATGGCCCAGTGGGCCTAATGCATGCTGAACCAGCTGCAAGGCCCGCTCAACAGCCACAACAATCTCAAAAGAGGAGGCCAGAGCTGGAGGCCTCATGCCCCCAAATGAAAACCCATTAAGCCATGGAAACCGGAAGTGTGGTCTTAGCACACAGACAGACACACGGATGGACTAGTACAACAGATATGAGAGCTTGTAACAAACTCATACATCTCTGGTCGACTCATTTTTTTTTTAAGTTTCCCACACAGGGACGGAACTCAAGCCCCTGCAACAGAAGCATGCAGTCCTAACCACTGGTCTGCCCAGGGAGCCCCCCCAATTGATTTTTGAAAAAGTGCCAACTCCCCTCAATGGGGGAAGAACAAAGTCTTCAACAAATGGTCCTGGCACAACTGATCTTCAGCCTGAGAAAGAAAGGATTTGGCTGCCTGCGTCAATCCATATCCAAAACTAACTCAAAGTGGATAAGTGACCTAAATGCAAAAGGTAAAACCGTAAAACTCTTGGAAAGAAACATAGGGGTAAACAACCCTGAACCTGGCAATGGATTCCTAGGTATGACGTCAGAAGCATGAGCATCGAAAGACAATATACGTGAGACGGACTTCACCGAACTCAGCAGTGTGCAGTGAAGTAGGCCAGAGAGTGCAGAGACAACATGGGGAAGATCACACCTCTGATAACAGTTTGATACTCAGAATGTATGAAGAACTCCTAAAACCCAACAACAAAAAGCAAACAAGCCAATTTAAAAATGAGCAAAGGTCTTGACCTTCATTTTCCCAGAGAAGATACAGAAGTGGCCAAGAGGCACAGGAAAAGACCCTCCATGTGACTGACAATCAGAGAAGTCTCAGTCTCCAGCCGCCACCTCACAGCCCTCAGGGCAGCTGTGGTAACTCTAAAAAGAAGGAAAACAACAGGTGCTGATGTGGCTATGGATTGTAACCCTGGCCAACTGCCTGTGGGACTGTAGGATGGTACGGCCGCTGTGGAAAACAGTCTGGCTGACCTCAAAAGGTCAACAGAGCAACCCAGCAATTCCTGTTAGAACTGCCTAGAATTCCTAGAGAACTGCCTGGCCTTCCCTGGGGGCTCAGGTGGTAAAGAATCCACCTGCAATGCCGGAGACCCAGGTTGGATCCCTGGGTTGGGAAGATCCCCTGGAAGAGGGAATAGCAACTCAACCCAGTGCTCTTGCCTGGAGAATCCCATGGACAGAGGAGCCTGGAGGGCTACGGTCCACGGGGTCACAAAGAGTCGGACACAACTGAGCGACTTTCACTGGAAAACCGGAAACAGGTATTCACACAAAGAAAGCTGCGTGGAAACGTTCCTCAGGCTGTCCTCAACAAGCAGAAGGCGGGACTGAGGCTCAGGACCATGACCCAGTGAACGGGCAAAGCAAGTGTCTGCCATCTGCACAGTGAATTCTGTTGGGCCACACACAGAATGAAGATACTCACTACAACACAAACCTCTGTGAAATGAGCCAGATGCAAAGACAGATGTCCCACTTACACGAGGCATCCAGAACTGGCAAATTCACACAATAGAAGGTGGACCAGAGGTTGCCAGGGCAAAGGACACGGGGCTGGGGGGAGGGGGGCAGTTACTGCCTAACGGTCACAGAGTTTCTGTCTAGGGTGATGGAAAGATTTCGGGAACAGATAGTGGTGAAGGCCGAGTAACAGTGCACGCAGTTAACGCCGCTGAACTGTACACTTAAAAGCAGCAACTTGTTACGTACAGTGTGTGTGTGCTCAGTCGTGTCCGACTCCCATGGATGGGAGCCCACCAGACTCCTCTGTCCGTGGGATTTTCTAGGCAAGAATATGGGAGTGGGTTGCCATTTCCTTCTCCAGGGGATCTTCCCAACTCAGTAAAAAGATGAGTAAGGTAACATGCCAAAGACCACTGGGCTGTATGCTTGAAGTGAGTAAACTGTATGATCTCAACAAAGCTGCCGAGAGAAACACCGTGGGCTGAGTCCTGGCTCTTCCCCGTACCCACCATGAGACGGCCCACCTCGAGCGCGAAGCGCGTGAAACGGGGCAGCAACAAGCGGCAGCCTCTGCAGCCCCTGGCTGGCGCGTCTCCCCGCACAACAGCTAGGACCGCATGCAGAAGACTGAGGTCGGCATGGCGACCAGCCTGTCTGAACTGCAGCAGGGCCCCAACTTCATGGTCCTCTCACCCAGGTTATATTTTAAGAAAGAACAATCTTCCCCAATTTACAGCCCAGTAAGAAAATAATACGCCAGAAAAGGACTGCTGCCTCAGGGACGGAATTCCTAAAGCCGGACGTTGCGAAGGACCGTGACTCGGCGTCAGTGACAGAGGCTGCAGGTGGCGCCCGGCAGCCCTGACGCGCCCTAAGAAGGTGCGGGTGCCCAGGGGCACCCTGCCAGGCTGGGGGGGCCCTGCTGAGGTGCCCTATGGGCCTCCCGCCGCAGACCTCATCACTGGGCACACAGGAGCGGCAGAGGGAGCCATGGCAGCCCCGGAGCTCAGCCTGCACGGGGGAAACCCAGACTTGCCCTGCGGACAGCTTCCACCCGGTGACAGAGGCAGCCACGAAGAAACTGCTGACGTGAGCGCATTTCTAACCAACCAAGCAAAAGCAACCGGAGGAAGCAGAAACCCGGGAATCCTAGGCCATTGGCGAAGGAAGTGGCCCCATGGGCCTGGGAAACTCAAAAGATTCTGAGACCAGATGCAATCCAATGTCGAGGGGTCTTCAAATTGCAGGCAGACAACCCAAGAGATGCCAACGTGGCAACCGCACATGGCCCAAGGGGAGCAGGAGCAGGCAACCTGGGCGTGCCGGTGAACTCAGAAAACGCGCCCGATGAAGGCTGTCCTCTTGCTGACGAGGACAGGTGGCCACGAGCTGATAGAACCCGCTGGCAGGCAGGACACACCCATGCTGGACGCCTGCCACAGAGGACGACATCGTGGGACACTGGCATCCTGACCAAGGGTCAAGCCTCTTGGTTTTTGCTCCAACAGGGATGATAGCAAATTCTATAAAACATACACAGTGAGCTTGAGACCACATCTGGACAAAATTCTGGACTTAATTAGCACACAGGTGGTTTATGAGGATTTAGGGGGAAATGGGTCTGGAAGGCTGCATGGGCTCAGTCAGGGCCAAGGTGAACTAGCCCAAGCTCACTGTCCTTTCCTAGAGACGGGCCTGATCAGGAGGGGCGCAGAGGAGGCTGTGGGTCACACGTCTGGGAAACCTGCAGCTGGCACAAAGCCGCACGTCACCAGGACTTGAGGCCAGAAGCAGATGGGGGTGTGTGTGTTGGGGGGTAAGACCGAACCAACCAGAGCAGAACCCTCAAGAGGGACGGCTGGAGGGGACGCACTGAGGTCCGAGACCCGGGCGAGGCAGGAACGGGGCGAGCCGCTCGCCCAGGTGGGCACCTCCAGACTGTCCATGCAGGCAGCACCGTGCCCCGAGGCTGTCCCAGGCTCCTCGAAGGCCGGCCCCTGTGGCCGCGGTGAGCCCGGCTGGTGGACAGGGGCCGGAGGGGTCCGCGGAGAGGCTGAGGGCCGCTGCCGGGGCCGCAGCCCAGGCAGGCGGGCACGTGCCAAGCCCTTCTGGGGCCCATCAGCGCCCTAGCCCCGCTCCGCTGGCGGCCCCCGCGGACCGCAGACCCCATGCCTCCCGCCACCACTCCCTGAGGCCCATTCAGACCCCGGACACAGAGTGTGCCCTGAGCTAAGCACGGCTCTGAAGGGCTAACCCATCACTTCCCTTTTGTTCCAGGTCAGGAAAGCTGGAATACAAAGTGTGAGACTGGTACCTTTACAGGGAGACTCAAGAATCTGCCCCCCATTACTGAAAATCAGTAAAAAGGTGACCAGCCTGCCGGCAGGCTTGACAAGGTATCCTTCCCGTCAGCCTGGCCCTGTGATACGGCAGCAGCTGCGTCCCAGCATCTGCCTTTGGCCCAACACCGAGCACTCCCTCCAACCTGCAGCCACGCAGGAGTGTTCTCCTGTTCCCGCAAGCTCCTGCTCTGCCAGGAATGTCTCATCCCGCTTCACCCAGTCAGCGTCTACTCACCCTTCAAAACCCAGTTCAAGGGTCACCTCCTGCAGGAAGCCTTCCCAGACCACACCCCCCACATTCCCAGCTGCTCCCTACCTCTCCCGGCTACTCCGCCTCATCAGCTCACTCAGCCGCAGCTGGCTCCCGCCTCCAGGCTTCCAAGGGGCAAGCTCCTTGGCGGCAGGACCCTGTACTGAAAAGCACCCTCACAGACTGGGCGCGTGCTGGATGAGCAAGCAGCAACCGTGTACCGTTCCGGTTTAGAGGGTGTAAGAAGTGCGCCTGAGACCACACCTGGAGCAGCCGCTGGGTCAGAGGACACAACTCGGGCTGCAGGTGAGCTTGTAAGGGCCCTGGGGCTCTTGTTCCAAACACTCTCTCTGCCAAGGATGCATCTTCGGAAAGGCCAACTCTGCTCCCCTGGAGTCCTCAGCCCTGCTCCACCAGGCATGGGAGGTCCCTCTTCAGACTGAATCCCAAGGGGCAAGAGAACCAAGTGTCTGATCACAGCCTCTCTTAAGACAGTGCCTTACAGGCAGGAAAGTTCTTTCAAAAGTCAAGTCTCATAGAAAAAAAAAGTGAACTAACTCGGGCAGTGAAGTTCCCCTGCAGCACCCTCTGTGACAGAAGCTCAGAGGGAGTAACGCTGGTTCCACTACGGCACATTTTGTCCTACTTGTCTCACCTTTCTTGTTTTAATTTTAACACTTTTCCTGGTAACCTAATTGTAAGTGTCCCAAGAGGGTTCAAGACAGGCACCAGCTTTAGAAGATAAGGTAACTCACAAAACACTTCTTTACGGCCCAACCCAGAGCGCCGTGTGAACAGAGAGAGCAGACTGCACGGTGCGGTGGTGTCTGGCCAAGGCCCCCTCCCTGGCCCACTACGCCCTCGGGGGTACGCGAAAGCACCAGGAGCCTGGGGCGGGCGGGCGGGCCTGTCTCTGGAGGAGTGGTGTAGTGCTGAGAGCGCGGGTGGTCTCACAGTGAGCTTGCTTCACCGGGCTCCTTCTCCCCACCCTGGTCTCCCAGGGTCTGTCTACGCGTCCGCTCCCCCAGCTGTGAGCGGTCCCCTCTACAATCTCCCACCCCACTGCACACTCCAAGGAACAGAGGAGATGGGGTTTCTACAACACACACCTTAGAGTCAGAGGTCAACAGGCATGCGTCCTTCAAGGGAGTGTGGCTTTAAGCCCTGACTCAGCTAAGAACCCAGTTCCTGACTTCCTTTAGAGGCCTGGCATTCTGACTGGGAGCCCGGACCCCCGCTCACCCATGTGTGCCGACGGCCCGCTGCACGACACAACCCTGAACCTAGCCCCCTGCTCCCTTGGCGGGTGTGGGGGTGCCCCCAGAGCCTGAAGCCTCATAGACGCCAACGGGACGGGGGAGGATCACTGAGGACACAGACGTGTCCTGAGGGCAGGCTGCGTGGGTGAGAAGCCAGCAGCCTGTCGGTCGGCCCGGACACTGGGGGCCTCCCTGCCTCCTGCCCGGCCCTCCCCGGGAGGCGTCAGAGGGCGCGGGGCTCTTCCCTTCGGGCCAGCGTGAGACGGAGAAGTCACCTTGCACTCCGAACCAGGCTTCCAGGTGAAGTTCACTGGGTATTACTCTTGGTCCAAAAACACCTGAGGATAACCAATGAGAAAACACGGGAAAACCAGCACTCCCACCGACCCTGAGGGCAGGCTGCGAGGAAGCAGCAGGCCGTCTGCCCCACGGTGGCCTCGGGCTGGGCACACGGTGTCAGCAGGAGCTTCGTCTCAGGGTCTCCAACACGCACATGGCCATGTGACGACACTCACACTGCAGTGTTGTGGTTCACGAGTTACCAACAAAGGAAGGAGCGAGGAGCTGCAGCACCAAACCCAAACTCTAGGACAAGGCTCTGCAGGGCCCACCTCACTTTAGGCGCAGGTTTGATCCCTGCTCAGGGAACAACAAACTACCTTCCAGACCCTCTGTCCGCAGGCCCGCCACAGGGTCTGTGCTCATACGTGGTTCCCTGGGCGCACCGATGTCTCACCAAACGCCTACCTTCTGCAGTTCACCCCACCCAACACACACCTCTTTGTATTTTGACAAGCCACAATCATACGTTACGCCTTGCAAGAGCCTTTGTCCCCTTATGAGGCAATTCACAATGAGTTAGAGGAACATGACTCGGTGATTAAAACATTAAAGTTCTCTTTCACGCTGCTGTAATTAACAAAATCTCAATTAAGTGAGGCCTGAGACACTGAAACCTCCTTCCCTTGCCCAGCTGAAGAGGAGTCCACATTTATTCCTATTTCTCAACTGCTCACAACGTTAGAAACGTGGAGCTGTGTGTCCACCTGTATGTTGATTTCATCTCTAGGGCATGGGCCTTTCTTAACTATTGCCTTCCCTTACTGCCTGGAGAAGGAAATGGCAACCCACTCCAGTACTCTTGCCTGGAAAATCCCATGGACGGAGGAGCCTGATAGGCTTACAGTCCACGGGGTCACAGAGAGTCAAACACGACTGACTGCCTTCACCTCCTTACTGCAAAGAAAACCAACTGTTTTGAGACCACATCTGAGGCTCTGGAGGCAGAACACAGCAAGGCAGCTGACGTGGGGGAGACGGGGATAGGAAAGGACACAGAACCATGTGAGACAGTCACTATGGGTCTTCAGAGTCACCCAGTTCTCATCCCGTCAGTTTAACCTTAAACGAGTAGTCCTGGCCTCACAGAAGCAAGATTAAACTAAAAGCAAAAACTGAGGAAATTTCCCGGGGGTCCGGGGTCTGGACTCCACGCTGCCGTTGCTGAGGGCCTGGGTTCAATCCCCGGTTGGGGAGCTAACATCCTCGGGAGCCACGGCCAAACCCCAGGAAACCCAAGTGTCAAAGCCCCAAAGACCCAGCCGGGCAGCCTTTACCTCCAGGGCCAGGGCGGTCTTGTCGTAAGCACAGGGCACGCGTTTCTGAATTGCTTTCGCAAAGACAGGTCCGTTCTGCGTGGACGGCAGGGGGCTGACGGTGGCCCCGGGGGCGCCAGCGGCCGGCGGGGGCGCCATGGTCTGCGGCTGCGCGTAGGCGTGGGCGGGCTCGGGGACGCCGTAGCTGCTGGAATTCCTGCCCCCGGGCCGGCCCTGCGCCGAGGCGCGCGCGAGCTTCTCCACGTAGGGCACGGGGATCATGCCCGCGCGGCCGTCCTTGTTGCGGGCGCTCCACCACTGCTCCTCGGGCTTCTCCACGATCACCAGGATCTCGCCCTTCCTGAAGGGCAGGTCCTCGGCGTCGTTCCCGGGGAAGTCGTACAGAGTCCGCACGTACTCCAGGCTCTCCTCCGCCGCGGGCAGGCCGGGTGCGGACGCAGAGCCCGCCGGCGGGCTGGGGTACCTGCAGGGGCAGAGAAAGCGCTCTGAGAGGAGACGCGGACCCGGCGTCTGCCGAGCTCTGTGAGTGAGGGACGGCTCACTCCCCTCCGTGGTCTCACTAGGAGGCGCTGTGCTGACTGGCTTCCTGGCGTCTGTAAGGCAACAGGAGTTCCGGACGACGCCGGCCGTTAACGCCAGGGGCACCGCCCCGCCGCCCGCGTCTCACAGGACCCTCTCGTTTACACTCACAGACGCCTGGCCTTTTTAAAATCCCCACTAAGTCCAGCTGCGCCCTCCTGAGGCCCGTCACGACCACCACACACTCCTCCCCCTGGTCCTCACCTAGGGCTGGCATCCTGCACGCTTCTCCAGGCAGCCAGAGAGAAGACAGGGCCCCTCAAAATACAAAAACTGGAAAACGGAGTATGTACTTCCATTACAAAAAAGGAAAAAAAGAAAAACGCACCACCATACTGCATCTCGTAGTGGAATCACCATCCGAGCCCCCAGGCGCGAAGCCCCTGGGGTGGGTCAGAAAAGCAGCCCCTCCTTCCGCCCCTCCTGGAACACCCCTTGCTCAGGAGAACTGCGGAGGTCTCCCTCCACCTAAGGCGTGTCTGGAAAGTTGCAAATACATGATGTTTGGGGAAAAACTATTTTGCCATGAGCACCCCCCCCCCTTAACTTTTCTGAAGCCCGGAAGCTACTTGAGTAACTTGGCCGAGTGTCTCCGCCTCTTGGGGGGTATGGCTTGCACAGCTGTGTCTGAGCGGGGCTAGTGCTAGGATGGGACACGCGCTGCTGACCCGCTGACTGAAGCCCTGAGTCCTCCAGGAGAGCGCGGCCTTTCCCTTTATCCCCCAGGCAGTGACCTGAAAAGCTGTTTCAGAGAACAATATCACAACATGTCCTCCCACACTAAACCATTTTAATTTATAGAAACATTTCTTAAAAAAAAAAAGTGTCAACATGTTACAACACCCATCAAAAGAAAAAGGAAAATGAAAGAGAAAAGAAAGTCCCAAGTCCCTGCCCTAGGGTGGCCAGCTGCCCCCCTTCTTTCTTCCACCCGCAGCTGCTGGGGCGGTTTTCCTGCAGCGTGGCCCCTCCACGGCGCCTGCCCTCCGGAGCCACTGCAAGCGAGCCCCGCGTTTCTGGAGGGTCCTGTGTGTCACCATCTATGACGCCATCACACACTCCTGCACAGCATCCCCCTGGACTGTGTTCCTGGTAAGGCCCTGGCCCCAGATTAAATACACCAGCACTCTCACAGGCCTCAGGACGCACGGCCCTCCGAGGCACAGCCTGCGCCATTTGGCCAAAGACAGATCTTTCTGATGCAAACGATGAGCTGCAGAGTGGTCAGGACCCCGTGGTGGGGCGCAACCTCGGTGAGAAAGGGCTGACACCCAAGGCTGTCGGCGCGGTCTGAGGTCTCCCTCACAGCCTCCGGTGGGGGGGGGATGCGCCCGGCAGGTGGCCCCAGAGCTCTCACTCCGGCTGGCAGGAATGAACACATGCCCACAGCAGCTCCTGACCGGCCCTGAGCCCCTGGCTAGCTCCTCACTCCCAACCCCCCAACGTACACCCCTGCTCCTATCTCAAGGGCCACAGGGGTTCTGTGAAAGTTTTGGTCAAACCTCAGAGACTTCACCAAGAGCACTCGGCTCCACGGCAGACCCGCGGAGGGTTGTTACTGTCTGCACAGTTCAAGGTGAGAAGCAGGGAGTCCTCCAGCACAGGGTCTGAGGACGCCAGAGCAGCTTCAGCGGGGTCAACACTGACAACGTCCATCTACCCAGGGACCCACTGGCTTTACTCAGCACGCAGGGGACGGACAACGGATCGAAAACAAGCTCCTGCTCCCAAGACTGCAAATGTCGTCCTGGCAGACTGGGAGGCAAAGGAGTGCACACATCATCCAGGTGTCTCGGCAGAAGCTGATGGGGCCAAGTTCTGCTAAGGGTCGGGGGCCGGCAAGTGGTGCTGCACAAAGAGCCAAGCACTAGCTCCCCAGGCGGTGCAGCGTAAAGAGCCTGTCTGCATCGCAGGAGATGCATCAGACGTGTATTTGATTCCTGGGTCAGGAAGGTCCCCTGGAGAAGGAAATGGCCCCCCACTCCAGTATTCGTGCCTGGGAAACCCCACGGGCAGAGGGGCCTGGCGGGCTGCAGTCCACGGGGTTGCAAAGAGACACAACTGAGCAGGCAGGCACGCATGCACAGACACACAGCCCCCTCTGGAGCAGAAAGGCTTTGTGGAAGATGGGCTTACAGGTGCTGGTCCTCCACCAGAAGAAGGCTGGAGGCCAAGGGTCCAAAGGCATCCCTGCGGGCTCCCCACAACGGCTGGCTGACCCAGCCAGCCAGGCCCTCCTCGCATTGCTGCAAAGGGCCGGCGCCCCGCGAGTCCACCAGCTACCTGTGGCCTTGCCGCATCTTTTCACAGAACCCTTAAACAAGGGCACGAAGGCTCTTAGCTCCACTCCACTAAACAAAATCCATCAGAGTCTGGCAGAGGGGTCCGCAAACCACAGCCTGCAGGCCCACGGGACGAGCACACAGGCGGGCAGTGACAGCTCTGGGGCTCACAAAGCTGGCCGGCAGGCCCTTCCTCGCGGAGGCGGCACAGCTCACACCTTCTCCAGCGCGACACGGTGGCCTCTCCTGGCTCAGTGTGTGTGGAGACATCCCCACGCATGACAGGAGACCAAGCTCCCAGCCACACCCTGACATCACCCCTCCACCCCACTCTCTCTAACTCCCGGTTTCACCCCAGCCCCCGCAGAGATGAAGCAGGGCGGTGCGGGCTCAGACACAGCGGACAGCACAGACGCGCTGCCCAGAGAACCAGGAAACAGAGTAGCGGAACCAGTCTCTGCGTCTCCATCTTTCGCAACCTGTCCCGTGACCAGGACTGTGGCACACACAGGGTCCCAGGCGCAGAGCACAGCTCGCTGCAGCGGCCCGGAGGGCGCTCATCAATGACCTCGCCGGCCGCCGCCTCCGGTTAAAACCTGCACTCCGAAACCACAGATCAAGCACCTGCAACTTTAACACTGTCTAACAAAGTGAAACAATCAACTGGCAGGAGAGATTTTCAAAGGGCCTGGGGTAATGGATATGGAAGACTCTCCTGGTTAAACACACGCAGGCCCGTACTCCTGTGGCTCTGTGAAAGATTTCACAACAAAAAGGTGGAAAACAGAACAGTGGTACAAGAACCCGTCCCGGGAAGACTGGCGACGCAGCAGTCCAGTTGGAGTGCTCCGGGCAGGCGCCCCCCCACACCCCCTCCTGCACCACGGGTGCGTACTCTACGCCCGCAACTCTTCTGCGGTTCTGCCGCTTCCACCTGGGCTCAGACCCAAATCCATCTATTTAGCCCTAACAACCCGCCAGAAGCCGAGCCCTGCCGCTCAACTCTCACCTGAGGCGCCGTCCAACCAGCCTGAGGCCACACCTCTCGCCTCGCCCCCAGGAAACCGCCTAGAGGACGCGCCCCAGCGGCTTCCCCCTGGGATCCCCAACGCAGGAGGCCTCCGTCCAGCTTCTCACGTCCCTCCTCCTGTGACAGCCCTTAACTCATGCCACTCTAGCCTCTCCCGGCCCCGCAGCACGCTCTAAAAGGAAACGCTGACCATGACACCTCCCTTCTTAACGACTCTGGAGCCCTCCCCCTGCTGAACGCAGGGACCAAGCGCAGGAGGCCCGTCACAACTGAGCAGCCTTCCTTCAGGCCTGCAGCCCTCACTCGCAGGGACCACACGGCCCGCCCACCTCACACCAGCCCTCACCCTTCCAGAGCCGGCCCACAGAGCACCTTCTCTCCAGGCCCAGCCTGACGCCCCTGGCCAGCCACAGCATTCTCAGGGAGCTGAGCTTGTCAGTAAGGCCACGGTTTACTTCCAGGACGAGACTGGGGTCCAGTGTTGGGCTCTGGGATAGAGTAGGCCTCAACACACTGAAATTCCTGCTAAAAGTAAAATGCCACAGACACAGGAAGCCTCTCCCCCAGTCCCAGCTAAGTCTGCTCCGCAGACAAGGAAACCCCGTGCGCCACCAGCTTGCGGCCGGGCCCCTCTGCCTCACCACGGCCATCATCCCAGACTAGCGGCCCCACCTCGCCGGTCAGGACCTCGGCTCCGACTCTAGGATAATCTGAACTCCCACTAACAAACCACTGCCCCCTTTTACTTATCAGAAGGAAAACGCTTTTGCTTGAGTGAACCTTAGAAATAATCTGGTCCACCTGTTCAGATCAAAAGAATCAATCTTAGATAAAAAGTTCTATGAGTCTCAAACAAGAGAAAGGTCACAAGTCAAGTGGCTATCAGCACTTTAGGTGCCATGGGAACACAATTCTTGCCTGGGTGAGATTCCATCCTGGCATGACGACGGTTCTGTTCCCATCTAAACTGAACTTAGGGGATTTAAACTACCGGTAAGAAGAAACTCAAAGGTTTATCCATAGTGCCAAATTCTATGTTAATTGAAATCAGTTAATGCTCCTCTCCTACCTGCTACTCCTAATTACAAAATGCTAATTACTCCTGCTACTCCTAATTACAATGCTCCCTTAAACATCCAGGTAGCAACCTTGGGAGAAGGCGTGGCCTCTGCCAGGCAGGCAAGAGCGTCCCCTCTGGGCCGGCGCTCAGGTGAGGCTGGGCATCCTTTCGGGCCCTCGCACAGCTGCTGACTGTATCAGAGGATGTGGTCTTTAAAGCCAGCACCCAGGAAGCTCCAGAAGAGCCTGACAGGGAGTGCTGAGTCAATGTCAGATCTGTACTACCAGAGTGTGCTGTGAGCAATGTTAGATCTGCTATTACCAGAGCATGCTGTGAGCAATGTCTACTGGTAAAAATGTCAGATCAGTACTACCAGAGTGCGCTATAAGCAATGTTAGATCTGTACTACCAGAGTGTGCTATGAGCAATATCCATGGAGTTAAAAAAAAGGGGGGCTCCTCTATGGGTCAACTTGCCTCAGTTTTTTTCATCTTTGCTTCTCATGATTTTTCTCCCAGTCATCATATAGCTACATAAGCTAGAATTGGAAAATTTTACAAGTGAAGTAACCTATGAAAACACACTTTCAATTTTCTAAACCGTGGGAAAATGTATTTTGTATCTAAACTGAATCTACTCAGAAACCTGAACTTCTGTTGTTAAACTGGAAACAGCCTCTATTAAAACAGAAACAAAAAGCCAGTAGCACTCACCTGAACACTAAATATAACTTAACAGAATCTCACACATGTTCATACTCAAGTAAGATGGAGGTGAAAACAAGGTTTCTGTTTATCAAACAGTTTTTAATATAAAAACTGCCCCCCATGTGTAGAAAAAGAATCCTTTAAAATCTGTCATTGAAAAATCAAAAGCCACTGACACACCTTTTGTTTTTAAATGTAAAATCCAAGACAGAAATGAATACTACAACTCAAAAGACAAAATTAACAAGATAATCCAGAGGACAGACAGCTACAAATATACCAAGTCATCTCTGTCTCTTCCTCTCTCTTCCCTGTTACCCACCTCCCATCAGCAACCTATCTCCAAACCACAGATGTCAGTCAGTCAGTCTACCTACTGTCTCTACAACAGATGGACACATGGACGGATGGACAACTCATCGATCGTCATCATCGTGTCCTGGATTGCAGTAATGGCCCAGGTCATTTCCTGCCTTCAAACTCCTTCCCTGGCACCCCGCTTCCTTCCTCTGACCATCTGCAGAGCCACACCCCTGACTCTGCCGGCTCTCTCACCCTGGGCTCCCCCTTTCAGTTTCACCCTGCTCTGACCCAACTGCCTCAGGTCAGCCCCTTCCAGCAGACCCTCTCAGCCTACACGGACTTTCTTCACAACACTGACGAACGCTGTATTTTATTTACGTTTCTACTTTCCAGTCTGTCTCCTTACTAACATCTAAGGTCCATGATGGAGAAAGCATGTCACCCCTCTTTCCCAGTACGTATCACTGAGATGTAACTCTCCCGTGATGTTTGAATAAAAACATAAAGTTAAGGGGGACTTCCCTGTGTTCCAGTGGTCAAGCCTCCAAGCTTCCACTGCCAGGAGCTCGGGTTTGATCCCTGGTCAGGGAACTAGGTTCCCACATGCCGCACGGCCAAAAAAAAGTTATTCCCCCAAGAAAAAAAAAGATCAATCCTTAAATTATGAGGAAGTCATAAAGTTGTCACTTTTTACTGAGCAAAATGGACCCCAAAAAAGAACTATTAGCCAAGGTGCAAGAAGCTCTGGCTTCAGGAGCTCAGTTCTGAGGCCTAAAAGAACCTAACCACTTGACCCGTCCTGTCTGGGGCGTGAAAGCACATCGCCCTGATTTCTGCATTTGGCCAAGGCTGGCCCGGCCTTGTCTTCTACACTAGGTGAGTAATAAATACATCACCCACATCCGTGGATCTCTGTCTCAGGGAGAGGCAACCCAGACTCAGTGTGACAAAGTAAATCCCGCCCAGATATCACTCAACCGGCGCAGTGGCAGCCCTCGGAGACACCGGGCAAAGTGAAGAGCTCAACGGCAGCAGGGCGCCGGGGCAGAGGGCACAGGCGGGGAGAAGCAGGCAAGGCTGAGCTGAGGAGGGGGCGGTGTAAGGGAAAAGCCTCGGAACGGCGACGAGGCGCTGCGCAGCGAGGGGTGGGTGGGGCCCGAGCAAAGGTCCACGGGCGTGCCTGGGTGTTTCGGGCGGGCCCCGGGAAGCAGCCGGAGAGGGTGAGGACAGGTATCTGGGAAGAGCACGAAGGGGAAGCTGGGGGTCGTGTCAGTGGGCACCGGGAAGCCAGGGCCACCCTCCTTTCTCTCCACTCAGAAGGGGGTCGAGCTATTCACTCACAGCTGCGCTGAGGCACCTGTCACCTTGAGGGCAGCACAACACCCTCACAGCTAGGCTTACTAAGTGCCTGAAAGGAAAGATCTAAGCCACCTTCACAAGCCAGGAGTCACTGTATGAATGCATTTAAAGTCTCATTACTGTGGGTTCTGAGAGCTCCTCCAACCTCTTACCCTAGAATCACACTGTGCTGAAAGCTGACTCTAGCTACCAGGCTCTTCAGGGACCTGGAGGCTTTGCCAATCAGATTCTCAGTGTCTAGGTCTTTGTTATACAGTATCTGATTTATAGTCCCTTTCTCCCAGCTTTTAAAGTCCATTTAGTTCAGCAGTTAATCTCCTAGTCATTACACCGTCAGGGCTTTATTTCTTCTCTACCTCTAGTAGAGTACGTACTCCTTTAATATGACAGCTTCTAACATTCAGAGCTGAGACTACTATCTTGTCACCAAATCTCTAAAGTCAGAAACGTCTCATCCTGAAAAAAATCTGTATTAGCACCCTGTCCTTTTTAAGCAGATGCTTAAAAAAAAAAAAAAATTTATTTTTAAAATCCTAGGCCATCTCTTTAGCTCAAGTTTTGCATAATTTACACAAAAGAAGCCTTGAGCAAAATATTAAGGCAAATAAGCAAATGAAAAAGGGACGCCTAATGCTCAGTGTCACTCTGGGTTATTTTAAAATAGATACTAAGTCATTCAACTCAATACAAAAAGTACATCTAAAATTCAACTAGGGTAGAATCTTAAGTGGAGTGTCATTCAAAATTTCCTTAGTAACATTCTAGATCATTCCACCTTGGAATTTAACCAAATGGATTTCCAGTTCATTAAGGGCCCAGCTTGGGGTAAAACTATTAAAAAAAAATCCTGTTCAAGCCTACCGCTTTTACAGTATTTTCAGTTAATGTATTATAAAATAGATGCCTGGCTTATTTCAACCCTGGCACCAGGGTATCAATACATCGCTCTGATATTTCACAGTTAAAGGTATTTTGTTTCTAACTGCGAAGGCATTTTCATCTCTGCAGTCCAGGAGGTCCAACCCTGGAGTTCAGAGACCTTGAAAGGTGTGCAAACTCGGGGAGGGTGGGGTGGGGGAGGGAGGAACTCGCGGGACGGGGAGCCGAGGGCTAGCTTCAGACTCTCAATCCATGGTCCAAAACCGGCTTCAAGACCGCTAACAAAACCCTGCTCCAGTAGGTAATTTACACCGAGGACGTGACGAAAGGCAAAACGCGTCCCTTTTCTAACTGGGCACCCGCATTTCAACCTGCTTGGTCAGACGCACCGCCCTCATCCACGGCGACCCAAGATCGCGACACCGCGCGCAAAGCTCCCCGGCCCGCCGCCCGCCCGCGCCCTCCGCGCACCTGGGCGCCGGCTCGATGAGCGTGGTGGTGTCCAGGTAGTGGATCTTGTAGAACTCCAGCAGGGCCGGCAGGTGGTCGAACTCCTGGTCCCCGATCTTGAAGCGGCGGTTGGGCAGCGAGTTGATGATGTAGTGGGACACCCGCGAGTTCTCGGACACGGACAGCACGTAGTCCCCGGGGCAGGTGGACGAGTCGCGGACGAGGAACACGCCGTGGCGCTGGCCCTGGAGCCGGGTCTGCGCCTCCTGGCGAGACACGGGCCCCATGTACCAGGCCGAGCGGTCCGAGGAGTCGAACCTGGCGGAGGACATGGCGGGCCGGGCGCTGAGGCCGGGCGGGCCGCGGCTGGGTGCTCTCGCCTGCGCTGTAGACGCTCCGCCCGGGGCGGCTGCGGGCCGACCGGGCCTCCGGCTCACCGCGCGCCTACAGGGCCGCGCCCGCGCCTTCCTCGCGGCCGCGGGCCCGCAGCATCCTCCGGGCCGCCGGCTTGCTCCGGGGCCGCCTCACGGGCCGAGCCGGCTCCGGGCGCGGGCCCAACCGAGCGCGGCGACAGCCGCTCCCAAGCCTCCGTTCAGTCCTGGCCCGGCGCGCACCGGTCCCGCGTCCCCGCCGCTCCGCACCGAGCCCCGCGGCCGCGCCAAGCCCCAGACCCCCCGGGAGCGCCGCGCTGCCGGGGACGCCGTGCCCAACCCCGCTCCCGAGAGCCACAGCAACAAAATGGCGGACGCGGGAGAAGCGGCCGGCCACCTCCCCCCGCCCCTCAGCGCCCTGCGTCTGCGCACGCGCGGGCGCCCGCTCCCGGCGGCCGCCGGGGCCTCTCCGTGACGTCACGCGGCGCGGCCAATCGCGAGAGCGGGCGTGCGCCGCTCGTGCGCGCCCCCGCGCTCCCTCCTGCGCCCGCCGGGGGGCGCTGCGGGGAGGCGGCGCTTCTAGAACCCGCTCTGGGAACAAAGCGGGGCGTGCAGGCCAGGTCCGGCCCCGGGGTGCGGCTCCCGGCTGATCGCAGCCGGGCCGGCCACGTTAAGGCGTGGCGGAGCCGACCGTCGCTGAGTGCTCAGATGGTGTCTGGCGAAGCTCCCGGGTCCCTTCGGAGCCCTGCCGCCTTGGTCCCCCAGGACCCCCTCCGACATCCCAGAACCCCCGGCCCCTGGCCGCACGCCCATCCGCACTGGACCGTCCGTTTAATGGGAGCGGAGTTTGGTGTGCCTTGTTCAGCTCTGGGCCTGGCGCTTCTTCGTCCCACCCTAAGCTGATGCTCAGATCTGGGTGGAATGAATGACTGTTGAGGAAGCCCCTCGCCCCGCCCCACAAACCGATAGAGGAGAGAGCCTGTCCAGGAAGGCATCGGAGCCCTTGTCTAGACTCCTGGTCAGCCGACTCTCGTTGCTGGGTTGAGCCTGTCCTACATTGTAGGTAGGGCAGGGGTCCCCAACTTCTGGGACCCAATGCCTGATGATCCGAGGTGGAGCTGATGTAATAACAACAGAAATAAACTGCACCGTAAATGGAATGCGCTTGAATCATCCCGAAACCATCTCCCCCCGCCCCAAGGAAAAACTGTCTTCCACGGAAGGGTCCCTGGCGCCCAGAATGTTGGGGCCCACTGTTGCAGGGTGACGGGTGATGTTCCTTCTGGGGTAAACTCAAGGAGAATTGTCACGGTCTAGTGTCTTTTGTGACTCAGCAAAGCAGGTTTTCAGCTTCCCTCCAAGTACTTTCGTGTCGTGTTACTTTCAGGCACAATTTGAATAGCTCAGAATTTGAAGAGGAAGACTTGGGTTCCAATTCTAACCTGACTTACCAGTTGACTGTATCATTCCTTGTCATATTTTTTTCATTTTCTAATATTTATTTTCTTCCAGTTTTATAGAGAGATAATTGACATACAGACTGTATAAGTTTAAGGTGTATAGCATAATAGTTTGACTTGCTTACTTACATCATGAACTGATTATCACAATAAGTTTACATATAGATACAAAATTAAATACCAAAAAAATGTTTAGTGAGCATCTCAAAGATACAAAATTATATCTCAGAGAAGTTATCGTAAGTTGTATACTTTGCAAGAGGCACTCAGGGAGGTCTTTTGAAGTCCAGGGCTCATTTCAGTGTTACACAATTATGGCCTATAAGTTAGTCCATTTTGCTTGCTTTGCTGATAGGAAAACTGAGGCCCTCTGTGGTAGATTCTAGCACCGGAAAGGAATGCCAATCTTGGAATAGGGTGGATCTGTCCCCCAGTTTGGATTTCAGATACCATCACTATTCTACTGCAAAAGTGCCATGCTCCCATCTTTAAAAATTCATCTTAAAGATGAATCAAAATACCTCTCCTGTTGTTTCAAAATACTCCAGTGGAGAATACTGTCTGGATTGGATAATGGTGAAACAAGCGTGGTCTTTCTTTTTTCAGCTGCAGCCTGGCTCGTGTGGGATTTGAATTCCCTGACCAGGCATGGAAGCGTGGAGTCTTAACTGCTGGACTGCCAGGGAAGTCCCAAGAATGGCCTTGTTGATAATTGTTGAAGCTGGAGACATGAAGTGTTTGTGTGTGTGTGTGTGTGTGTGTGTGTGTGTGTCTGTGTGTGTGTGTGTGTCTGTGTGTGTGTCTGTGTGGTGGGGGAAGCTATTAATTATATTATTCTACTTTTGTATATGTTTGGATTTTTTCACAATAAAAATAATTAAGTACTTTCTTATTTTTCCTTAGCACAGCTGAAACAAGCTGAAATTTTTTTCCCCCAAAAAACAGCCTAGATACTAAAAGGTAATGAAATGGAAATGAATGGACAAGCAACAAGAAGCTTTAAAAATGGGCCGCAACCTAAGATTTGTGATTCTGCTTTAGCTTGCTCTTCCCGAGGTTTCCAGATAGCATTGTACTTACTCTCCTAAGATAGTTACGGTTTAGACTCAAAGCATTGACAAGGCTTTTCGAGCAGCTTGCCAGGGTTCCTGTCCTTGAAGCCGCCTCTGTACTGAGGACCCACCGCCAACTCTCTATTTTTGGCCTTGCCATGAGGCATGCAGGGTCTTAGTTCCCCAACCGAGAATCAAACCTGCACCTCCTGCGCTGGAACCACAGTCTTAACCACTGGACCGCCAGTGAATTTTATTTTTTTAATAATTTATTTGTTTTCCTTCTCTGTAGGGAGTCTTCATGGCTGCGCCGGCTTTTCTCTAGTTGCGGCGCGCAGGCTTCTCGTTGAGGCGGCCCCTACGGCAGGGAAGGGCTCTAGAGGGCAGGGCTCAGTGGTTGTGCCGCTCAGGCCCAGCTGCGCCATGGCTTGTGGGATCTTACCAGATCAGGGATCGAACCCATGTCTCCTCCACTGATCGGCAGATTCTTTACCCACTGAGTCACCAAGAAAGCCCCCCACCCCACCCCACTGACTTTTGATTCTCCCCTGTCTGGTCCAACACTGTAAGTGGTGGTTAAGGCCAGACAGTCTTCCCAGACTGCTGCCTTCCTGAGGACCCGGAAGAACAGTGTCTGCGCCTCGCTCCTGCCCTAGATTCTTGGCTGGCAAAGATGCTGAGGGTGGAAGAGGCCCGACTGCGCAGGGGGAGGCGCAGCAGGCGTGCTCCTTGTGCTGACTCGACCGAGTCGGCGGCTCTCAGGTGCGGGCTCCACGGGCACTGCTTGACCGCCGCCTGGGTTAGACTTGCCCTGGAGACCCTCCTCTGCCTCTCACCCTGCACTTCTCCGTCACCACCGCCCCACGCTTCACATGTATTTCTAAATCTTCCCCCTAAAACAAAAGAGGAGCTTATTGGTTATCTTCTTTTCCCCCCTCCTATTAGTTTGCTACTGCAACATTAATAAAATAATGTCCACATCCCCACTATAATTTCCCATGGCGCACTATTTAAAATACCAATGTGCCAATCTCTTCTTTCCCAGGGGGACACCTCTGCAGGAGGCTTGGCTGCTGTATTTGGAAGCTCTACCGACCCCTCTAGAAAACAGTGCCTGACTTTACTTCAGTGTCTTGAAGTCTGGTCATGGTTCCCCCTGGCATTTTCTAACCTAGTGTTAATTGCTCTGACACCTCTTCTATAAAATATCCGTTTTCTCGGACTTCCCTGGTGGTCCAGTGGCTAAGACTCTGTGCCCCCAACGCAGGGGCCCAGGACTGATCCCTGGTCAGGGAACTAAGATTCTGTGGACCGCAACTAAGTGTTCGCACACCATAATGCAGATCCCGTGAGCTGCAACTTAGACTCGACACAGCCACGTAGGTAATTATTTTTTTAAAAGTCCACTTTCTTGTCACTTGAGCCGAAAGGCAGCTTGTCTTGTTTCTCCTGATTTCAGAGCATTCTGGAGTGCCTTTCGTGAAATGCCCTAGAGGCACACTGTTTCCCTCTCTCATTCCTTCTCAGTCACTGCTTTGCAACCCTTTAGACCGGGCGTCCCCAAATTTTCCTCTAAAGATCCAGATTCTAAATATCTAAGGCTTTGCAGGACAAAGAGGAAAATCAAGAAACATTATATAATCTTGCTCCAGCCTCCTGCTCCTCCTCCCTGGCTCCAGTAGAAAATGGAAAATGGGGGCATCCTAACACTTCAGGGGGTCTGCACCCCCTGTTTTCATCAATCTGGAACATTCTCTTGCCTAATGAGAAAATTTTTCTGCAATTTTTTAAAAGGAAGTTCAAAATATCGTAGTAGTTGAGTGTAGATGTTTCATCATCCAAGTATACTAGTGAGAATAATGGAATTCATTTGGGATAATGTTTCACTTCCTTGGGTTTCAATGTCAGTGTCCCCTAACGCTGAAATGTTGAGCTGCCAGTGCTAAGTTACATGTAATTAGGCTCTGATTCGTCTTTGAAAATGTCTTGCACCCAGATGGTACTGCCGATACTGCATGGTTTTAATTGAGCATGTTCACTGTGGGATGAAAGTGAAAGAATTAGTTGCTCAGTCCTCTCCAACTCTCTGCAACCCCATGGACTGCAGCCTGTCAGGCTCCTCTGGCCATGGGATTCTCCAGGCAAAACTACTGGAGTGAGTAGCTATTCCCTTCTCCAGGGGATCTTCCTGACCCAAGGAATATGAACCCAGGTCTCCTGCGCTGCAGGCAGATTCTTTACCACATGGAGGCACCAGGGAAGCCAGACTGTGGGATGGCATGTATAGAATTCTCCGAGATTCTTCTCTGGACATTTGCCTTTTAGCTTGTTGTTATGAATACATTGCAGATTAATCATCTTCAATTGAAGTTTGGGTGGGAACTCCTGAATTGCCCAATTAAATAGATTTTGAAATACGGAAGTTTCCATTGCGCTTGGCATCAAGGTCTGAAAAATTCTGCTGGAACTGTAGTTATAGCTCAGAAAATACATCTGAAGCAAATCTGTGGGAATGAGATCTTGCTTCTTGTTCTAACTTCAACAGCACAGGAAGTGTATAAACCAGCTTAACATTCCTTTTGATTCAAAACAATATTAGTTATTGTCAGAATGACTTTGTCGCAGCATACATTTCACACACAAGCACTGTTTTGCCCTGTCATTTCATCCTATTTTATTGGCCGAGCCACACAACTTAGAGGGCTCTTAGTTCCCTGACCAGGACTGAGCCCAGGCCCTCTGCAGGGCGAGGGCAGAGTGGTAATGCCTGGGCCGCCAGGGAGGCCTCAGGGAGCATCACTTGAATGTCAGTGGTGGGCAGAGAATTGCAATCCCGAGTTCCCCTTTCCTCACACAAAATGAAAACCTCAAAAGCTAGTCGGAAAGCACGAACACTTCCTCCTCAGGACCCTCTGTACACATTTCGGGTTCCTACACGTCATAAAGGCAGTTCCCCATGGGGTCACAAAGAGCTGGACACGAGCGAAGTGACTTAGCACGCACATGGACATCCTTGCTTCTGCAAATGAAGACTTTAAGAAAATGTAGTGTATTTTTTGGCTGTGCTGGGTCTTCGTCACTGTGCAGGCTTTTTCTCTAGCTGCAGGGCTCAGGCTTATTGCGGTGGCTTCTCTTGTTGAGAAGCCAGAAAATGGCTTGGTGGTGGCTGCTCCAGGGCCCATGGGCTTCAGAGCACAGGATCAACACTCGCGGTGCACGGGGCTCAGCTGCTCCATGACTTGTGGGATCTTCTCATATCAGGGGTTGAGCCAGGCCTCCTGCGCTGGCAGGGGGATTCTTTACCACTGAGCCAGCAGGGAAGGGGGAAGACTTTTTGTTCAAACTCAGGGATCACCCAAGATCCTCTCCACTCTTAGAGCAAAGTCTGTTAACTGCAGTGGTGATTCAGCTTGGGGTCCAGCCCTCCTGCCATAAGGCAATCGGATCCGCCCATTCCTGCAGCACTAGAGTGACTCAGTGATCTTAGGAGGGTTTACTCACCACGGACTCACGGTGTAACCATCTTTCCTAGGCCAGCTTTCTGCCCGGAGGATTAGAAACCCTGATTCAAAATAGTCGAAGCCGTAAGGGTACCTGTCATTCCCCATGACACGAGGTCTGGAGTCAGGCAGCTCAAGAGCCAGGATGAGGACCTCCCTGGTGGTCCACTGGCTAAGACTCCTGCTCCTGATGTAGGGGGCCCAGGATCGATTCCTGGTCTGGGAACTAGATCCCACATGCCACAACTAAGACCCAGTGCAGCGAAAAAAAGAGCCAGGGTGTCCAGACACTGGGTTTGCTTCTTTGATTTTTTTGGTCTAAATCCCTTCAGCTTTTGACTTCATCCTACAGCTGACAGCTACGTGGCCACAGTCACCCCAGTCACAGGGTCAAAGGTGAAAACACATAGCCCTGCCTGGCAGTGCTCAATCTAGAGAACAACAAAGCCTCTGAAAGAGACGCTTCTGATTTTAACCTGGTTTCTCCAGTAGCCTGCCTTCCTGCAGGGAGAGGATGGGCTTTCAGCGGCGGAAGAATTTTACTCCCCCTGCCCGAGTTTAACCAAGGTATTGTTCAGTTGCTCAGTCACTTCCTACTGTGTGACCCCTTGGACTGCAGGATGCCAGGAATTCCCTTCCTTCACTGTCTTCTAGTTTGCTCATATTCGTGTCCATGAGTCAGTGATGCCTTCCAACCATCTCACCCTCTGCCACCCCCTTCTCCTGCCTTCAATCTTTCCCAGCATCCGGGTCGTTTCCAATGAGTCGGCTCTTCACACCAGGTGGTCAAAGCACTGGAGCTTCAGCTTCAGCATCAGTCCTTTTAATGAACACTCAGGGTTGATTTCCTTCAGGATTGATGGGTTTGATCTCCCTGCTATCCAGGGGACTCTCAAGTCTTGTCCAATACCACAGTTCAAAAGTTGGACCATAAAGAAGACCGAGTGCTGAAGAACTGATGCTTTCATACTGAGGTATAGTTGACATATAACCCTGTAAGTTTCAGGCGAACAGCATAATGTTTAGGTATATGCATATATTGTAAAATAATCACCATGATAAATTTGGTTAACATCCATCACTTCATCCAGTTTTTTTTTTTCTTTAAAAAGAAAGTATTTATTTACTTATTTGGCTGCACCTGGTGTTAGCTGCAGCAGGTGAGATCTTTATTTGCAGCATGTGGGATCTAGTTCCCTGACTAGGGATCATTTGATCCCAGGCCCCCTCCATTGGGAGTAATCTTAGTTACTGGACCACCAGGGAAGTCCCTCAATTACTATTATTGTTTTAATCCCTTCTCTCAATTTATCCCCCTCTCCACCCTCCATTTTTTTCTTCTGATGAGAACTTTTAAGATTTATACTCTCAGCAACTTCTTTTTCCCCTTATGTTTGGCCACATGGTATGGATCTTAGTTCCCCGACCTGGGATGGAACCTGCGTCCCCTGCACTGGAAGGCGGATTCTTAACCACTTGACCATCAGGAAATCACCCCCCGCCCCCCACCCCCAGTCCCCACCACAGGAGGCAGAGTCTGATTAAAAAACATCACATTTTATTTCAATGACTACGGTCATTTTTTGAGTTGAAGGCATGAAGCCCGGGAGCTGCTCTGACACAGACCGTGAGCAGGAGCCCTGCTCAGGCGCGCTTTGAACGACTCACTCGTCATTTGTACTCGAGACATTTCACTCATCAGAGCGGGAGACGCTTAACAATACTGGTAATGTCAACTCTGCAGAAAAGGCTCACGGAAGCAAAGTATAAGATTTCCACTAAACTGGTGTAGTGTACGCTTCAAATCACGTTATTCACAAAGAGAACTTAGAGAAAGCGAGACGAAGACACTTTCCCTCTTGCCGTCCACACCAAGTGCGGTCTCCTGGGCCACAGGATGAAGAAAAGATGCCCAGAAGCCACTACAGACCACCCAGGGTCAGAATGCTGCCCTGGAGGAGACTCTTGCCTCTAAGTCTGGAGCACGCATGACGTGGAGCCAGCGAGTCAGGAAAGCCGCTCTTCGGAAGGCACGGTGTGTTTCCAGATGAACTGTGGAAATCCACATCTGCCTTTCGGACCCCTCGTGGCAAGGCAGCGGCCCCCGCCCAGCACCCCCGTGTCTCCCGACACGTGCGTCCGGAGGGCAGACTTGACTTCTCCTCCACCACCGTGTGTCCCCCGCACACAACCACACACGCGGATTCTGGAGGCCCGACGTCCTCCTCTGCTCTCCAGGAATGTGAGCGGCTCTGCCGGCGGGCGGAGCAGCAGCCACTGGCCCTCGGTGGGCACGAGGCTCAGGCCTCAGAATAAGGGACTCGAACCAGAACAGAACCAGACACACGGGCCGTGTGTGTGTGTGGTGGGGGGACGTTTCCAGAAGAGTGAGGCCAACCCTCCCTGCACAGCTTGGGGTAAAAGGCAGGGGCGGGGGAGAGCGGCCTCACAAAGTAAGGTGCTATGTTGCCTTGAGTCAATAGTTGCGAACCCCCGTGATGCGAGAGGCAGGCTGAGTGTTTGGCAGTGGCCTCTGCGTGTTTAATGAGCCATCACAGAAGCCTGGGTCCAGGTGTGCCGACTCACCTCCCAGGGCCCATGGTCGAGAGCGATGAGCCGGAAGTTACCCCAACACCCGGGGGGAAGGCGTTGGGGAGGGAAACCCAGGGCTGGTGCTGGGTGCTGCAGTCACACTTGCGAGCAGCCTTTTTGCTTGGAGGCGCCCTGAACGGGTTCAGCGTGGGTTGAGAGGATGTTCAACATTTTTCCTTTTTCCAGTTACCAGAAGAATGACCACGACGGGCTGGAGGTTAGCAGACGTGGATCGGGTCACCGTCCACTGCATCATGGATGTTCCCAGTGATACGGTGACGTGGGTTAGCCTCACGAGGCGGCTACAACACGACAGATTGTCTACCTGCAGAGGTGGTCACCCTCGGAGGTGGCCAGTGTATTTAGGAAGGTCGGGCATCAGGGGTGGAACTTTTATATAGAAACTGCTACGTAAGTGCTGAGGCCTCGCTGCAGCCCCGACAGACCTCCAGGTCTGTCTTTGTGCTTTAAGGGGCTTTGTTTATATGTGACTAAACCTAAGCGGTGAGGTCACCGTGTCAGGCCAAGTTTCAAGGTGAAAGGCACTGTGATTTTAAAGTTTCTGACCTCCACTATCTTATCAAAATCAGTCCATTTCACTGTCTTCAAAACATTTTGAACAATTTGTGTTTAAAAAGACCTTGTGTCTTCCATTATTTTGTTGGAGGTACCAACACAAAATCATTTAAGTTCAGAAATCAATTTTAATTAATGCTTTTAACTTATTCTTCTTCTTCTTTAATAAAATGAGAAACGAGAACATGTTACGCTGGTTAGAATAAACTCTGGGCTTTTAAAAAGCCAAATGCTTCTAGGCACAGCCTGTCTTGTGCCGATTCCAGTCCTAAAACTGGGGGGCAGACAACCATGTGATGAGTCAAGGCGTGTGGCCAGCAGCGCAAGGGGAGAGGGTGGGCATCCTGGACGGGCCGGGGACCCCAGGCACGGAGCAGACACGGCTGCCTGGGGGCCTGGTCCAGGGGACCTGAGGGCGGAGAGCTCGGCGGAGCACCTTCGGGGCTGCCCCTGTGTGCGCTCGGGGCCGGCCAGCCACGCAGCCTGGGACCAGAGTCAAACCTGTTCCTGAGCCTGTTCCCAGGCTCACCTGCTCCCTGTGTGTTTCCAGGCGTCACAGGGAGCAAGGCGGGTCTGAACCCCCTTCTCCTCTTAAAATCAAATGCCTGCTGAGTTCAGGGGACGGGAGGGGAGGAGGTGCTGTCTGCCCATGAAATAGCGAGGACGCCCACCCCCTCCACCCTGAACCTGCAGCTCAGGGCCTCTCCTGGGGCTCAGAGCATCATGATGGGCTCATGGCGGGGGAGCGTCTGCAACCTGGGGTCTCACGGCCCTTGGCGCTGTGCCGTGGGCGGTCTGGGGGACACACATCACGTGGAGACTCTGGCTGGCCTGCCCGCCGCCCGGCCCATAGCTCTCTCGTCAGGATCCTGAGGGAAGGGGGGCCCGTGTGCTCTAAACAAAACCCACACTGTTACAAAATCTGCATACACGTGTTAAATCACATTTTGAAGTAGTAAGTGAAGTTTCTTAGGAGTTTAAAAGAAGACCTTTGAAACCTCTTCGCTGCAGTGGGCCAGAAGTCCACCACTGCCTCAGAGCTGCCGCACTTTCCTGTCGGTGCTGGTGATGTTGACGTCCAGCTTGTCCACCTTGCTCGTGAGGCGGTCGAGGATGTCGTCCTGCTCGTCAATCTCCGTCTGTATTCCCAGCGCAATGTCCTTCAGCCGGCCCAGGCCCATGGACAGCTCATCTGCGAGACAGGAGGGTATGCGCGGGCCTGAGCCAAGCCGGGGCGTCGGGACCTGCACCCAGATGCCCCCTGTGGTCACCGGGCCCTGTTCCTGCGAGATGGTCAGGCGCCAGGGCGATGGCCACAGGTTCCGAGACACACAGGCGCGAGAGCAGCAGCAGTAAGTGGCCGCCGGGAAAGCCCCGCCTCCCGAGCCCCACCGGGAGCCCCACTGTCCGGACATGGACATGGCGTTTCTTCTAGGACGTCACACAGGGCCACACAACTTCCAGCTGTGTTTAAACCTGATGGTGGGTCAAGCACAGATGCAGAGCCGCAGACAGGAGGTCCCCGCCTGGAAGCACATCTGAGACATGCCTCAAGCTTTACTCCTCTTTTTAATAGGTATTTCCTTTCTGTCACAAAAAGTGGTAAAAACCAATCTCAATTCGTCTTAAGCGGAAAGGTGTCCATCAGGTCACGGTCGGCCGCGAGCACACAAAGGGCTTTGTCAGCAGAGTGGCACAGAGGGCTGACCGTGAGCAGGGAGGGGCCAGCGAGGGCCCCGGGGTCCCCAGACAGGGCTGTGCCAACCGCGGAGGGGCGTCCTGACCTGACCGTCTGGGTGAAGGTAAAGCTCCTTGGTGGGTTTTGTGACTGTATATGCAAGCGTGTGCACGCGTCTGCCTGCAGATATGTGTGCGAGTGTGTGCATTTGTGTGCCTACAGGAGTGCAAGTGTGTGCACGCGCACAGCAAGTGGGGGACACACCCAGAGCTGCCCTCTGTCCTTTCACCAGGAAAGAGCGGGGTCAACAGAAGAGGGTGCTCTGTAGCCTCTTCACTAAGTTACAGGTAAGAGGTAACTGATGCAGGTGGGCGTGGGGCCAGCAGAGCCCAGGCCCTGTCCCTGCCGCTGTCACCGCCCAGACAGAGGTGGGGACGGAGGCAGGCGGGCAGGCCCTCGAAGGGGTGAGGGGCTGGACGCCGTGCAGACGCGGGGCGGGGTGGGGCGGGGGGCAGACCCCGGGGGCTCGGCACACGTGAGCGCGGAGGCGGTGGCACTCTGGGCTCACCGAGGGTGCTGTCGATCCTCTGGTGACAGGCGCGAAGGTGCGGGTTCCGTGGGTAGGCCTCGGAGCTCAGAGCTGAACAGGCTCCTGCAGGGACGGAGTCTGGGTCGATGCAGACACAGAGGGAGGATGGTTAGCGGACTACCCTTGAAGAGCCGCCTCATAAGCTCATCTCAATCCGGACAGTCGGTGGAGAGCCTGAGGCAGTCAGGTCCGAGGCCACTGAGAGCCGGGTGGGGGTGCGGAAGGTGGGGGAAGGCGACGCTTCCTTGGGGCAGCCCTTCTGAGACCACAGACCCCCAGGTAAGGGTGGTCTGGTCCTGGCCCCCAGGCTCAGCAAAGAGCTTAGTACAGGGAACGATGTACAAGGGAGTGCCCACTGTGCAGACCCATGCAGGCTGTGCGAGAAGAAACATTAATAACACACGCCTGCTCCCAGGAAGCCTTCTCTAAACCTGTTTCCGAGCGCACACAAAAAAGCCCTGGCCCTCAGGTTCTGTCTCCTGGGACCAGCTCTCACTAGACTCGGGGTCTCTCTCTGCTCGGGGGCAGAGTGTTCACCTGCTTCCTCCAAGGCCCTCACCTCCTAGACGCCCTCTGGTCCCTCCTCTGCCAGACCCTGCAGGTTGGTTACGTCTGGCGCGCCTGGCTCTCTGGGGTGCCCCCAGGAGCCCCTAGGAGGCCTCAGCTCCTCCTGAGACAAGGGGTGTCTCTGGGCCTGTCATTCGATTCTAATGGGGCGATCTGACACAACACCTTCCATCCTGTACTCCTGGCCCAGGGGCTGGGCCTCCTGGGCTGCGTCAGCCGCCCCAACAAACTACCGCAAGCCGTCCCCGGTTCTGGACGGTGGATGTCCAACCAGGCCTCCCTGGGCTCAGACCCAGGTGTCAGCAGGGCCGGTGCTCCTGCAGGCTCTTGAGGGGAAATGACTCCTGGCCCCATCCAGCCCTGGGAAATCAGTCCTGAGGCCGTCACTCTCTCCTCTACCCCCTTCCCACGAGCAAAGAACCTCTATGATTTCACTGCGTCCAGTCGGAAAACCAGGACAACTCCCCTCGACGAGGCCAGCCACTTGGCAACCACACTGCCCCCTTTGCCACATGACCCAGAATATTCCAGAAGCCTGGACATTAGGTCGAGGGCATCCTGGGGGGTCACAGCCTACTCAGCAAAGGTGCTTCTCCACCAGAAAAGCTGGGAGCTGCTCGGGCCAGGCTCCCACTTCCTTATCGCTCTCTCCATGGGGGAAGGGGCCAAACCCCGCAGTAATGCCCACTCCCAGCTCCCCGAGAGAGCCGCTGGGCCCTGCCACCCCACCCTGGCCCAAGGTGTCCCTGAAAACCTGAGTCCTGGAGCTTCCTGAGGTTCGGGTGGCTGGCCTGGTACTGTGCCTCCTGCTCTTTACTGGAGCTGATGGCCTCTTTCAACCTTTAGACAGAAGAAAACTTTTTTAGATAAAAGAAAACTTTCAGAGGAAAGGAGAACCACCTGTGATGGTGCAGTCTTCCCAGCAGCGCCCGTGTGAGAAAGGCAGACGCCTCCTCTGACCAAACTACAAATGAGCGGTCTGACTGTCGCTGTCTAGTCGCTCAGTCGCTCCGACTCTTTGCGACCACACGGACTGCAGCCTGCCAGGCTCCTCTGTCCATGGGATTCTCCAGGCAAGAATGCTGGAGTGGGTTGCCATTTCCTCCTCCAGGGGATCTTCCCAATGCAGGGGCTGAGCCTGCATCTCTGGCACCACCTGCATTGGCAGGCAGACCCCTTACCCCTGAGCCACCAGGGTGGCCTGGGTGTCCTGGTGGCAGCTGTGACGACGCTGAGCGCGCAGAGCGGCCTAATGTTCTGTGCCACAGCAGGCAGGGCGCAGGCCTTCTGCGGCATGGCGAAATTGTTGTTATGATAAAAGAGCTAACAACCTAACACAGAAACAACAGATCACTTGGTTTAGCACAAACTCAGTTCTTTTATGTTTGAGTACCTGACATTTATACGTCTGCCAACACTGCACATGTGATTTTATTATATCTCTAGCCAAAATTTGAAGCAGATAATCTGTAATTTTAAAGTGATAATCAATGGGCAACTTGGATTAGGCATGGGAAAATTTGACGTGAAGGCTTTTTTTTTTTAATTTTTAAATATTTATTCATTTATTTGGCTGCACCAGATCTTAGTTGCAGCATGTGGGATCTAGTTCCCTGACCAGGGATCGAACCTGGGCCCCCTCCATTGGGAGCTCAGCGTCTTAACCACTGGGCCAGCAGGGAAGTCCCTACGTGAAGGCTTTTTAAAGCAACAATGCAGGAAAGCAAGTCACCTCCGACACTGGTTAGAGGGAATATTCTCTTTCAAACCACTGGGAGCAGGAGTTTAGAGGGACCCAATTCATGCACAGTAGGCAGACTGGACGGCGGTCGGGCCCACACTCTCAGGAGTAGCGCAGAACACTTGTTTCAACGTGCCTCAGGACAAATGACTCCCGGTGTGTGACTTTCAGGGTCCCTGGGGCCCTTTAAGGCACAAGAAATGGTCTGAACGCCTTGTCCACTCGCACCAAACCCCCTTCTGCTGCTTCTCGCTGGCTGGCCGGGCGCCTGCTCACCTGCCACTGGGCTGGGGGGCGAGCATGCCATTCTGCGCAGGCGGGGTCTCCGCGGGTTTGGACCTGAAGTAATTGACGAGTCCCCCGAACACACTCTTGATGGAGTTGATGTGCTTCTGGCTGGTCTTCAGGTCCTGCTCCATCTTGTCCACCATCTTCTCCATGTGCTCCAAGGCCCCTCGCTGGCGCACAAGCTCCTGGGGAGGATGAGATGGCCCAGTGTTGCACCCCCTTTAGCCCTCCAGTCACCCGCAGAGGCAGCCCTCCCTAGACCCTTGGCCAGCATACCGGGGAACACACACAGACTTGGGACTCTGTCCCTGCAGAAGCAGGAGTTAGTCCTCCTAGGTGGCCAAGAACCACCAGGGCATAGGCAGCGGGCTGCTGCCCCCTGCTGTGTGCGGGGTGCTGGGGCTGATGGGGGGGCAACTGGCGGCTAGTTCAGCAGGCCTGGCTGCCTACACCACATGTTCCCCAGGAAGGCCCTGTCTGGCCCTGTGCCCTGGACCACCCTGAAGAGTGACTTGACGTCCCTGAGTCCTCAGGCCAGCCCGACAGTTTGTGCAGTCAACGTGATTACAGTGGAGCCTTGAGCCACACGGCACAACATCTGGAGAGGCCAGGTGGGCAGCTGAGCCGGGGAAGAACGCAAGTCGCCCCAGGGAAGTGCTGGCTGCGCACAGCTCCTCGGGGAGAGCACAGGTGGAGCCTGTGCTGGCTCTCCAAGACTCTGCCTACCAGCCTGTCCCCTGGGTGATGCTGATCTGCACTCTTCTGTGTAACAAACCACAGCGGCGAGGATAACAGCTCAGCTGATTCTGTAAGTCCTTCTAGGGGAACATTAAACCTGAGGGTTGTCTTCAGGACCCCCAACATGGCCTCTGGAGAGCAGAGAGCCCCTCAGCTTCCCAAATGCATCACCTGCCCAGCAAAGCAAGGTCCCCCTGGATGCCATGGAGGCCACTAGTGGACATTCCAGGAAGGAGGAGCAGACACAGCTGGCTGCTATGGTGCTGGCGTGTGATGTACGACCTGCTGGGACAATGACAACCTGGCCACACAAGGGGCCTCCTTATGGCTAGGGAGCCAGCAAGTTTGACCCTGGAACTTTTCTTTCAGCCGCACCATGCTGCACACGGGATCTTAGTTCCCTAACCAGGGATCAAGCCCGCACCCCCTGCAGTGGAAGTGAGGAGTCTTAACCACCGGACTGCCAGGGAAGTCCCTCCCTGATCCTAAAACTTTTCAACTCGATCATCAATAGTGTATTAAAAAAAAAATCAACAAATTAATAAATCCAGAAGAGATCTACTTCCTCCAGAGCCACACGGCTCAGGTCATCCTTTTTCCTGCATCCCTCCTCCCCCAGCCGGGTCACCTGCTCACCTGCCAGCCATTTGGGAAGTACCTATTATATGGAGGGCCACTATGCTGGCAAGTGTGGGAGCAGAAGGCTGAGCAAGACACAGTTCCTCCTCCACAGTCAGAAACCAACTGGGAATCACCCAGCTGAGCAGCTGTCTGCCACTCTCCATCAGCTTCTGCTTCAGGACAGGCCTGTGCGAAGAACTCTGGCCACATCAGAACCAGCCCAGGCTCCCTCGGAGGGGAGCCTCTGGTTAGGATTGCCCTCACGTGGAGAGCGGGAGGGTCTGCCCAGAGGATGAGGGATTCCTCTAAGTCATGGAGCCCCCAAGACAGACGGCCGAGATGGCCTCTGTTCCCAGACTAGAAAGGTGTCCTCCTGGGCCCACCTCTCTGAGTCGAACGCCCAGTGGGGCTTTGGTGACTGTGGAGTGTGGAGAGACACCATGGAGGGGAGGGGCCTGCAGGAGACTGTGTGCAGGTGTGCTGGCCGCGCCAGGATGCTCTCAGCAGGATGTTGGCCGTGATGCTCTCGGTGGCCCAGCTCCACATCTGCATATGGTCTCCTGCGGGCCCCTCCCCAACTCCCTTTCTGCCGATGCTACCATGCTGGCCACTCAGGCCCTGGTCCAACGTTTGTTGATGGACTCAGATCATCAACCTGAACTGAGACCCTGGGCCCCACAAAACGTCAGTGGCCAGAGAGGAGCAGGCAGTCTCCCTGGCCAGGGTGGTGAAAGGGCTCACAAAGACTCACATGGGACACAAACAGGCAAAGGCCCAGCATCAGGGGACTGGCTGCAGAGACACAGGTCGTCCACCAGAGGGACCACGACACAGCCCAGAGAACAGAGTGAGGGAATTCCCCGGCGATTCAGTGGTTGGGACCCTGTGCTTCCACTGCTGGGTCTGGGTTTGATCCCCGGTGGGGAACTAAGATTCTACAGGCGTCAGGGTGGGACAAGCAGCAGGTCTCACGTTGCTAGGGAAATGCCCTCCACCCTGCTAAACAATGTGCCATCTAGAACATACAGTACACTTCTGCTCAAGTTAAAATTAAAAAAGAAGAAAAAGGGAAATGATGGTGAGTGTATCTTCACACATAGAATCCCTCCACAGGGACACAGAAGGGGCAGAAGTAAGTGGCTGGGAGCGGGGAGGCGGGGTGGGAGGAGCCTTTGCAGCCTTCCATGTGTCCTCTGCTTTGAAGGCTGTGACTGGATTACCGTCACAGAAATTAAAATTCAGGAAGAGAGAAGAAACAAATCGTGCCTGTGAAGGAGAGAGTCGGGTGGCCCACAAGTCTCTGTGGTTCTGGACGGTGCTCCTCAGGCCGGCCCACTTTGCCTCAGTCCTCTGGGGTCAGGACCCGAGGTGATCGCCTCCCTGAGAGGTGACCCCTGCAGGTTTCTCACGGGAAGGGCAGCTCTCTCTTGAGAGGTGACCTGAGTGACTTTCCCGCTGCTGCCACACTGGGCCTTAGTTATGACCTTCCCGACCTAAAAAAGTCAAGTCTCAACCCTTCAAAAATTGTGTCCTGTTGTGACATGTCTCAGTGATGGGTATGTGGTGGGTTCCCATTTGAGTCGGGAGGTTAGTGGATCAGGTGACTTGGATCAGCTGGGACAGAGCTCACCCCACCTCCCAGGAAAATAAAAGAGTGATGAGAGAGATTTAGAACACTTGGAGAAAGCAACTCCTCCAGCTCAACTCCAGAAAAATAAATGACCCAATCAAAAAATGGGCCAAAGAACTGAACAGACATTTCTCCAAGGAAGACATACAGATGGCTAACAAACACATGAAAAGATGCTCAACATCACTCATTATCAGAGAAATGCAAATCAAAACCACAATGAGGTACCATTACACACCAGTCAGGATGGCTGCTATCCAAAAGTCTACAAGCAATAAGTGCTGGAGAGGGTGTGGAGAAAAGGGAACCCTCTTACACTGTTGGTGGGAATGCAAATTAGTACAGCCACTATGGAAAACAGTGTGGAGATTTCTTAAAAAGCTGGAAATAGAACTGCCATATGACCCAGCAATCCCACTTCTGGGCATACACACCGAGGAAACCAGATCTGAAAGAGACACGTGTACCCCAATGTTCATCGCAGCACTGTTTATAATAGCCAGGACATGGAAGCAACCTAGATGCCCATCAGCAGACGAATGGATGAGGAAGCTGTGGTACATATACACCATGGAATATTACTCAGCCATTAAAAAGAATTCATTTGAATCAGTTCTAATGAGATGGATGAAACTGGAGCCCATTATACAGAGCGAAGTAAGCCAGAAAGATAAAGACCATTACAGTATACTAACACATATATATGGAATTTAGAAAGATGGTAATGATAACCCTATGTGCAAAACAGAAAAAGAGACTCCTATGTATAGAACAGACTTGTGGACTCTGGGAGAAGGCGAGGGTGGGATGTTTCAAGAGAACAGCATTGAAACACGTATATTATCTAGGGTGAAACAGATCACCAGCCCAGGTTGGGTGCATGAGACAAGTGCTCGGGCCTGGTGCACTGGGAAGACCCAGAGGGATTGGGTGGAGAGGGAGGTAGGAGGGGGGACCGGGATGGGGAATACATGTAAATCCATGGCTAATTCATTTCAATGTATGACAAAAACCACTACAATGATGTAAAGTAATTAGCCTCCAACTAATAAAAATAAATGAAAAAAAAAAAAAACTATTAACTATAAAAAAAAAAAAAAAAAAAAGAACACTTGGAGAGTATGGGGTCGGGTGGGGTGGGGTGGGGTGGGGGTGCTGACCGGTCCTGCTTCTGAGAGCCGATGATTGAGAACTGATTCAGCCCTGGGCAGTGTCAGTGTGTGATAACGTGATGACAGAGCCTGGCACCTGCCCAGTCCCCATAATGCTGCACCTCTTGGACAACACCTGGCTTGGCCAGGTCAAGCCTCACGGCCTGAGGAGCTGCTCTGTCGTTGCTCTCATGGTCCCCATTATTGGAGAGAAGGACCCTGGGGGGTGGCATGGGGCCTGTCCCCACAGTCCCTGTGTTTTTGGCACTCCCGACCTTCCCTCTGACTGCACCAGGTCCCAAGCTCCTCCTCCAGGCCCTTTCGTGGAAGCTCCCTGGGCAGCACTTCCCTGCTCAGAAGCCCCGGAGCTGCAGGGCTTGGCCAGTGTGCAACTTGGCTCCTCTCTTCCTCAGGAACTTCCCTCCTCCTCTTATCTACACCTTAGCCATAGAAGTCAGATTCCAAGGTCTCCTCTGCTTCGGTATTCTTCTTGTTCCTCTGGCTTCCTACTTCACCTGTTCTCAGTTGTCAGAGATGCCTTTTTAAACAGTTCTCTGTTGACATTCTTGGGCCTGGGCCCTTTAACCAAGCGACCCTTCCACCTAGGCCCTAAGACCTCAGGGAATCCTCCCAAATGTAAGACAACACCTTTTTTTTAGATTCCAACATAGGAATCCAGCAAACACAAGATAAACTCCCTTAGCGAGGCTAAAGACTGGCAGGATGGGCCAATTAAGGATATGGTGGGAGAATGCTGGGATGGACCTCAAAATCCTAAGAGACTGCAAGTGACCAGCTCTGAGGAAAGTGTGCCAAAAGAAAAAATTATGAAGAGACGCAGTGAGAAAAACAATGAGCTACAAATGCTTAAAGTTAACTATTTGTAGCTGATATAGCAATAACTTTCCTGTTATTACATTCTTAAGAGCATTTAAAAATAAGGCCCAATCTCAGCGTTTCATTAGTGGGCTGGGGCAAGAACTGCAGTGGCTAAGAGACAACAGCTCTTACCCAAGTTCCTAACACCTCTGAAACCACCTATGGATGCGGAGGAGGAGGACAGGTGAGCTGGTGCCGCATAGAGTCACAGACCGCACCTGCCTAGGACGTCTTGGCTGGGATGGGCAAGGAAACCTAAGGGCCTAGAGACTCGACCCGACTCGGACTCTGGGGCACTCAGCAGCGTCCAGGCAGACAAGACCCCTCTGCTCCCCTTTCGGCGAGCTGGAGGGGCGCTCGGTGCCAGAAAGAACCCAAAGACCCATTTCCTCGGATGCTTGACACCCTAGGCGCAGGAGGAAGGCTGAAGCCCCCGGGCCCCGGCCTCCGCCCAGGAGACGTGTAAAAGGAACAGACACTCCACGCCCCTAACCCGGGCTCTGCTATCCAGAGTCTCTACTTACCTGAACCGGACAGCGTGGACATACCTCTCGACAACAAGTAGGGAAAAAAAACAACACTCCGGCGGACTAAACTCCGGAGATCGCCGAGAGCAAACTGCCGCTACGGGCGTGAAGACAGCGTCTCTTACCGCCGCTGACGGACTGTTACCGACCGTCCAGTGACTAGAGTCACGACCCGTCCTGGCTGACCGGGCGAGACCCCCCACCCCCAGAGACAGCGCCCTCACCTCGGCGGAGGCGACCCCGATCTTTTCGGACTCGTACATGAGCGACAGGGACCTGCCGGTGCTGGCGGCCGTGGCCTCGGCCCGGCGCAGCGCCTCCTGCCGCAGGGCCTGCTGCCGGTCGGCGGGCGCGCCGGACCCGTCCGCGAGGTCGCGGCTGTCCAACCACGGCGCCGGCCGGGCGTCCTCGTCCTCCGCGTCCTCGTCGAACGGGTTGTAGCTCCGTGGGTAGGCTGACATGGCGCCGGTGCTCGGCCCGGGACGGGCGGGAGGAGTCTGGTGCGGTCGAGGCGAGGTGAACGCTTGAGTCGCGGAGAAGAGGCCACCGCGCCGAGGGCCGGAGGAAGCGTCCGCCAGCCTGACTCAGGCGCCTCGCGAGCTGCTTCCGCCTGTGGCGCGCGGAGGCCCCGCCCCCGGAATCGACCATCGTGCCCCGCGGCGGGGAGGTTCACGCCCGTCGCGCGCCGCGCTGTAGCCGACCTCGCGGCTCCTGGCTCCCCCCCTCGGTGGTGGATCCGCCCGAGGCCGCGCCCCGCCGGCGTCGGCAACCGAGAGGTCACGTGGCGGGGCAGCCGGATGCGGCCGCGCCTGCGCCGTGCGTCCCGGCGCTCGCGGGCCGAGTGCGGGAAGCCGGCGGGCGGCGCCGCTTCGCGATGATGGCGGCGGCCGCGGCCCGGGGAGGCGGCGGCGTTGGCGGCAGCGGCGGCGGCGGGGGCTTCGGCTCGGGCTCCGGCGCCGGCGCCTCGCGGGGTTTCTACTTCAACACTGTCCTGTCGCTGGCCCGCTCCCTGGCTGTGCAGAGACCGGCATCTCTGGAGAAGGTAGCTTGGCTGCGGGGCGCGGGCTGACAGGGGGAGGGGCCCGCGGCGCGGGAGGCGGGGCGGAGGTCTGAGGGAGGCCGAGGGGGTCCCGGCGGCCGGAGACGCCGGGGACTCGTGAGTGAGGAGCCAGCGCGAAGAGGGGCCGCGGGCCGGGGCATCGGCTGGAGTGGTCGGGGCGGGGGGTAGTCCGAGGCCCGTGTGGCGGGCGCGGGCGGGGCCCGGAGATCCGGGCGGGCTGAGCCGCGGGGCTGCCTGGTGACCTCGGCGGGTGGCTCCCCGCCTCGCCGCGATGTTCCGTGACCTTGGGGCGATGCCGCCCGCGGGGCAGGGGCGCTTCTCGGGGCCTTGCCCTCGGCGGTGAAGGGCGGGCGGAGCAGCGTCTCTGAGACGTGGACCCGCTGGGCGATGTTTTTCTCTGCGGCAAGAGGGGGCGTTAGACTGGCTGAGAAGAGGGCGTTGGACCGCAGAGCTCAGCCAGGGGTTTCCTTATCTTGGGAGGACGTGAAACGAAGCCCCGAGGGTGCCTGCGACGGTGGCAGAGATGCAGCGTTTCGAACGGGAAGGTCCTTGCACCGTCACTGGAGGTTTTCTTGGACGGGTGACCTCAACACTCAGAGCCTCTGGTGTCCTCATCTGTGACGCGAAGTTCTTGAGCGTGAGATGAGCTTGAGAAGGTGTCTGGCCCACGGAGGTGCTCCGCGAAGGAGAGCTTTCCTCCGCCACCGACATGACTCTTCCCCGGCTTCCTGGCCGGTGGACAGAACCTTATCCAACAGTAGAAGAGCGGTTGGGGTGGTTTCGTGGCTCTGTGGATGGGTGAAGCTAAAGGGCTGTTGCAGGCACTGTGACAGAGTGACCTGGGTCTTCCTTGACTCCTGTAGATTCTCAGACTCACAGGGGGAGCGGGTCTTGGGAAACTGATGCCAGCCTGGCTTCTCAGTCAGAGAAAGACTGTAATCGAACGGAAAGAATATGGGTTGTAGAGATAAGACCACCTGGATTTTAATCCTGTGTCATTCACTTCCAGTAGTGTGACTCTGGGCAGCTCAGTTCACCAGTCTGGTTCTCTGCTTTTTCCTGCAAAATACAAAACACTTGATGAGAGACTTGGGAGGATCTGCAGAATGACTCGCGTAGACCTGGGTACCTAATGAATGGCCCCTGTTGTCATTTTGTGAGCCTGACTGGTGGAGCACATCACTGGTTCATGAAGTCAGATCTGTGCCAGCTGGTCAGCGCATTCTCTTCCTAGGAGGAGGACCAAGACTGCTGTCGGAAGTTTGCTCACTGGACTCGGAGAAGGGGGTGCAGCGAATTGGATGATCTTGAAGGAGGGTGTCCTGGTGCTCTTGCAAAGGCAACACGCTTCCCCACTCTGTAACTGAAAGATGCACTTTCAGCTTAGCTCTTCTGCTTCAGCCTTCTTTGCCCATCATAGGGACCTCCTGTCACTGCGACTTTGTTGTTAATAGCTTTGTCTCTTACCCTAAGGTTGCTGTTGTCAAGAGTACAGAATGTGTTACAATTAAATAATGTAGCTTTCAGGTTGGTAGGCTCCCTAACCATCTCTGACTCTGCCTTCTGTGTCTCTGCCTCGTTTACAAACCACTGCAGGAAAGAGTTAGCAGCAAGCCACCAGGACTGCTGTCTTCAGAAGGGTCTGCTCAGGAAGTTGGCCCTTGGCTGGTGTGGGGAGCTTTGTGCTTGAACTGTGTGCCCCTTCACTCCCTAGCTGATAAGGATGGTCACCGTGTGTGGCCCCGCATAAGCAGCGTGGTTTCTGGGGAGCGCCTGCTTCCAGGCAGACGGCACCTGAGTGCCCAGCCCCCAGGAAAACCTTGGCACAACCCTTGCTCCATTGCTTGCTGCTGTGAGGGGAGCGTGCCTGGGGTGCGCCCTCAGACGAGGGAGCAGAGGAAGGCCCTGCACGGCTTTCCCCAGGCCCCAGCTGTGCTTGATGAGACCCTTTTTCACTGTGTGACGTCTGATCATGCGGACACCTGGCTGTGTGCGGCCTTTCTCCTCTTTCTCTGGAGGAAGGGCTTGTGGCTGATCCCACTGGATATTGTGAATTCCTCCTGCCGTCTTCTCCCGTCCTGAGACTCAGTTGCAGCCCGGATCACTGTTCTGCCCAGCCCTGCTCACAGGCGCAGTGTGCCTGCTTGCTCCACTCCCCGACTTGCAGCGGCGGATCCGCATTCCCAAGGGAAGGGCTCTCGGCCTCTGAGTGCCTCCTGGGCTGAGAGGGTGGGGACTCGGAGGGAGAGGCGAGTGTCGGAGCCCTCCGCTCCCGTTTCTCTGTCTTCACTTCTCCCTCCGCCGTTTTCCCAGAGGGGGCAGAGGGCTACGTGGGACCCGGTGCAGACAGGGTCAGCCCAAGGAAGGCTGCTTTCTGAGCTGGACTTGCCGTCTGGGCTCAGACACGGGTGCTCGGCAGCCTGCCGTGCTTCTAGCGGCCCTGGGACGCGTTAGGGAGCAGCTTCAGCGTGCCCTGTCTTCGTGCCCCGGGGGGAGGGGTGACGTACTCCACTCACCCACCCTCACGCAGGCTGTGCAGCCAGGCCTGTCGTGAGACAGTGCGTTTTGCTTGTCCTTAATTCTTTAGTTTGCTCTTTTCATCCAGAAAACTTGTATTGATCTTCAGGTCAGGTAAATGAGAAACTCCTGACTTGTTGCTCAGGTGACCAGCAACAAGTCAGCTTTGCTCTGTGTCCCCTGGGTGCTCTTGTGTCTCGGGTCTAGTGACCAGACTCAAGGGCTCTTGGCCTCTATTCTCAGATTCTTGTCTGAGCTTGGACCTTTTCCTGCTAGGCTGCTTCTAGGACTGCAGTCCCAGCCTGGGGGTTGCAGCCCACCTCCAAGGGCTCCTGTGAGGCCCACTCAGGCCCCAGCCCTTTGCCTCTGGGAGAGAGAGGAGAGGAGAGAAACGGAGAGAGCAAGTCCTGTCTACAGCGCATCCAGCTCTGGTTTCCATGTGCCCGCCCATCTTTTCGCTCCGCTTTCCGGGTTCCTGCCTGTCTCAAGAAGGTTGCCGAGCGCCACCTCCTCCTGCCACCTGTGCCCTGTCACACTTCTCTGTACCCTGGACGTCAGGGGACCCGCTCCTGCCTCTTCTCACCTGGGCTGTGCCATACTAGCAGACCCCGAGCCCGGAACGTGGGGAGCTCTGGGCAGACCTGTGCAGCCCTCCCGCCCCTCTTCCCGCCTTCAGGGAGCTGGGTTCAGATCCTTCCCTGCGGCTCTTCCTCAGAGTGCCAGAATCTCGGGGTGTTCAGCTAGCTGACCTGGCATTTAAAGGGCCGGCCTGCAGCACTCGGCACGGACCAGACCCTCCCTCCTGGCAGGTGTGCTCTGGGTGGCACGCGGGGGGAGGGTGTGGCCAGGAGCTGAGGACGGGGGGCTCTCTGCAGTTCACGGTGGTCCAGGCTGTCCTTTAGAGTGCTCTGCTGTGGAGGGAAGGTCCTGCAGTTGGCATTTCTTCAGCCTCATGAAGCTAAAAGTCTCCCCTCTTGCTCCCTTTCCTTTGTGAAGCCGCGTTAAAAGAAAACCACTGAGGGAGAGGAGAGAATGGGCTTCGACAGAGGGTGTTCATGTCGCTGGAGCCGGTGTTGGTGAGTCAGCTCTGAAACGTTTTAGGAAGTACTTGGAAGAAGAAAAAAATCTTCACCTGTAATTAGGCCACATTAACTGTATTAGTTTGCTGGGGCTGCCATAACGAAGTGCCACCCACCGTGACTTAAACACCCAGAAGTGACTTTTCTCGCAGTTTGGAGGCTGGAAGGCCAGATGAAGGTGTCAGCAGGGCTGGCCTCTCTGGAAGCCCCTCTGTCTGGCGCGCAGAGTGCCATCTTCTTGTGTGTCTTCACTGATCCCCCTCTGTTCCCCCTGCTTAGAAGGAAGCCAGTCCAGTTGGTAGGACTGGCCCTCCCTAGTCACCTGATTTTAACTTCATCACTTCTTCCATGACCTGTGTCCAAATGCAATCTCATTCTTAGGTACCTGGGCATTAGGACTTAAGTATATGAATATTTGGGCCCGGCCCAGCCCAGCCCATGAAGCCATCAGCACTGTCATTTCCTAAAGCTCTTTTTAGTTTTTAACTGTGTATAGCTATGTGCATTTTATTGTTTCTGTTTGTAAAAGTAGCCGATAGTTATTGTTTTGATGGTGGCACATCCTTTTTTTGCATTGATGAACCATACTTAGGCATTTCTCTGTTTAGACTTTCTGGTTTTTCCTTGTGAAACAGCATGTTTGTACACCTAGCATTTTGTCTTCTTCTGAATTAGGTCCTTGTGTTACATCATAGATGAGTCTTGATGTTTACTGCCCACCTGTTTCCAGAAGGTTCTGCGTAGTTGTGATAGCATTGGTAAGACACCTTGTACTGGTTTATCTATAGCTTCACAGGGTTGGGTT